GAGACCCCCAGACGACTTAATATCAAGTAATCAAGATAATTGATAAGTGGACAGCGCTCATGTCAAAGTACAACACGCTAGCCGAGTCCGACCGACCCAGTATTTTGTGGAGCACTAATTCATTAAACCAAAGTACAAAAATACTATTATTATTATTGTTATTATTATTATTATTATTATTATTATTATTATTATTATTATTATTATTATTATATGAGAATCAAAGGTTTAAGGAAAAGAATCAAAGATATGAGTGAGGCTCAAGGGAATTAATGAGAACAATCAAGAGTTTTAATGCGAAGATTAAAGGGTTTTAATGAGAGATTTACTTCTACTACTATTAATTATTATTATTATTATTACTATTACTACTTCTACTACTACTACTACTAATAATAATATAGACAAAAATAATAGCCATAACATTAGTAGTAACAATGATAACAGACGACTGGGACACCAGTTACAAATAGTCATAAGTGGTACACCATTAATAGGCTCTTATGAATCCCCTAACCCAACCCTATCACGCCCATCCCTCCCGACCCCACCCTCTTCACCCCACACCCTCCCTCTTCACCCCACACCCTCCCTCTTCACCCCCCACACCCTCCCTCTTCACCCCACCCTCCTCTTCACCCCCACACCTCCTCTTCACCCCACCCTCCCTCTTCACCCCACACCTCCCCTTCCCCACACCCTCCCTCTTCCCCCCACACCTCCTCTTCACCCACCTCCCTCTTCACCCCACCCCCCCCCTCTTCACCCACACACCTCCCCTTCACCCCTCCTCTTCACCCCACACCTCCCTCTTCACCCCACACCTCCCCTTCACCCCACACCCTCCCTCTTCACCCCCCACACCTCCCTCTTCACCCCACCCCTCCCTCTTCACCCCACCCTCCCCTTCACCCCCACCCCTCCTCTTCACCCCACACCTCCCTCTTCACCCCACCTCCCCTCTTCACCCCCTCCCCTTCCCTCCCCTCTTTTTTCAATCATTTAATGTGTTAGCCAGCTTGCATGCGTTTTTCTCTTCCTTCACTCCCTCTAATTTATTCCCTTCACTCCTATCCTTTCTTGTCGCCCTCCATTTTCTTCCCTTCCTCCCTCCACTTTCTTCCCTTCACTCCCCACTTTCTTCCCTTAACTCCCTCCACTTTCTTCCCTTCACTTCCTCCATTTTCTTCCCTTCACTCCCTCCACTTTCTTCCCTTCACTCCCTCCACTTTTTTCCCTTCACTCCCTCCGATTCTTTCATCGTTTTTGCTTCACTTCTTTCCCTTCATTTCGTCTCCTTATCCTTCTCTCTGTCTCTCTCCTCTTCATTCTTATTTTCTCTTCTTTCCTCCAAGGTTTTCTCCTTTTATTTCCTTATTTCCCTCCTTCCCTTCTCTTTCCCTCCTCCCCCTCTTTCTCACCCTCCCTCCCTCCTTGATGTTAGTGGTATGATAACACAATTTATTTAAGCGTGCATCAGTACACTAACATGACGCGATAACACCTGTGTAATTAGTACGTGCAGCAGGTGTTAATAGCGCTGCGGGTCACCTTGCCACCAGAGAGAGAGAAGGCAGAAAGGTGATAAAGGAAGGGAGATAGAGCAGGAAGGTGAGAGAGAGAGAGAAGACAGACAGACAGACAGACAGACAGACAGACAGCAAGATAAAGAGTATGCAGGCGATCACGCCATCAAGAATTTATGAGCACACACACACACATACACAGCTCACTTGATCTACGTGTGTAAACATTAATCTGAATGTTCACTGTATGTGCCTTCACCTTTCTCTAATGAAGGCTTTTGTTAAACCACCAATATATGTAATAAGTCATTTATGTCCAATGTATATTTTCAGCCTTCGGGCTGCAAACTTTTTAAATAAACCGTTTATTATTATTATTATTATTATTATTACACACACACACACACACACACACAAACACACAGTGTATTCACTCCCAGTAAACACTACTTCTTGCACTGTCACTATGTTGAAATGAACTGTAGTTTGAGCTTTTCCCCATCTAATTATTATATATCTTATTTGTATCACTTATGTTACTTGTATATTATTTGTAATTCGAAACCCATTCCCCAAATATTTAACTGTGTATTTTCAGCCTTCTGGCTGCCAAGCTCTTTCAATAAACCGTTAATTATTATTATTATTATTATTATTATTATTACACAAACCTCACCTAACCTAACCTAATCTAACCGCGTCACGGGGATGTTGAGAAAGTACGATACACGTCACCGGAAATTCGACATTTCCGTGAGAATGTTACTTTATCTTTGTCGTGGAGGGAGTATTTCCTGTTCGAGAGTCCCTTATTTTTCAGCAGGTGCGTTGTATAAGTAGTTACTGTAATTAACAGCTAGGTAGTAAGGTAAGTGTGTTATAGCAGCTCCGGGGTGGCGAGCCGGTGATAGGGGGCGAGTGGAGATATCACCTGAAGATTCGCCCTTGCCCCTCCCAACTTATTTCACCTGAAGATTAACCACCCTAATGCTAAACCAACTTAACCTTAGACTTAACCTAACTTAATACCCCAGGTGGTGTTAGGGTGGTTAATCTTCAGGTGAAATAAGTTGGGGGGAAAACTTCAGGTGATCCGAATATAGCGTATAAACCTATGAGAATTAGGAATTATTTTTAGCAAGTTATAAGGTGGTGCTGGTGGCTACACTTGCTGTTTTATCTGACCTAATCTGTCCGTATCTGCCCTTATCTATACTCTCTCTCTCTCTCTCTCTGTATGTGTTTTCTACAGGTATATATGGAGACCTCTAATTATGATTTTAAACTGGTCAGTTTTGATGTAACATCACTCTTTACAAAGGTCCCAGTTGATGATTTACTGGAGTTCCTCATAGATTCCCTGGATAATATTTCTTTGCCTGTCTCGAAAGATGACCTTATCGAACTCATCAAACTATGTATTAAAGATTGTAAATTTGAATTCAATGGAGAATATTATGCTCAAAAATTTGGCATGGCAATGGGTAATCCACTCTTACCTGTATTAAGCAACATATATATGGAATTCTTTGAAAAGAAACTATTAAGTAATATCTTACCACCTTCAGCAGTCTGGTTTAGATATGTAGATGATGTATTATGTCTCTGGCCTAGTAATGAGGACCTAAAAGCGTTCCTGTCACAACTTAATAACTTAGCCCCCTCGATCAAATTCACTGTGGAATTAGAGCATGACTGTAAATTGCCATTCCTAGACTGTCTGATCCACAGAAAAGGTAACTCCTTTAAGTTCAGTATTTATAGAAAACCTACTAATGTGTGTTCATACATTCATTATTATTCTGCCCACCACAATAGAGTCAAACAGTCAGTATTTTCAACAATGTTTTTACGCGCTTTGAAAATTTGCAGCCCGGAATTCATTGATGAGGAATATAAATATATCTATAATTTTGGCTGAAACCTTAAATACCCTAGATCTTTCATAGACAAATGCCTGAACATTACTAAGAAATCTTTTTATAGAACTGATCCCAAGCCCACCCATGACCATAAGAATCTCCTAGTATTACCATTTCACAAAAAATTTCTCTCAAATTCCTTTACAACTAAAAACCTGGAACGTCAATGTGGCATTTAAAAACTCATGCACTGTTAAACAAATGTTAATCAAGCACTCCCCCAACAACACAATTGGTTGCATTTATAAAGTTCCTTGCAAGGAATGTAATATGTTTTACTTAGGCCAGACAGGTAAAGATCTTGTAACTAGACTTAAACAACATAAATATAGTGTTAGGACAGGCCAGGAATCCAATGCTTTGTTTGTTCATTTGAGGGATAAAAACATTGCATTGACTGGGATAATGCCTCCTCAATATTACCTTGTAATTCAATTGACAGTAGGAACATTATAGAATCTAGTCTCATTAAACATACCGAATCCGTTAACATGAATTTGAGTAATGGTATGTACAAATTGGACAATTTTGTAATTAAGAAGATTTGTAACCAGGTGAGAAGGTTGGGTCAGTTTTCCCTCTGACCTGACTACCGACCGTTGCGGTGCTTTTGTAAAGATTAGTAGGGTCATTACCTATACTTGACCTCTGTGGACTTGTCTCACCCTCCTCTGTATATATATATAACTTGTTTTGCACTTCTACTTTAGTCTGTACTCACCCCTGAAGATGTGAATTACACGAAAGCGCTTGGGAACTTCGTGTTTTCTTTTTCCTTGTGGTTATCAGCATATATATATATATATATATATATATATATATATATATATATATATATATATATATATATATATATATATATATATATATATATATATATATATATATATATATATATATAAAGTATCTTATTCTTTTATGTGTGTACAATCGCCAACAAAGTTTGCTTTGTCTCTGGGTTTCGTAAACTGAAGCAGTATCGACCCTATACTGTATAATACAAGGTAAACAGCACACCCGCACCAGACGGCAGCCACGAGGGTCTCACCATGGGGGACGATCTTTTGTTTGCGACTGTACGTGCTGTATGTATTAAATTTTTCTATCTATATGTAACTCTCTCTCTCTCTCTCTCTCTCTCTCTCTCTCTCTCTCTCTCTCTCTCTCTCTCTCTCTCTCTCTCTCTCTCTCTTTCTCTCTCTCTCTCTCTCTCTCTCTCTCTCTCTCTCTCTCTCTCTCTCTCTCTCTCTGTCAATCTTCACCTATCTCCTCATTTTCCTTTCTCTTTATCTCTGTTAATCTTCATCTGTCTCAACAACATTCCAGCATTTTCAATCACCTAGAACATGTAAACGTTCTATTCCTTAACAACAAGAATATCCCTGGATGTATTTTTATCAGTGACTAATATCTTATCAGTCAGGAGAGAGTGAGAGAGATAGAACGCTCACACCAGGCTGCCCACTCTCTGCCATCAGTATCTACGAAGAGGACTTATAGGAAGCTCTTGGCTGCATTAGTTCTGTTATTTACATTCCTCTGGGGTTTGCAGTGGCGGCACGAGGCTTCAGAACGTCAGTCCTTAGGTGTAGAGACATGGTTGAGCAGCGTGAACTGTGAAGCAAGACCAAGGCAGTGACGACTATAGCAAGAAGCTGGCTGGTGAGAATCAGTTAGAGAAAAAAACTCACTCTAGTGACGGATTTACCTCCAATGAGTGACTCGAGTGACCATCTGAGTCCTGTGAACGACTAAGTTTAAGTGGGAAACTGACTGTAAGTGTAAATTACAAAGCCAGAAGACCATCTACAGGGCCACTACAAGGGGTGCCTCCTCACGCTCTCACCTGCAGGACCACAACCACCATGGCCAACTTTATTTCCGGGATGCTCCTCCTGACGGTGATAGGTAAGTCTAGTGCTTCTATGACTTTGTTTGCATGCTGAAGATCTATCGCTAGGCCTAACTGTCATAACGATGTCAAAGTTGCCATTAAATAACGTTAGGCTAGGTTTAGTATGTTAGGTTAGGTTGGGTATGTTAGGTTAGGTTTAGTATGTTAGGTTAGGTTGAGTATGTTAGGTTAGGTTGGGTATGTTAGGTTAGGTTTAGTATGTTAGGTTGAGTATGTTAGGTTAGGTTGAGTATGTTAGGTTAGGTTTAGTATGTTAGGTTAGGTTAAGTTTAGTACGTTCCGCTAGGTTAAGGGGGTGTGACTTTCAGAGAATTGTAGGGTTTGTTTAACAAAAGCCCCATCCTTCTCTAAAAGACACACGCCCTTAAAAAAATTAAGCCATAACAGACATACCCAATACAACAGACATGCCCACTACAACAGACATACCCACTACAGCAGACATACCCACTACAGCAGACATACCCACAACAGCAGACATACCCACTACAACAGACATACCCACTACCTTTGAACATACCCCACCAACAGACACTTACCCCAACAGACATACCACTACAGGAGACGCCACACCAGTAGACACCCACTAAAGGAGACTTGTACAATGGGCATACCCACTGAGGAAATTTTCATACTGGCAGACATACCCTACAACAGACACACACTGCAACAGACACTTGCCTACCTTGGACATACCCACTACAACAGACATGCCCACTACAGCAGACATACCCAATACAACAGACATGCCCAATACAACAGACATGCCCACTACAACAGACATACCCACTACAGGAGACATGCCCATTACAGGAGACATACCCACTACAGGAGACATACCCACTACAACAGACATACCCACTACAGGAGACATACCCACTACAGCAGACGCCACCACAGAACATACCACTACAGACATACCCCACTGCAGGGGCTACCACTGTGGACATACCCTACATGGGAGACGCCCTGCAACAGACATACCCACTACAGGAGACATACCCACTACAGCAGACATACCCACTACAAGAGTAATATTCACTACAACACAGATCACCATTGAGCTACCTTCTCTTTGCTGCTTATGAGAAAAGATTAACGTTATCAGCTTTTATCTTCAAGCTCACGTTAGTCTTATCAGTTGTTTCTACCCGATGATATTTAGGGAAAACTCATTATTCTAGAACCCCAAACTATGCAACCCCAGATTTTTTAAACCCACTACCCCTGAACCGTGTGTGTGTTAGCGCTAAGGGACAGTTCTACATATGTGTAGTTATACGGTGCTCTAATTGTGGATTCAAACCTCGAAAATTGTAAGAGAGAGAGAGAGAGAGAGAGAGAGATGAAAACGTAGTGTGTTATTAATCAACTGTCTACCATACTCGTCTCTCTCTCCCTCACTCCTTCCCATTTGCCAGACAGCCCAAAATACTTACTAGACATTTGACCTTTTCGATCCCACAGGGTTGAAAATACATGACTCAACATTCACCCGGCTTTCTGTGAGTCTACGCTAGTCTTATCTTAACGTTATCGCGTCACGATAACTCGCTACAACAAACCGCCTAGATAAGCCGCCACTCATTTAATCAAACCATTGCATCAACCTGGATTCCTGACAATACAAAGACCCCAATTAGAACCATTTTCGGATCATCTGAAGATTAGCCACTCTAACGCTAACGTAACCTAATCTAACCTAACCTAAACCTAACCTAACCTAAGCCACCACCCTTAAGTAACGTTAGGATGGTTGATCTTCAGGTGAAATAAGCTAGGGTGTCTAATATTCAGGTGACCCATGTAACCGTGTATGGTTTCTGAACAATATATTAGAGCCTTAACATCACATAAAAATGTACCCTCTACACACACACCTGCTGTCAGCCATGTATCCACTGACCCCCACCACCTGCGCTCACCTGTACATCCACCCCGTTCTCAGGTGGTAATTATTTTTGGGATCATATGAAGATTAGCACCTCAGCTTATTTCACCTGAAGATTAATCCCTTAACGTGAAATAAGTTGGAGGGTTTAATCTCAACGTGATTCTTTTTTTTTTCAATTAGAAATACTCTCCATGTACTGTACACCTTATCATGCTTAAACTTATCACTACACAGGCTATAAGACCGCTACACTAACACCAGTAGCCAATAGAGAGCAAAGAACACATCGCAACAAAATTGAAAATAACCCAAAATTTTGGATTTTAGTGTGTCCACAACCTATTGCAAGTGTCGTAGTATTAATAGTATTGTCGTCGTCGTAGTTGTAGTAGTAGTAGTAGTAGTAGTAGTCGTAACAACAGGATTTTTTTTTCATTTTTAAGTTAAATTTAGTGTCAGTAGATTCAGTTATCTTTGTATATGAAAGGTTAGACCATATTTTATTAATTATAGTATATTTGTGTTGAGTCAGGAGAGTTGTCAGGTCGGGCTAGGTACACATTTACAGCTGGGTGAACTGGGGGTGTCCTGGGCGTGTATCAGCGACCCTTACAACAGGAGGCTGCCGCAGCTACTGTATATTCACTCACCCTCTACTGTACAGTACACTCTTTTCAAAGTTCTGTCACATTAAAGCAATATACTTGAGAGTACATAATTATATCAGCCTAGCTCCAAGAGGGAGATAACAGGAGATAACTAGTCTACTGCTGAACTAAGAGAGCTAACACCCAGCGTGACCTACTGAGATATGTACTAATGTCGATTTTGTGTGATAAATTGAACATTTTAATTGATTTCAGAGTGAAGTGTGAAGACCGTTTTTACTTATATGTATAGAAATAGATTTTAAGAACATTAAATAAGTGAATTTAAAAATAAACTCATACACTGACAAGACCTTTATTTACTGTACATGTTAACGTCTCCCACAGGCGTATCGGCTGGCATGGAAATCGGCCCTGTCCGCCTGGCCCACAATAAGCGCTACATCTCCTACCTTTTGGGCCCATCACCTGAGAACAGCCTCCTGGAGTGTCCCTACTTGCTCGATGAGGATAAGAACGAGGAGCTCAGGAAGATCACCTGGAATCTGTGGAAAGGGGAGAAGAAAGTTGGCGCCTACGAGTGGTTTCCAGAAGAAGATGGAATAGGTGAGGTCATCTCTGTGTGACTGTGGCTAACTTTACCAACTGTGGGATATTGAAATCTTCCAGGCGGCAACCCGAGAGATCCACCCAGCACAGACGTTTCCCCACAATCATCTCTTATCTTTGTCCTTAACTGCATCGTTCACAAACTAACCATCATCTCCATCTTACACACAGTCGCCCACTATAGTTTCCTCGTAACACCCACAGCCACACACTTACTCATTCTAACTTTCTCCCACAGCCACAGGACTGCTGGAGGGCGTGGTGAACATGGCCCGAGATGATGGAGGGTTGGAACTGACCAAGCTGAGGTATGACTTAGGCGGATACTACTCTTGCTCCGGCACACTGACGAATGGTGAGGTGTATGAGGCGGAGAGCTGGGAAGTCTTAGTGATCGGTGAGTAACTACCCCCAGTACAACACTAATTACCCCCAGTACAATACTAACTACCTAGGTACAACACTAACTACCCCCAGTACAACACTAACTACCCCAGTACAACACTAACTACCCCCAGTACAACACTAACTACCCCCAGTACAACACTAACTACCCCCAGTACAACACTAACTACCCCCAGTACAACACTAACTACCCCAATATAACAGTACAACACTAACTACCCCAGTACAACACTAACTACCCCCAGTACAACACTAACTACCCCCAATACAACACTAACTACCCCCAGTACAACACTAACTACCCCCAGTACAACACTAACTACCCCCAGTACAACACTAACTACCCCCAGTACAACACTAACTACCCCCAGTACAACACTAACTACCCCCAGTACAACACTAACTACCTCATGTGTTAGTTATATTTTCCTCTATCATCGTTGAGCTGTATCTACACTGTATATTTGTGTCGGTTTTATTTTATTATTTTATGCCATTTTTTCCACATTTTCCCTGACGTGGACTGCTACTACACCCCTTCCTCTCCCTCCCTGCCTAACTATCTATCTCTTCTTCCTTTCTCTTTCCTCTCTCTCTGTCACTCCGTCCTTCCCTAACCTATCTATCTGCTTTCCTTGTTTTCCTCTCAGTGTGAAATAGTTTATATCCCTTAATTTTGTATTCAACTGGTTACTTTGGTGAATCTTATGTCAATCTAAGTGTCTGTTGGAGAAATCAGAGCTCTCATATGTACAGAAAGAACGGCTGTAAGTCTTCCTGTGACATCGTTACCGTTCTTTTTGTACATATGAGAGCTCTGATTTCTCCAACAGACACTTAGATTGACATAAGATTCACCAGAGTAACCAGTTGAATACAAAATTAAGGGAAGACTTACAGCTGTTCTTTCTGTACATACGAGTGCTCTCATTTCTTCCATCTTATTTCTTGTATTTTTATTGTTTGCTTAGTAAACATTTAGGCTAGTCTTGCTCGGAGTCTTTCTTCGGTCGAGTTTTGGACTATCTCCTGACTTATTTCGCTCTGTTGCCGCTTTTTTGGTCTTGTTTAGTCTTAAATTAGTACGTTATATATTACCATACCCAGTGCACCCCCTTAACCCTCGTGCTCTTATATTTACCTAATATACTTTTTCATTGTGGCGGTGATGTTTATACTCCTCACTCCCCCGTCCTTCCAGACATAACCTCGGCATTAACCGTCAGCGACCATAGGGCCGACATTAAGAAGTGTGAGTTTGTGACGTCTGTCGATATCTACGCTGTGTTTCCTGAGCCTACAGTTCACAGCGGTATGTACGCCAGCAGCCTGGGCGGTTTCTACGACGAGGTCACCGCCCTACAGTGGCACAAGGTCAAGAACGAGAACGGTAGTGTCAGCAACTCCTATCATAACGTAGCTTTTAAGGTGAGTCACGATGACACAGGTGTTACTGTTTGATAGGAAGACTTACGGCTGTTCTTAGACAACAAATATCATGTGTGAGAAGGTCCTGATTCTCAAACCTTCGCACATAGACTTATCCTCGTAATTGGAGATGATCGAACGCACTTTGCTGGCTTACTTGAGCCCAAGCACAAAGAATAGCTTTCATAAAATTAGATACTAATTACACTGAAATACTTTAGATACGACCACTTCGTCACCAGCTACGGGACAAAATCGAACGAAGAGAAGCTTTGTAAGCGAGTGTGAGGATAGATCTTCGAAGTTGGGTCCAGATGGAACTGTGGTATATAGTCTAATGAGAACCAAACTTGCCGGGAGGGACGCATCGCTCCAAAAGGTATCTTTACGGAGGGGTCCTATGAATTTCAAAATGAACACCGCGACTCCTGTTGTCTCGGTAGGGTTGTCAAAATCCATCATCCGTTGTCATATTGTCGCACACAAAATCATAAAGATACTTTTTGGAGCGAGTTACACGACGGTACGCATGGAACGGTATGTACGTACACAACTAGTTAAGACAGATAGAGGCACACATTATGTTTCTAGAGAAATGTGTCAGACCTTGCCTAAACGCATTATAAAGTTCATGGGCATCAGTCGGCACAGAACTGGGCTGCCTAGTGGTGCTACGAGTCCGAACGAGATGAAGAAACACCTTTGTGAAAAGTACCTGGGTGTGTATGTTGATAATTGAAGTGAAGTTCTCCGGCCATTGTGAGATGAAGGCTAATCAAGTAACGAAGATACAGTAGTAGGGGTTATAAGAAGGTCGTAACGCTCTGCAAGTATTTTTGTCTCAACTTACGACTATAAACAAAAACAAATGTATATATATTTTCTTGTTTCTAATGATTTCAGATAAAAACAAGTCAATTTTCATCTATGACACTTTTGGCGCATTTTTACCCGAAGTATCGGGAGTTTAAATAAGAAAGCTATGTATTATTGCATATGTTGCAACCAACCGAATGTGGAAATTTTTTCATTGTAAATAATAGTTTAGATAATTCTAAGACACCTTTCTTCTATGACGTTTCCCTCACAAACAACCTAGAATCCAGATATTTAATATGCCAGGGTTCGGGAGGCAGAGCTTACCAAATAGGCAAGATAATGCAGGTCTGGTTTTTGCTATCAATCCCGTATCTCGGATATGGGTAAAATGTGCCAAAAATGTCATATAATAAAATGGTTTTGTTTTTATCTGAACTTTTCATTAGCCCCCCTCCCCCCCCAAAAAAAAAATATATATTGATTTATGTCCGTTACTATAAATTGACCAGGACGAGTTCCGTCAAACCATACCTGTTGTCCACATAAATTAATAACAAGGAGCCAGTCTACTACAGCCGGACCATCGGAAATTTATTTAAGAATGAGGGTAAATTTATAGCAGAGGACATAATTCAATATTGGGTTTTTCCTAATGATAAGTTCAGACAAAAACACCACTGTATCTAGCTAGCAGCTGTAGCCTGTATGCCTTTGGCCCACAAGTTGACACCTCCTCACCATTCATAGGAAGGGGATTAGGGGGGCTATGCCTTTGCATTAAAGAATAGAGAGGAACGTATAAATTAAAAAAAAGAAAAAAAAGTGCCAAGCTGTTACAGAGAAAAAAGGTGAGGAGACGCCGTTCCCCCTCCACCATACCACTGCCTATACTACAGATACTCAGGACCAGATGCTGTATAAGGGCTTTGTAACTAAACACATCTTGATCTACCCAATCATTGTCTCGTCGTCCGATTAATAGATACAGAAATCTGCCATGGTACAGGGCCTCCTGTCATACTGTACATATATGAAGACTTTATGTTACCCTGAGGGTCTGGAGAGATGCTGGGGTGTTCGGAAACCTTTTATTATTATTATTATTATTATTATTGTTAGTAGTAGTAATAGTAGTAGTTTAGTAGTAGCTTAGTAGTAGTAGTTTAGTAGTAGTAGAAGTAGTAGATGTAGTAGTAGTAGTAGTAGTAAACAAGAATTTACAGATGCCAATGCTCTAAGGTACAGTAGGCCAGTAGAAGGCTTGCCCTCCTAATGCGTGTGTGGCTCTTCCTATGACGTCGATCACGCCATGGTGTGCAAGAAAGGGGGCTTCATATGCATGAGGCATGACGAAGTAAGGGACCTCATAGCAAATATGTTGAAGGAAATCTGCCTTGATGTCAGGGTAGAACTGACCCTCCTTCCATTGGACGGTGAGAATTTCTAACATAGGACTTCAAACACATCCAACGAATCCCGTGTTGACGTCAGTGCTCGAGGATTCTGGACGCTGCAACATCGAGCCTTCTTCGACATCAGGATTTTTGATCCCATGGCCGCATGTCACCGTAACTTAGCTCTCGACGCTGCACACAGGAGGAACGAGAACGACAAGATAAGGGAATACGGGGAGAGAATTCAGAACGTTGATCAAGGCAGCTTTACCCCTCTAGTGTTCACAACCTCTGGTGGGATGGGACCAAGTGAAAGATGCTTCTATGCCAGACTCGCGGAGGTGCTATACGAACAGAAGCAGCAGCCCAGAAGTTATGTTACAGCCTGGATGAGATGTCGACTAGCCTTCTCTCTCCTTAGGTCTGCTTTGCTCTGCCTCAGGGGAACGAGAGCATCGGCCCCAAAGCCGACAACAGTTGCAAATATTGACTATGAAGCAACAGTCACTGAATGCCGCATGAATCTGCGGCTCAACTAACTCAACACAGCTAGGATAGCGAATTGTGTATTAGGATATTTAATTTTAAGGTAATAAAATGGCGGCGGAGGTGTGGCTATAGGGGGAGGATGGAGGCCACGTAAAAAAGTATTAGCAGTTGTATTAGTAGTATAGTAGTGGTAGTAGCAGTAGTAGTAATGGTAGTAGTAGTAGTAGTAGTAGTAGTAGTAGTAGTAGTAGTAGTAGTAGTGGTAGTAGTAGAATTGTACATGCCATAATTATCATTAATTTTTCTACTATTTACATCCTTCAGATTAACGAAGATACGCCTGATGATGCTTCACACCTCGTCTCTATCGGTGTTACCAAGTCGGATGGGAATTACATCGCATTAACCAGCATTAAAAGCTTTGACAGCGTCTGTGAGTTGGCAACAATGTTGTCCTGACGAAAAAAATCTTATTACTTATATTAAAAGTGAAGTTTGTTAAACAGACAGATAAATGAACTCACTTAAGAAATAGATGAATATATTAAGTTATTTGTGTGTGTGTGTGTGTGTGTGTGTGTGTGTGTGTGTGTGTGTGTGTATAACATTCAGTCAGTAACATCACCATTGTTGTTCCACAGGGCAGCAGCAAGGGTGCCCAGCGATCTTCCACAAGGCTTACCAAGTAGAGAGTTACAAGAACGTCCGGAAAACCTGTCGTAACGAATATGTCCCACAATTTGGTGAACCCGAGGTACGATAGAAGAATACAGCGGTGGTAATAACACAGTAGCAATAGTACAGTGGTGGTAATGGTACAACAGCAATAGTATAGTGGTGGTGGTAGTGGTAGTATAGTAGTAATGGCATACGGCAATAAGCATGTATATACAGTATTGTAATAAGCAATAGCTGTTTACCTGTAAGCCTGTGTGCTGTACCTGAGAGGGAGATGGCTGGTACTAAGGTGTACAGTGCAATAAGTAATTCTTCTTCCCAAACGATTTCACTTGATAGTATGGATCTGCCTGTCTGTCTGTCCCCCACCTCCTCCTTTATCCTTCGTTCCCACCCTTCCTACTTCCCCCTCCTACCCCCTCCCACCCTCATTTCTTCCCTTCGTACTTTCCTTCCTTCATCCCTCCATCTTTCCTTCCATGTCAAGTCTCCAAACTCCTTCTATCTCCCTCTCTCCTTCCCTTTTTTCCTCCCTCCCACCTTCATTCCTCCGTCACTCTCTGCTAACCTCCCTCTATGAGTTACCATATTGTCTTGTATCGCAGGCCATCGTGAAGTGTGACGATGGGTACCACTCTGCCGGTCATGTCAAGTCGCTGGTGCTAGTGTGTACGAACGAGACGGGCAAATACACTTGGATGACCTCAGATGGCGACTTCCCTGACCACGACAAATTGCGTTGTGGTGAGACGAATGCAGTCATAATCTGATGCCTGTTTGTTTATTTGACTTAAGTTATGGTAGTCTGTGTATGTTTGTAAGGGAGGTGTAGTGTAGGGGTTGTGTGTAAGGGAGGTTTAGTGTAGGGGTTGTGTGTAAGGGAGGTGTAATGTAGGGGTTGTGTGTAAGGGAGGTGTAGTGTAGGGGTTGTGTGTAAGGGAGGTTTAGTGTAGGGGTTGTGTGTAAGGGAGGTTTAGTGTAGGGGTTATGTGTAAGGGAGGTGTAGTGTAGGGGTTATGTGTTAAGGGAGGCGGGGGGTGATCACTCAGTCAGTTTACTCATGCAATTCTTCATTCCCTCACTCGCTAACTCACACATTCATTGGCTGACAGACGGATTCATTCACTCCTTCACTTGACTCACAGGGGGTGAAGGAGGTTCTATTCCGTTGTATATGTATAATTATGAATCGCCTGAAGATTAGCCCCCAGATAAATTAAACACCCAAATACTATACAATAGGGGTGAGACGAGGTTGGGGTTAAGTTAGGTTAGGTTAGGTTAGCGTTAGGGTGTTGAATCATCAGGTGAAATAAGCTGGGGGTGTCTAATTTTTATGTTATTCTTAATTTTGACCATTCCTCACTTCTTTGCTTAGTAATGGGACTTCTTATGAATGTCTTGAAGTAACGCTTTGTCTCCTCACAGTACTGGGTGGCGGAGGCTATGCCAGCACAATCACCAGCTCCCTGTTCACTGTGTTGGGGCTCCTCTTCCTACTGTGCTGCCTCAACTTGGGCTCTAATGTCGATGTGGCCTCTTGTTGCCCATTCATCTGAACAAGAGGAAGGAATCAACCCCTGTGTGTAGTAGTCCGGATTCCAGATTCTTACCAAGGTTTCGGATTTTTACTAAGATTCCGGATTTTTACCAAGCTCCTGGATTTTTACAACATGTGGTGAATTATCCCATTAATACCTTCAACTTTTTTACGGATATCTTGTAACATGTTGTAAGGATCGTGCCTTTTGTGTTTTCACTCCCAAGATCTTTTTCATTCTGTTCTAGGTTATATATTATACCCTTCCACTGGACGTGTCAGGGGGTCTGGTTAGAGTGCCTGTATCTTTTGTACTTTGGATTAATTACAGTAACATGAATCATTGAGCAAATACTGTATCTTTTCGGGGCAATAAATTCAGTTTATAGTTTATTAATATTGTATAAACAAAATCACTCTATATGCAACTAAGAGTTTATTTCCGTTAGTAACTCACAATAATCTGTTTGTATGATTATTCTCTCATAAAGGAAACAAATGAGTATCGACCGACAGAATCATATCTTGCGACACAGTTGTTTAGAGTGAGGTCGTGAACTGTTATTTTTATGATATACAAGTATAGTATAGTACTTTATATATAATTTCTTCTCTTATTTCTTAATTTCCTAATCCTTCAAAGCCCTGCCTACTTATTTTGTTTTTTTAGGACAGGCATATCGTGCAGTCTTAGCGAACTGTGAAATAAACTAGCCTAACACATGCAGAGTATAATTTTCGTTTTGATAATATTTGGTGATCCTAAGACTAAGAGCCATAAGGTCAAGGGGTCACTTGTTTGATGTGCATTGTATGATTACTTTTGAAGTCATATATGTTAATATTTCTCAAGCTTATCTACTGTAATATTTTATCGGTGTTTGTTTTCTCCTCCATTTTTATAATATTTAATGGATGAAAATAATAATAAATTAAATTCTGTTTCTATTCTCCATATTTTTAAGTTTAAGTTACGTGCATTTTGTTAACATATGGTGGTGACGCATGAAGGGCTGCAGCTGGACTATACTGGAGTGCCTAATCTTCAGTTGATCCGTTTAATGTTATCCCAGACCTTAGCCATGATAATATAACACACGACACAAACCATATTATTGGTTAGGTTAGGCTAGGTTAAGGTTAGGTTAAGGTTATGTCAGATAAGGTTAGGTTAAGGTTATTATTTGGATAACATCATGATAGGTTCAAGTTATATTATGCTAACGTTATATACATAATTTAATGTTAAATTAAGGTTAGGTTAACAGTATTTTCTGTTAAAGTTATATTAGGTTAAATGTCATGTTAAGGGTATGTTAGATTAAGGCAATGCCAGGTAAGGTTAGGTTAAGTTTATAGTTCGTTAAGGATATGGTTGGATAATATTATGTAAGGTTAACTTTGGAGGTTACCGTTACTTTAGGTTAATCTTGCCGAGGTTGTATTGTCAAAGTTAACATTTCCCAAATTGGGATACTGGGCAGGGTGGAGGAGTTTCTTGTTTCGTAAATATAGAGGGACTTTTACATAGCTTGACATGTGTAATGAATTTCTGTATCCTTATAGTTTCATAATTATAATTCATGATCAATGATATCTTTTATTTTATTTTATTTCATTTTATTTTGCAATGCTTCAGTAGGTAATAGGTAGTAAGCAGCTATCAAACATGAAGGTGCTACTGCCTGGGAAGATCTTGGAAGCATAATGTGTTGTCTAATGGTAGACCCTGCTGCCATTTGGCACCACGAAAATTGTGACCAAGTCCCAGGTTGCTGATCTGACTTTCTGCACCATTTACACACAAGTGCGGGTTTCAATTGTTTCTCTTACTTTGACAACACAACATACATAATGTATATCGTTTCTTATTCTTGATTTGTTTTTTCGTTTTTGTATTTATTTATGGTTATTATTATTTTAAGTATTTTTGTATAAATTTTTGAATTATTATAATTATAATAGTTATTTTTATTATTATTATTATTATTATTATTATTATTATTATTATTATTATTATTATTATTATTGTTATTATTATTATTATTATTGTTTTCGCCCTCCAGGCCCTGATGTGGGTCAGTGACCTGTGCCCAGTGGGCTATTCACCCCCCCCCCCGCCCACAAAATAAAAGTTGAAAAGCTTTTCTCGGTAGGGATAGATAGTTTGAAGCTTCATAGGGCTTCGAGTATGTCTCTGAACTAATCTAAAGTTTACAGCACAGGGAAGAAACGAGAGTGCAGAGTGGGTGGTGGTGGTCAGGTGGACGGTTTCATTCTAGTGTTTGTGCTGGCCGGTGTGGTGCCTGAGTCCTCCGCCTGAGCCCTGTCTGTGCTGCTGAGGAGTCGTGGCCTAGGTTTGGGTGACTAGTTTTATAGTGTGTATACCCCAGGGGAGGTGCTCGTGTTGGAAGGTGGTATGTGTGTATACAGAATTGTTCCCGTGTTATGGTTGGAGAGGACATCGCAGCTCCAGACAGTGACGCTCATCGACAGGCATGGACTGCAGCAGCCGGGTCCAAGATGAGTACCAGACCATACTCCTTTATTAAGTTTTATGGGAAATTTTTAATGTATTTCAATATTTGGTAAAGGTGTAGATAATGGACTATTGCTCTGGGGTAAATATTAACGACATCGTTGCAACGTAATTCGTTTTGATGGACCTTTTCTTACTAGATTTTCATCGCTGGGTTCAGGAGATATCCATTGCCTCAGGGCTTAGGCAAATGCTTCGTTTGGTATTAGGCCCCTATAGGCTCGCACCAAGGGGCTCTCACTAACGTGGCACCACTTCCTCTTTCGCGGCGATAAACTGTAATGCGGCCAGATCCACTTACATTTTATTCTCAGTTTAGAACATGTTTACGAGTCGCTCTGTCTGAGCGGCGTTTGTCACGTCCACAACGTCCACGAAAAACCTAAAATTACACCATATCAAGGTAAGTTCCTTCTGTTAAATATGCAGGAGGGTCTGGGGGCTCTGCTAGGAAATAAGGTAAGGTTAAGTAGGTTTCTTTGGTTAGGTTGGAGCGGTCTTCTAACAACACTTCGGTCGCTTGTGTTTCTTATCAACTAAGATTAGGTTAGGTTTAATTTTAAAATAACTCCATTTTAACACATTTGCCCAACTACGACAGTGTCCACTGCAAAACGCAGTGAAATTGCGGAGTATTTAATTTCATTTTCCATCCGGTTCTTTCGTTCCGTTTTTGATTCTGCATTTTCCCTCTTCGAAGCCTTGCCCACCACGGGTAGGAACGGTCATAACATAATTATGCACTTCATAAAACTTTCAGTATCACAACTGTACACCTTTTATCACTTCGAATCGACGTATTTTTTTCAATAAAAATCACCAAATTATTGATTTATTTGGAAATTTTAATTTGATTTCGACATTTTTCACGTTGAAACGACATTTACTGCCTGAAACGACAAAAAATAGTTTTACTTCGGTTTTAAAGGAAACTATAGACGTATAGTATTTGAATCGGCAATTCACCATTCCAAAGTGGACCTTTCACCATCTCAGACGTCTTTTATTATTTTAGAATACAATCGTAACTGGATCTAAGGAAGCATAAATTGATTGGTGTGTTTTAGTATTTTTTTTTTACGGGGATTAGCCCACCCAGCCGCAGGTAACTGATCCACATCGGGGCCTGGGGGGGCGAAAATGTAATAATAATAATAATAATAATAATAATAATAATAATAATAATAATAATAATAATAATAATAAAGAACTATAAAGAAATACAAAATGAAAAAAGTCAAAAGTTAGGAATAATATACAGTATGTATGTTGTGTTGTCAATGGTAAGATAAACAAATGAGACCCTGCAATTGTGTGTAAATGGTGCAGAAAGTCAGATGAGCAACCTGGGACTTGGTCACAATTTTCGTGAAGCCATGTGGCAGCAGGGTCTACCATAGACAACACATTATGCTTCCAATATCTTCCCAGGTGGTAGTACTTCCCTGTTTGGTAGCTGCCTAATACCTACTACAGTATACTGTAGTCTCCTTTGACGTCTTCTATTTTAAAATGTGTGTGGTGATATTGAGTCTTAGTTATGAATAACTCTAAAACAAATTGTCAACATCTTAATGGGAGTTACAGTCCATAGACTTTATAATTTTCACTATACAGTACAGTAATATCTCAATGTGAGTGATATTCAAGAAACGGTATATTTTGTATCTGACATACTAATAAATAAATAGATTTTTCGATTCTGAGTGAAGTGAAAAAGGATGTATTCAACATGAAAACTACAATAAAAAAGCTTTCACCGGTTGAATAGCCTGGTAGTCTATATGCAGCCGGGACGGCTACATAGACTACCAGCATATTCAGCCGTGAACCCATAAACATATTAACTACTATATATCTGTAACTAGATATACAGTTTCTGCTTAATATGCCACGGGGTCCGGGTTAAGAAGTAAGATTAGGTTGGTTAGGTCAAGTTCTGTGAATTGTCGTTAACATTTTCTTGTTTGGTATTCTATAAATAACATCGTAATAGATTTTGGTGTAGTGGACGATGTATACTGTATAAGGCTGAAACAGTAACTTGATGGGTTACACTGTACATGTGCAGTACATATCAGCCAATTTATTTAATTGTTATGAAATCGTCAGGCAGTGTAAGAGACGTTAGAATGAATGCGCATAATGAGTGTTTACCATGGAATGTGCTGTGAGTCAAGTGTTGTTGTGGCACGGTGCCTCGGATTCTGAGACAAAAGTCCTTGATGTGACCAGCAGCATTTCCGTCAAATCGCCCGCTTTAACCACCTATTTACCAAATATCACTTAAACGACGGGAGAAGTATCATCCCTGATCACCACATACATATTTGTACCACTAATATTGCATAGTATATTGTGGCATACAAAAGACGCACATTTCGTCATGGCCCATTAGCTCAAAGTTGACATTTGTTTTGACCGACCTATTTATATCCTTGTTTAATAAACGATTTTTTAATTGCACAAGTAACTCCTTAACCCTCTCCATCCCTCTACCCCTTCACACACTCACCCTACTCAGCCCCCATAATACGCCACCCCCTCCCCCTTGCACACACCAGCCCCTGTCATCCCCTGGCCCCTTCTTCCTCTTATTCGTGAATGCTTCGGGTTCACAAGTCGATACTCTCGAGGTTCACACCTCACTGAAAGGGTGGATTGACAACGCTGAGTGGACTAGTCGGGGAAAAATCCCCAACTGTACGTACTATGGTAGTGTACACACTGTATTGGTGTATGTACTGTGGTAGTCTACAGGCTTTAATGGCGCAAGTGCTGTGTTAGTGTACACGTTGTTGACTCCCAAAAGTAAATCTCATAGCCTGTTAAAACTCCCTGGTTATTATGGTTCCAATTATGTTGACGATTTATCCTTTCAGAAACATCTTCCCATAAACTAATTCTGTAGTATAAAACAAGGTTGGTTGGTTTACGTCTGATTATTTGTTTTTGTCTTTAGTAAATCAGGAATTTAAAAAAAAATGCGTTTTATTTACTTTTACAACATTAAAGATTTTTCTCACGACAGGTTTAGCAAGTCTACGTGTTGACAGAAGCAAAACAAAACACACACTGCTGCGTGTTGTTCCTCACGATTGTATAATTTTAGGTTGTAGCCTCCGTGTTGTAATCTTTTGTAAACTCAAACTTTCTGTAGTCTCCATCCTGTAGACTTCTTTTTGTAAGCTGTAAGGTTTAAATCCTCTTGTAATCTTTCCCTGTAGACTCTAAAACTCCGTTGACTTCCTCTGAAGGACTTAAATTGATTAGACTACCTTTATAAACTCCTAAATATCATCACTCTGGTTCAGGCTTCGAGACGCAGACTCCTTTAAAGAGTTTCTAGGCGGAACTGTAAGTCTTCTGGCGCTCCTCCTCCCTGGTAGCGACCCCCGTGTCAGACTCCCTCTAAATAGGAGCCTCTTTACTGTAGGTCTTGTAGAATCCTCGTTGGGAGACTCCTTGTTGTTGCTTTCTCAGGCCTCGATAGCCGTGTGACATTGCTGCGTCTTGTAAACATGGCTTCAAACATCCTAAGCTCCCTTCTGCAGGTCTATCTTGACCGAGACAATGTTTACGATGTTCTGAACTAGTCTCTCTGCTGCAACCTCTCTTTGGTAGACTCCCGGGTGCACGAGACTCACTTCAGGCGACAGAGGAACCGTCTGCGGACATGACAGGGGAGAGCAATGGCATGATACTCTTGGCCGCCGTCCAGAGTCATGCAGACGCCCGCGGGGGCCAAGGCAGGGCCAAAGTGGCGAGGTTGTCCCGGGGCCCACACCTTGGAGGACACCCTCGTGCCCTCCACCCACTTCCATCTTCTTCCAGCGCCTCCTCCGCCCTTGATTACGCCTCCGTCTTCATCCTCTCGCCCACCCACCCAGAAGGGCCAAAGAGTCCCTGAAAACAAGATGTGATCAATAATAGTTTGTTAATTGTGTTACACTGAATATACTGTAATGTGCATTTTTTCAAAGATGTGTCCTTTTTAATTTCTTATCCGTGATTGCTGTATTTTTGTTCTTATTTGTAAATATAAAATTTTATTACATTAAACATTATGGTATTTTTGTTCTTTCATACGCGCTCGTGGCATTTCTGTTCTTGTTACTGATATTTTCTTTGTTTTTATTTTTAACTTAATTGCGATATTCCTGCAAATATTTGAAACTTGAAATTTGTTAATAAAATTGCATTAATGTTAGGTTTTTGGTCAAGTAATGTATGCTTTCGTTTGTGATTGTGGTTAACGTGTGTGTGTGTGTGTGTGTGTGTGTGTGTCCTTATCATGACTTGTCTCTTATCTAAATAATAGTTGATATTTCAAGTTAAGATGATGAGGAGATATCTTATGTTCCGAAAAAAAAAATTCTTGTACACTTAAGTGATATAAATAAAGTGAACTTAAACACCTTGAGTGAGATTATTTATGCCAGCAAGACTTAACAAACTTGCCGAATTATATAATGGGATTATAGGGACACTTGTCTTAACCTCTTGCCGGACCTTATAAAGGAAGGCTCGACTTAAACCTGGATGACTCAGTTAAAGAGTAATTCTAAATGTTTATTTGATCTCAGTGACCTCCACAACACACGTGAACAATGTAATAAGTAAACAAATAGGATAAATGGAAGAAAACCAGAGTTATCTACTGTTCCTCCGGTGACCCGCTGAGGTACTCACTTCCCCAGTGTCACTTGATATACACAGTCAAGAGCTTGGGACTCTTCTTCCTGTTTTCTTTACGAGTTTTACTTAAAATTTTATTACATGCAAAAAATGAAAGTGAGTCCCATACACTTGACCAGCACACAGTACAGTACAGTGAGCCTCCGGTATACAAGGAGGCAGTATGGCAGACACTACCTTCAACCACATGCACATCCTTAACTGTAAACTGAATTAATTAACTTAATCTGATTTTACACTAATTCGGAATCAATCCAATCATAGTAGGGCTAAACTAACACCTATATAAGTCATTGTTTACGGAACTGATCTCAAAGTCAAAACCAATCTACTCTTGCGCCACTAAAATCTCCAACTATCTGGAGACAATACGAACTATAATTCAAAACCAGTCTAGTCATAACAGAGCTGAAGGACGTAAACTGAGCTAACATCTTCCAAAAGAATTTGTAAGGCGTAATAGGATCTTACAAGTTCGACTGGCCTGTCCGTGTCTCTCCTCCAGGTAGGACCTCAGTAGGACATTGTCGTGATCCCAGGCCAGCTGTCCGCCGCCCTCTGACCTGCCCAGGAGATAATACGTACTTCAGTTAGCTTGGTTAGGTTAAGTTTGGCTAAGTTGGATTAGATTTGGCTGGATTAGGCTGGGTTGGGCTAGATTTGGTTGGATTAGGTTACGTTGGGTTAGGTTGGCTTGGGTTAGGTTAGATTGGGTTAGGTTTGGTTAGATTGTGTTAGGTTTGGTTGGGTTGGGTTAGGTTAGGTTAGGTTAGTGTTGGAAATTCTGAATGTGATCGGACACTTTTGATTTTGGACACACCTTTCCACATTGTATCAAGCAAAGACCATAGAGTATCAACAAACATCAGCTCCCTCTCTACTCATCAGCTCTTGCATCAACCACTAATGTACAGCCAAGTCCTTAGCGAATAGTTAACCCGGCCGGTACTTTACGTGGGAACGAGTGTTTTGTTGTGGTGTATCCCAGGGTAGTGAGGTGGGGGTTGGACTACTTGCCCTGGGTGAGGAGTTGAGCACATATTATCCTGTACCTGTCTGGAAAAGATTCGTCGCAGGACACAATTACGTAAATTGTTTAACTGTGGAACGACCTGTAATCCACCATGGTTTCGCTGTCCATAGATTTAATGTTAGTGGAGTAATGGTGGGGGCATTCGAAGGTGTTCATATTGGCGGGAACTGATAGGATATAAGCTTAACATTTTTGATAACCGGGGGAAGCGATATAAAGGCAGATAATCGACTTCGTGCTTTGATCCTTATAAGATAGAAAAGTTGGGGAGGGCAGTTGAGAAAGTTGTGAACGTTGTAAGGTCATTGTTATCGCCATCGCAATTGTGCGCGCCGGCCACATGTTAAGTGCAGAAACTTTTACAACTCAGAATGGCTTACTAAGCGAGATGGAGCTGGTAGCAGCTGTGTGACTGCCTGAGGGACAGTCTATCGCCTTCTACTGTAAAGGCAACATCTTGATTCTCGTCAGCCAATATCTTTCTGCAGGACATTATATTTGTTCTCGTTGGTCTAACCGTAGACCCCAAAACGTGAGTGTGATTGTGAACTGTTGAATCCTCTGAGAACTCTAAATAACTTTAATAAGTGTAATTATGTACTGTATATTGATCGTATTATTCAAACTGTGTCCTGATGTACCAGCAGTTGTTATATGTGAATTGTATTCAACAGGTTTTGACCGAATTATACTCATCGCGTCAACGACAAGGGTCTTATTGTCCTGCACCAACGAAAATCGCTCCTATGAGCGATTACAGTCATTAGGATCGAGTCCCGCATATCTCTTCTGGCCAGTTTAATAATAATAATAAAAGCGCGAATCAATGCCTGTGTCTAAACCGACTCTTTCACACGACGGGGTCCACATGGGAAATATATTGACACAACATCTGATATCTTTAGCTTACACCTCGTGAGCCAATCCTGCGAGGTTGAGAGTTGGTTATAAAATATAGTCTTAATATTGAACATCTCTGCTTCCTATTTGATCTCGAATACATGTGTTTTGGCCATAATTAGCTTTTGATTTCGATTTCGATTTCGATTAGATTGCCCCGGAAGGGGCTAGTTTATTGGGCACCCCCTTACATCCTGTGCAAGGTGAAGCGCAGAAGCGTTTACAGCGCCCAACTTTATTTTCAACAGAACTTTAATTGTGCTCTCTTAACCCTTTCTAAGTTAGTTAATGACGGGGAAGGTAATTAACACCATCGGGTCTCTGTCTCAGCAGTTCCAGTGACGGCTGTAGTTCCTGGGCTCCATCAACACCCATGTCCTCTTGGTTAGATTCATATCATATTAATTTTCATTATAACTGTCATTTATAGACATTTAGTTAACAAAATGTATAAGTACCTTATCACCGAGCCCAGGGAATTAGTCCTAAGTGTTGAGGACACTCGCAGATTAATAGAATGCAATCCTGCAACAGATGAACGGCTGCTGAATGTGAATTGAGGTTACTGGAATAGCGGAAAGGTGAGACAAATAGGTAACGAGAAGAAACTAATCGGCAGCAAAAACACGAAATCGCTCTGGCCCAAATTAGATCACAGTTCAGTAACACGGGGATCTGGGGACGTCTTCAAAAGTTCGGTGCATGATAAGGGTTAGGTTAGGCTGAGTTACATTCAATCATGTGGGGTTAGTTTAGCTTAGGTTGGTTAAATTAGGTTAGTTTGGGGGAAGTAAGACTAAGTTAGTTTAGGGGAGGTTAGGTTAAGATATAATGCGTTCTTCAACTATTATGGTTATGAGATGGGTGTTGGTAGTCTGACTAGTTCCTGTTTTGGGGATAGATAGATTTGGTCTTGCTGGTTAGAGGTTGGGGGATGGAAAGTCTTGACAGATTGATGGTGGTTGTTATTAGTTAGTACCTATACAGTAGAATGGATTGTGGTGATTGATTGGTTTGGTCAGAGAGAGAGAGAGAGAGAGAGAGAGAGAGAGAGAGAGAGAGACCTTTACCTGCAGTAATCAGCAGCCTCTAGCCAGGATATTTTTTGATGCGTCACCTGCAGTACACACATCTCCCCCGCCACCCTTTCATAGGGCGTGGGACATGAGTCGCTTCTCGCACTGGCTGTAGCAGAGATCTCCTCATCTGACGTGGTCTTTGGCAGCTTCCCTGTATGTAGGTGTTGATATGAAATGTGCCGCGTCTGTACATTACACATAAATCTGTATAATATGTTATGGGATTTCTGTAATTGAAATGGGATTGATTATTGTCCTTACCTACTCATAGAAATAATTCTAGAATAACCGTATTTTTAACCTAAATCTGAACATTGTGGTCGCCTTTGTTTAATCCGAATCTGAAAGGTCACTAAGATGAAAGGATAGAGGTGAGTGGTGTGGGAGAGGTGAGTGGTGTGGGAGAGGTGAGTGGTGTTAGATTACTTCTCCTGACGGTGAACGTGGATGACTGTACCTGTATGTGTACCTGATTCTGGTGTCAGTCCTGTATTTCTGTGTATATAAATTTCTGAGCCTCGACTGACAGCTTGCAACACCACAACCCCTCCCCTCGTCCATCCTCCCCTTTTCTCTCCCCCTTCCCTCCTCCTTCTCCAACTCCCTCCGACCACCACCTACACTCTCCCTCTCAGCCTCTTTTCTCCTCTGCTTCTCGTCTCTCATCCCCCTTTCTTCCTCCTCATCACCTCTTATAGTCAACGTAGCATTAGCAGTGACAGCATCGAGAGGCGTACTGGCGCGGCAGGTGTACACGCCCTCATCCTCCTCCCTGACCCCATTCACCACGAGGGCGTTGTTGGGTCGGCTCTTCAGTCTCTCGTTTTTCAGGAAGTCGACACGTTCACCGTTCACCAGCCACTCAACCTTCAGCTCCAGGTCACTGTCTGCTGTTGCCTTACACCTGTGGAAGGAGAGGACGAAGAGAAATAAGAATAACAGGTAGATGAAGAATAGAATAACAACACCCGACAGTTACAAAGCAAATAGAAATGAAATCAAAGCAAAGTAAGATAGTTATGAATTATGTTTAGATCAATCAAATTAGGTGGTAAGAAAATTGGCACACTGAAAAAAATAATACAAAAACAAGGTCGTCTAATCCAAACATGGCAACAATAACAAGGACGCCATTAAGTACGAGGATGTGAACAAGGACGAAAAGCAACAAACAAGGAGAAGGATATTATTGATACAAATACGTTATCAAGAACAAGGATGTGAATAAGGATGGGAACAAGAGTAAGCACATGAACAAGAAACAAGATCGTTAGCAGTAACAAGGACGTTAGTAAGAAACAAATGCGTCAAAAGAAATAAAAAGCATGAACATTGCCAGAGAGTGTTGCGGCGGCCCTGATGTGAGCTCATACAAGACCACACTTGACCAACATCGGCGCAGGTACAGATACATTCAGAAGCCAGTACTTGCCAGCAGTGCGTAACAGCGACGTGACCGACCGCCCAAGCGAAGAGGATTAAGTAAAGGACGATAGAAAAGAAGAACCACATTATTAAAAAAACGTCAAATTAAACAACAAGGACGTCAAGAACACATACCTGAAGAGAGCGTTTGCTCCCCTAGCACGTACACGGTCCTTGGGGGGCTTAATAATCCTGGTGGGTTTCTCTACAAGGAGGAGGATGCTGCTTTCCATCACCCCATGAGTGTTGACGGCCTGGCAGTGGAAGCGACCCGCATCACTCGCTGTAACCGACCTGACCGAGTACACCCAGAAAGCAAGAGGTGATATTGAACGATAGAACTCTAATTTATGTCATTTGCTTACATATATTAACAGAATGACTCAATTTTATTGTTTATATTATTAGTGATGAAGCTGTGACACTTTAATGAAGTGGAGGGAGTGACTCAAGAGTGTTTGGAGTCTTCAGTCAAAGTCACTCATGAAGTCCTTGATGGTAGTGGGGATGAAGATGGCAGTAGTCCTCGTGATGATGATGGTAGTGGGGATGAAGATGGCAGCAATACGAAATGTTGAAGGACGAACCTAATGATCAGGTCACCATCACGGTTGACCTGGAGGCGGGAGGAGGACAGGAGGACGCCATCTTTGTTCCAGTGAACGGTGGGTGGAGGTTGACCCGAAACCCGGCAAGTCAAGGTCACGGTCTTGCCCTCCACCGCATGGATGTTTCTCGGTGCCTCTGGGTCAAGGCAAATCAAGTTAGGTTAGCTTAAGTCAGGGGTAGTTAGATATTTTATGGTTACTAAAGGGACCCCAAAGCTCCCTTAGTATGCCTTCAAAGTTTCAGGTATTGCAGCTACGGAACATATACAGGCTCATATATATATATATATATATATATATATATATATATATATATATATATATATATTATTTCATGTAAATCCACAATGATAAAATCCACAGAGTATAAATGAAATATCCAGTGTTGTTAGTACAGTTTATTGACAATCATAGGGAATCTGATATGGATTTTACAGTAAATGTTCAAAGTTCCGGTCCTCTTCCTGAGTGCAGGCTTCAGCCCGTCGCATAGGTGACTTGTACACGTTTGAAGACTCCAGGAGTGTTGTGAGTGCTTGTGGCACTGTCCTGCACTCGACGCTACAATTCTTCACGAGTCGGGACCTCTGGAGCATACACTTTGCTTTTAGCGTGACCCCACTTGTAGAAGTCAAGGCGATTTAGGTCAGGTGATCGAGGTGGCCATAGAAAAGTGCCGCCAAGTCCTATCCGCCTGCTAGGATACCCAACATTTAGGAATTTCGTTGTTACTCAAGTAAAATGAGCTGGGGCACCATCATGTATGTACCACAATTGTTGACGCATCCTGATGGGCACATCCTCAAGCCTCACTGGCAACGTGTTCTCAAGAAAATGTGTATATGCTTCATCTGTCAGTCGCTGGGGGCCAGTAAGGTGACCTTGGTATGCCCCGGATTGAGAAGTGTATTGAAGTTAGGCGACAATTACTTCTCTAACGTCAGTGTCACAGCTTATACACTTGGGGTTCTTAATAATTCTTACACCAAAAATGCTCACGTACATTTAAAAATATGCAACAGGAAAATGACAATAAGAAACCCATATTGTATATTTTACAGCCTTTAATAGCAGAACAAGAAGCAACTTATATATTATAGTACACAGACAGTAATTAATATACCTCTTTAACTAGAGATGTGAGATCGTATCTTAACACGCTCACTGTGACGTTATGGAAAGGTAGTAGCCGAAAAAATGCCTTTTAATTGGCACTATAAGATGCTGTGGTACCTGTGTGTGTGTGTGTGTGTGTGTGTGTGTGTGTGTGTGTGTGTGTGTGTGTGTGTGTGTGTGTGTGTGTGTGTGTGTGTATGTGTGTGTGTGTGTGTGTGTGTAAAGATGATGATGGTCCTTTGGTACCTTTACCAACTGTGTATCTGTTGAGGTGACGGTTACCGTGAATATAAATTACTTGTGAAACTGTCGTATACGTAACAACCTTCCTGGTTTGTCACCACTTGTAGCAATCACTTGTGAAGCACGTTACCTTATATTTTAGGCATACTGAAATATAGATCAAAGTTTATTGGATCTTCTGTAGTGAAATCCAATATGTGCCGAATAATTTTTTAGTGGGTGTACAGTTTCAAAAAGGATTATCACCGTAATTTAACCACTGTAGCTATGAGTGTTAAATGAGGACGGAGGCTGTGTTAAATAGCTCTGCTAAATACGTCCTGTTGATGATGAGAGTTGAGCGAGGTGAGTAGGGACCCATCGAGGGAAGAACGGAAATATATCCGACGTCCTCCCTCGAGGGAAGACGGAACCATCCACGATGGCTCTCAATAACGTCTTCCTCTAGTGAGTGATATCAAACTACTGCCCGCAATAGGTGGCCAGAGAGCCGGTTACTTAATGCTTAACTCGGCACGTAATTGACGTGACTTCCCGTGAGCACACCTTATCACGTGCTCTGAACATGCTACCTCATAGGCTAATACACTCTCTGTCAGGCCACTTGAATTTTTTAAACCATTTAGTTTTAGGGATCAGAGTTATGACATATATAAATATTTAAGCCCATAAACACACCATAAATACTTCTGTACACACACACACACACACACACACACACACACACACACACACACACACACACACACTCACAGCTATATTGGTGGCCCCCCGGATAAGAACAACACACACGGCGTCGAGAATAACAATAATATAATACCACTCTTATAACTGGCAGTATCATATGTACACATTCAAGACACAGGTGTGTATCACCTTACTGCACTCAGGAACATACAAGGGAACATACAGCATACAAGGGAACATTCAACATACAAGGGAACATGCAACATACAAGGGAACATGCAACATACAAGGGAACATACAACATACAAGGGAACATGCAACATGCGCGGGAACATACAACATACAAGGGAACATACAGCATACAAGGGAACATTCAACATACAACATTTACTCACACGTGGCTCAACAGATCATGGGAAGAATATTATTAGACAGCTTATGTTTACTTCACCAGATGATTTAACGCCCGAATGCTACTTTATACTAATCAAACTAACCGAATTTAACTTTATCTAACCCAAGTTAAACTAATCTAATTTTAACCAATGCTAACTTTATCTAACCCAAGTTAAACTAATCTAATTTTAACCAATGCTAACTAACCTAACTTAACTAATCCTAATTTAAACCTATCATATCCTATCTTAACCTAATCCATCCTATCCTACCTTAACCTAACCTAACCTTACCTTAGCTAACCTAACGTAATGTGAGCTAACCACTCTAACACTAACCTAACCTAAACCCCAAGGCAGCGTTAGGGTCGGTTAATCATCGGATGAAATAATGCTGAAAGGGGCGAGTCTTCAGGTGATCCTATGAGGCTTACAAATTGATGTTTACGTATTTAAATCCTAACTGGTTGAATTCCTTGAGATATCCGTCATATCCTTGAGGCATCTGTAATGGTCAATATCTCAATTAATAAAAAAAAACACGATTAATTAAAGAAATAGTCAACTAATTCACTAATACTAAATACTTTTGATTGGTTTATTTGTCATATTCTATTTACGTTGTAGGATTTCGTAAAACAGGTTACATTTACAGTCAACTGATGCCATTTACAGCATCTGGTAATTGACTAAGCAGAGGGTAAGTGTTGTTGCCGAACTGTGAGGATAGTAGTCTTGCTTATTATCTTATATGAGTGGGAGAAGTAGAGAAGAGTTATATTTTAGGATCACGTTAAGATAAGTCCTCCCAGCTTATTTCATCTTCAAATTAACCACCCTTAACTTTAACCCAATTTACCTAACATAGACTAACCTAACCCACTGTGACTTAATCTAACCTAACTCCTCCAGGTGAAATATGCTAAGGGGGGGGGGGGGCCAATCCGCAGGTGATCTGATTTTTTTATATTTGAAATTCAAGGACAATATCAGTTGAGCTGACAAGAACTGGGATCCGAACCTCCAGGAACTTAACGAAGTAATGGAAACAATAACCAGTGAACGAATATCTCGTGTGTCTTAGAGAACGAAATGAAGATGGGACTTAATGCTGATAAGAGTAGAGGGGAAGAGGCATGGACTGGGGAAACATAAGCATCTTACACAAGCAAACAGAAACCAAAGACAAGCGACAGAAAACAACTCGCATCAACTCGGATTACTTCCAGGAACACTCACCAACCACCTTGAGGTAGAATATCTGTGTGGTGGGCGGGGTGGTGGAGACCTGACACTCGTACTCTCCTTCGTCACTCTTCTGTAAGGAACTGATCTGTAGCTGCCACTCCTCCCCCTGATGCACGGCGGAGAAGCGCTCGTCAGAGGAGTACGTGAAGGCACCAACCGTCAGGAGGTGAGTATCCCTCATCCAACTGACCTGCGGAGGGAACAGGAGAGGATATGAGGCGTCGTTACTGTAAATGGCGGTCCAAGTAGCGTCCCTTGAGGTACTACGTACCTCACGCTGTCACCACCAGTAACTTACTGCAACGTCACGTCACACTTTCACCACCGGTAACTCACTGCAGTTTCACTAATCACACCGTCACCACTGGTAACTAACTCACTGTAGCTTAAGTCACACTGTCAACACTTATCGTGTCATTAGCTCATACTGTTATATTGATATTGAAACTGTTTATTTAGCCAGGAGAACACAGATACAGAGTGGATAAATAATAACAATATTAACATGTTTGAGCCAGTTGAGAGCCTGAGCTCTCTTGGAGGCACCTGATATATACTGTACATTTATCTTTTGGAAGAATTATGTAACATTTACTATAGTATCTTCTGAGACAGTACATGTAACAAGGTGGTAATAAGAACATATCAGAGTGTTGCCACGGTTATTACTTCGTTATTTTATTTATTTATTTACGTTTATAAGTGTATACATATTTTACAGTGGGGTTGATATTCATTAATATGGTAAGGGAGGGAAGCAGTACAACATGGGTTGTAATAAGGTGGAACAAGAGGACAGAAGCTGTCAGTATCGTGTTTTGTTGGCAAATATAATTATTACAATGGTAATTTCTATCTATCTACATGACAATTTATGATACTATATAATGGTTTTGGTGGTACAATAAAAGTAGGAATATAAAGTGGGTGTTAAGTTGTTCCACACCTTCACACCATATTTTATGGAGGTCTGGGACTGAGAGGGGCACATGGGGGTGGTCTTAGTAGCTCTGGGTGCCTTAAGTTGTATCTCTGATTATTCCAGAACTGGAAATAATTATTGTCAATCAAATAATTTGACAGACTCGTAAACAAATAGGGCACAGCAGTAGGTGTTAATATCCTCGAATTTCAACATTTTAAATTTAGCAAATTGTTCGTTTTTCAAGTAGGTCATTGTCCGCACAACTTTCTTCTGTGCAGTAATCAAGGCCGTTTGTTTTCTATAGTACGTAATAAAAATTATGAATGGTTACTTAGTTCCCTGTAGCTTAACTAATGGTTGTGCTTTTGTTGTTTCGTATTATATTATACTACGTACTATAGTAAACAAACGGTCTTGAGTTGCCAGCTGTCTCCAGCAGTGTTCGAAGAATCTTGAACGAGACTGTACAACAAGAACAGTACAGGACCGAGAGTGGAACCTTGAGGGACGCCATGCAAAATTGGTGAGGAGTCAGATTGATTATTATTATCATAGCAGACATCCTGCTTCATGTTTGACAGATATGAGGTAAACCAATTGTGGGATAAGCCCCTAACTCTGTAATGTTCAAGCTTTGCCAGGAGGATGGTATGGTCGACAGTAGCTTTAGAGGGGTCCAGGAATATTCTGACTGTGAACTGACTATCATCAAAGTTGCTTAAGATGTCGTTAGTAAAGGATAGCAGAGCTCTCAGTTGACCTTCTAGCTCTAAATCCAAACTGATAGTCTGTAAGGATGTTATTGACACTGCAGAAGGAATTTAGTCTATTACATGCTAGCTTCTCCAGTATCTTACTTAAGGCTGGGAGGACTGATATGGGGCGGTAATTCTTGAAAGACTTTATCACAAGGTTTCCTTATATGCTGGGTGAACTTTATCAATTCTCAGTTTGTCCGGAAAGGCACCACTAGTGATGCTCATTGGTATATTGTCGTCGCCTGCTGCTCCATTTTTTTACATTTTTATGATGGTCAATAATTCAGCTGTCGTGACAGGGGATAAGAACAGCTCATTTTGCTGTCTGTTTTGTAGGTATAGGCTCTAAATCCTCATGGTGAATAGCGATGCTCTCTGCAAGATTTTTGCGAACACTAATAAATAATCATTGAAGTGGTTGGTAATAAGGGAGGGTTCCGTTACAACTGTACCATTTATCATAAAAGCCGAGTAGGGGGGCGTGGGTTGAGTGTTCCTTTTCTGAATAGAATTGATGATACTCCAGGTTTTCTTACTGTTGCCCGATGTTAACTGTAGCTTATTTGTATAATAGCTACGTCTGGCATTTCTAACTGCTTGAGTTACTCTCTTTCTGATACTTCGGTTATCGGCAATCACTCAAGAGTAGCATCACTAACTAACAGTAGCGTCACAACTTACGGTTTTAACGCCGATGTTGTTGACACTGCAGGTGAGTGTAGCTGTGTCACCCATCACGGCTGTCAAGTTCTTGGTACCCTCCGGCACGATCTTTCTCACCGTAGAGGCAGCAGACGGTGTCGGTGCTGGTTCTGGTGAAAAAAGAGTACACTTCGAATCACTGGGCAAAACGATTCTCTTAGCGAAAGAGAGAGACTTCATCTGTTGGTGTACATCACACTAGCTCACAGCTGAGACTCCTTTAATGGCTATATATATATATATATATATATATATATATATATATATATATATATATATATATATATATATATATATATATATATATATATATATATATATATATATATACACGTAAGTTTTATTTAAAGTATATACTGTAGCCTTTGTCTTCCGTCCACTTCCAATTTCTTTTAAAATTATTATAAAATTTTCATCTAAAAGCAATATTAATATGTCTTATACATTTAACCTCAACATTATAATAATACGAGCATTAGTATATTAATTCAAGTGTTATTACAAGAATTTGTCCTCTACAAGTTTTTTCCTGAAGTATTTTCTCCAGCCCAGTGTGTTCGTTTCCTGTTGCTATTTTTTGCTCCGGTCAACTGGACGAACTTCCATTTTTGTTTACTTGATCAACGCCACAGAGAACCTATGTGAAGGTCCCAGAGATGACGACGAGTGCAAATATGTCAGACATGATAAGCTGACACCTTTCACCCTGATTCACATCTTGAAAGGTTCGTAAAGCAGTAAAGATGTAAGAAGCACCTAACTGATTGACTTAAGCTATGATAAAGATGTCTATAAAAATATAATATCTCAAGTGTCCAGACTCTAGAAATCTTATATACAGTACGTTAAATTTGTCTCCATCTGTTAAAAGCAAAAGTTGAGCGCCACTGTTAATGTTAATTAGGGACGTTATTTTTGTGTTTATTTTTAAGGGACATTGTAAGTAAAGGTTCATTTTCATATTTCCAGTTAAGTCGCAACACTCACCAACCACCTTGAGGTAGAATATCTGTGTGGTGGGCGGGGTGGTGGAGACCTGACACTCGTACTCTCCTTCGTCACTCTTCTGTAAGGAACTGATCTGTAGCTGCCACTCCTCCCCCTGATGCACGATGGAGAAGCGCTCGTCGGATATGAACGGGTACTGGTTCACCGTCAGGACATGCGCGTCTCTTACGCGAATCCAAGCTACCTACAGAAGGAACAGGAAGACTCGTGACTGACAGTAGGGTATGTCTTGCTGCAGTATCCCCTCTAACTCCCATCAGTACCCTCTCTTAACTTCCATCACTACCCCCTCTTAACTCCCAGCAGTAACCTCTGTAATTCCCAGCAGTATCCCTCTTAACTCCCATCAGTACCCCCTTTTAACTCCCATCAGTACCCCCTCTAACTCGCAGCAGTACCCCCTCTAACTCCCAGCAGTACCCCTCTAACTCTCAGCAGTATCCCCTCTAACTCCCAGCAGTACCCCCTCTTACTCTCAGCAGTGCCCCCTCTTAACTCGCAGCAGTACCAAAATACCTTCAATATCATCACTACTAACTCAGAGTGGCGTCACTGTAACTCAGAGTGGCGTCACTGTAACTTAGAGTAGCGTCACTGTAACTTAGAGTAGCGTCACTGTAACTCAGAGTAGCGTCACTGTAACTTAGAGTAGCGTCACTGTAACTTAGAGTAGCGTCACTGTAACTCAGAGTAGCGTCACTGTAACTCAGAGTAGCGTCACTGTAACTCAGAGTAGCGTCACTATAACTCACAGCAGCGTCACTTACAGTTTTGTCGCCGAGGTTGTTGAAACGGCAGGTTAGTGTAGCTCGGTGACCCAGCACGGCTGTCAAGTTCCTGCTGCCTCCCGACTTGATGCTCTTCACCGTAGAGGCAGCTCGTGATGTCGGTGCTGGTTCTGGCGAGTCTTGTGCAAAGAGTAACTTACCAGTCACTTACATGAGCAAGTTAGAGATCGAGAGAATTTGAAATAGAGAGAGCCAAAAAAATCACTTAATTACCGTAAATATTATCTTTATGTAGCTACTTTATGTAACTATTGTATAAAAGTGGTATAGTAAACCTATTTATATAGCTAGTTTATATAACTAGTATAGCAAAAATGTTTCTATAGCTAGTATACTGTATATAAGTAGTATAATAAACCTTATGTGTACACAGCTGCCTTATAAAACTAGGACAGTAACTTATGAACAAAAAATTCTTCTAGTATGAACTGTTTTATCATCAGAAATATCGGTATTACCTGGGTGTGTTGTTGGCAGTGTTACCTGGGTGTGTTGTTGGCAGTGTTACCTGGGTGTGTTGTTGGCAGTGTTACCTGGGTGTGTTGTGTTACCTGGGTGTGTTGTTGGCAGTGTTACCTGGGTGTGTTGTTGGCAGTGTTACCTGGGTGTGTTGTTGGCAGTGTTACCTGGGTGTGTTGTTGGCAGTGTTACCTGGGTGTGTTGTTGGCAGTGTTACCTGGGTGTGTTGTTGGCAGTGTTACCTGGGTGTGTTGTTGGCAGTGTTACCTGGGTGTGTTGTTGGCAGTGTTACCTGGGTGTGTTGTTGGCAGTGTTACCTGGGTGTGTTGTTAGCAGTGTTACCTGTTTGGACATTTTTGTGTACGTTATGTCTGTTGTTCCTGCAACGTGAACTTAAGAATTTTTAGGTGAAGTCTTTTAAATTATTGTTACGAAGAATATCAATTCAGGAACCTGGGAGAATCCGACCCAGCAACACTCACCAACCACCCTGAGGTAGAATATCTGTGTGGTGGGCGGGGTGGTGGAGACCTGACACTCGTACCCTCCCTCATCACTCTTCTGTAAGGAACTGATCTGTAATTGCCACTCCTCCCCCTGATGCACGGCGGAGAAGCGCTCGTCGAGGGAGAACGTGTATTGTCCCGCCGTCAGGATGTGAAGGTCCTTTTGACGAGTCCACGTGACCTGAGAGAGGAACAGCAAGTGAATTGTACGACACAGCACCATTCTGAAGGCTGCCGGGGTACTCGGTGAGCATTCAAAATTCTACCGCAATTACCTCCTAACTTGACTACTCCCTAACATAACCACCTGTTAACCTAACCTAATGTACACTAACCTAATGTACCCTAACCTAACCTATCTTCTAATGTTACTGCAACTTATGGTAGTGCCACTATAACTCATAATAGCATCACTGTAACTCATGGTAGAGTCAGTAACACTATAGAGCTAATGTAACTCCCGATGACATCATTGTAACTCACGGTTTCGCCGCCCAGATCGGTTACCCGGCAGGTCAGCGTCACAGCTTCACCCTGCATCGCTGTCACGTTTCTGTCGTTGACTGTCACAATCGTGGGCTCTTCCTCTTCTGGTTGTGACGGTTCTAAGGAGAAAGAATAATAATGTTTTATTCTGGGTTGTGTCAAAAGTTATTCTGGGTCATGTGACACTGTAGAAGAAAGTGTCAAGTCAAGAGTTATTTGAGCCTTTTTATACTTTCTTGTAAAACGAAGCCAATATTAGTAGGTTAGTGTCTGTTAAAGTTTAGTGAAGTTATCAATAAATTCATTCATATTAAATCCTACCTGTAATATATACTGAAGCCTATTACAGTAATTACTAGTATTGACGTAACTTTCTGCACTTGAAACTAAAGCAACTAGAGTCCTGTGACGAACATTGTACAGTCCTTCAGTGGTGAGTCTGTCTTAACGTCCGTCCTTGTCCAGATTCTTAGCACCAGTCTCACTCACCAACCACTGCACTTAACTTATTCATATTTCTTGTGTTTCTTTGTTATTGCGGCGTAAGTTTTCGGTGTAGTTGAGGTTCATTGTTATATCCACACTTACTCGAGTGTACTGGATCACCCTTATAGCCTTAAAATATCGCCTCCTGGTATGAACACTCACTCAACCTGCATGTGCTGGGCTGAGGCTCGAGTGTTTCCCGAGTCCCTCCAGCACATACACAGCCACACCCATTCTCTTTGTACTCCAGACTCTTTCTCCCTTAATTCTTCTAATCTCTCCTCTGTGGAATATCACTTGTTTACATCTTCTCTTAATTTCACTCCCCCCCTTTCATTAAATCCTTGTGAACCTTGAATCATTTAACATGAAAGTATCTAGCTCAGAATTATTTTACCCTTTATGATTGTTCTCTCGTGTTTCCTGTCCCATCAGCTTAACTCCTTCAACTATGTGGACCTATTCAACTGTTTAGCCATTTGCCAAGACACGCCCCCACATACTAGTATTCACTAATCTGGGGACTTCAATATACAACACACAGAATGGCTAACCTCTCCGGATTTTTATTCTGCCTTCTCTACGCACTGAATTATTACAAAAGTTGTTGTAAGTCAAACAAAAGGCATTTTCATTTAGTGAATGAGCACAGTCTTGAATTTCTTTTCATCTAAAAAATCTTTCTGGTTCTTAGTAAGAAACATCTCCAGTTACTAAGGCCCTTCCTCAGCCCAACTATGAAAACCTCTCTCCCTTCCTCAGCCCAACTATGAAAACCTCTCTTCCTTCCTCAGCCCAACTATGAAAACCTCTCTCCCTTCCTCAGCCCAACTATGAAAACCTCTCTCCCTTCCTCAGCCCAACTATGAAAACCTCTCTTCCTTCCTCAGCCCAACTATGAAAACCTCTCTCCCTTCCTCTGCCCAACTATGAAAACCTCTCTCCCTTCCTCAGCCCAACTATGAAATTCTTCCTTCTCTTGTTGTTCCTCCCACTAACTGTTCGGGGCGGGATCCATGACGTGTACTGTACAGTATTTAGATGTGAACTGATTCCTCTTGGCTCCTCCATCGTGATGGTGTCTTGGGTGTCTGGTCATGTCAGGTTGGTCTTCAGCGGCTCGTGTGGCATTAGTCTATGGTGTAGTGGAAAGATTAGTTAGTGGCTTGACAGCATAAATTTTCAGTTTTGTAGTCGAACATAACATTTAGACCTGTATAGTGTTTGTCTGGTCTCTTCTTATTGTTTATTTTCTATAGAACAATGTATGTCTGTCTGTCTGTCTGTCTGTCTGTCTGTCTGTCTGTATGTCCAAGATTTGTTACAACCAATGGCTGCTTTTTCTTGTCAGCCTCTTACCATATGAAAAAGTAGCATGCCTTTTAGGGGGTGTTTGTGATTGTTTGGTATAATATACAGTATATTTTTTTTTTTATGGCAAACCATTCCGATTACGATAATTAAACATTAAAATTTTTAATGAGTAATTCTAATAAGGAATTCTTGATTTTTAGGATACAGAGTTCTTTTGAGACTTTTATTGACATCTGTACAAAAAAGAGCTAAATAAATTATCGACTAAGCTCCTCCCATCCATACCGCCCTTAGCAACGAGCGGTAGTGTGGGCGTAGCTGGTGGCCAATAGGACTTGGGTAATGAGGTAAATGTTATCATGATCATCGTCTGAATGTTATTGTTATGTGGTTTGAGATTATTATTATTATTATTATTATTATTATTATTATTATTATTATTATTATTATTGTTATTATTACAAGTATTATGATCATTATTATTAATACCGTGTTGTATTACATTGCCGTGAGGTCTATTACACCTTGGTTTAGTGGTTATTAGTCGAGAACAAGGAAGCTTTTATTAGTAAATGAATAAGTGTATATTGAAGCCTATATAGCTAAGAATATACTCGCCATCCCAAAGTAGTTCTGCCTTCACCAACTTACGTCAGTTCAACTCTGAGGATTACCTTTGATGATGATGGTATTACCCTTTGAAGATGATGGTTTAACCCTTTGAAAGTTACGGTTTGACCCTTTGAGGATGATGGTCTAACCCTTTGAAAATTACTTTGTTTTTTAACCCTTTGAGGACGATGGTTTAATCCTTTGAAGCTGATTTAAAGTTTAACCCCTTGAGGATTAAGATTTATCCCTTTGAGGATGGTGGGTTAAACCCTTGGGGACGACGCTTTAAACGTTTTTTGATGTGTCCTAAACTCACGCCATTGTATTTATTATAAGCATTTGTTGTGTTGTAACCTCAAACTACTGGAGAAGTCTGAACGTTTCTGGTTGTGTCGTAAGGTCACGTCACTGGAGTAGTCTGAACGTCCTTTAAATCACAGCAGTGGAGTAGTGTGAACGTCCTTTAAGTCACAACAGTGGAGTAGTCTGAACGTCCTTTAAGTCACAACAGTGGAGTAGTCTGAGCGTCCTTTAAATCACAACAGTGGAGTAGTGTGAACGTCCTTTAAATCACAACAGTGGAGTAGTGTGAACGTCCTTTAAATCATAACAGTGGAGTAGTCTGAACGTCCTTTAAGTCACAACAGTGGAGTAGTGTGAACGTCCTTTAGGTCACAACAGTGGAGTAGTGTGAACGTCCTTTAAGTCACAACAGTGGAGTAATCTGAACGTCCTTTAGGTCACAACAGTGGAGTAGTGTGAACGTCCTTTAAGTCACAACAGTGGAGTAATCTGAACGTCCTTTAAATCACAACAGTGGAGTAGTGTGAACGTCCTTAGGTCACAACAGTGGAGTAGTCTGAACGTCCTTTAAGTCACAACAGTGGAGTAGTCTGAACGTCCTTAAGTCACAACAGTGGAGTAGTGAACGTGTCACAACAGTGAGTAATCTGAACGTCCTTTAAATCACAACAGTGGAGTAGTGTGAACGTCCTTTAGGTCACAACAGTGGAGTAGTCTGAACGTCCTTTAAGTCACAACAGTGGAGTAGTCTGAACGTCCTTTAAGTCACAACAGTGGAGTAGTCTGAACGTCCTTTAAGTCACAACAGTGGAGTAGTCTGAACGTCCTTTAAGTCACAACAGTGGAGTAGTGTGAACGTCCTTTAAGTCACAACAGTGGAGTAGTCTGAACGTCCTTTAAGTCACAACAGTGGAGTAGTCTGAACGTCCTTTCTTCGTCCCTGAGTTGAAAAATCCCAGTATGAAACCCCTCACTTCCACTCACCACCGATCACATTCAACCACACTTGATGGTTGATGGGTGAATCAGCGACCACCACACAGTTGTACCAGCCACTGTCAGAGGTTTGGACTGACGTTATAAGCAACTGCCAGTCCTTCGAGCCTTCCTTATGCTTGGCAATGAACCTCCCGTCTGCTATGTAGAGGTCCGTTCCCGCAGACAACAGGGTCAGGTCAACGTTACGGTACCAAAACACCTGTAGAAAGATGGATAGGTTAAGTTTTTAATTTGGTTTGGTTAGGTTGGATTTCTGTTTGTGTCTGTCTGTCTGTCTCTCTGTCTGCCTCAACTGCCACTATTGATGGTATTACTGTTGTTCAATTAAAGACTTTAGTAAACTATCTCCACGAAGCACGTATTTTGGCTAATAATTATGCTTATCTGTCAAGTAATAAAAATTAAGAGAGCCAACTTCAATCAGTGAGCACACGTTCTAAGGTGCAGAACTATGAGACCCGTGTAATGTGTGTGTGTGTGTGTAAAGTATTAGGCGTCTAACTGCTTCCGTTTTGGAGCTTTGGCTGGAACAGTCAGACAGACATATTCACGGACAGACACGTCCTTTTGTTATTACAGATAACACTCACAGTAGCGTCACCGAGATTGTCGACGCGGCAATTGAGGATGGCAGTGTCTCCCTCCTCTACCGTCACGTTGGTGCTGTGAGTCTCCACGATTATTGGACCCCCGGGTTCCTCCTCCTCCACACCTGCTGGTAAACACAAACATCATTTAAAAACTGCACTTAATGCTATACGTGCTGGGGACCCTACCAATGTACTTGATAAATAGTCTTATGCTAACTGATTTTTCTACCATACTACAGCGTACAATTTGTGTCCCTGTGTACAGTCTTGTGGTACTGTACGTCTCCAAGTCAATATAGTGTTAGCAGAAGTGTTCACGGCAACATGTTTGGTGTGTGACTTTACAGACAACAATAAAGAGTAGAGCGTAAGAGTTGTGTGGAGATTCGACAGTGCCTTGATCAGGACGTGGCACTGATGAGGGATAAAAATATACCCAGATGCCTGACACAGTTATAGTTAAGTGGACAGATGTAGGTGAAGTACTGGTGTGACCTTGTTAAAGTTTTATACACCCAGTCGGTAAGATAACCAACCTATTGGTGTTAAACAGTTGATAAAGGTTCTTAGATTATTATGTGACAGTCTTGGGGAATTCTAGTACAGGCTTTCGCGAATTTCCTGTCAACAGCCAACAGAAGAAAGGTTTAAGATACTAAGACCCGCTGTCAACAACTACTCAAACATTGCTTACGAGTATGAAGAATGAACTCACTGGCAACAGTTAGCCAGACTGTCATAGTGACTGGTGGGAGGGATGAGAGCATACAGAGGTACGCTCCCTCATCTGACTGCTTCACATCGTCTATGGTGATGGTCCAATCGTCAGTGTCGGGGTGGTGGAGGATGTGGGTGCGGTCCTCACCGTCGTATGTGTATCTCCCGGAGGTGAGGATAGTCACATCTCTCTCTCTCATCCACGTTACCTGTTAAGAGTGAAAAACTGAAAGTGGATCCCGGAGGTCTAACTTGCTGTTAGAGGCTGTACAGATACAGCACACTGAATACTATGCTTTAGGTACACAATTAGGCAGTGTGGCAAGAATTGTACTCGACTGCAGTCTTTTTCCCAACGGTAACGTTGGGTAGTATGACTGTCCCGGACGCGTACCAGCGACCCTGAGGACAGGAGGCGAGTGCTGTAGCCACTCTGTCCCACCAGCCCATTATTCGGTCTCAGCAACCCATTACTCGATCCCAGCAACCCATTACTCGATCCCAGCAACCCATTACTCGGTCCCAGCAACTCATTTAGGGAGTTTGTGCTTAAATATCTGGTTAAATATTCATCAAACTCTTAAGACCAGTTAACAAAATACCAGATTACAATTAAAGAAAGAGGAGCAGTACACTGCTCAGCTGCGACAGTGACGACAAGTAATTTACAAGTATGAAGCACAGCTGACTTATTAATGACACATAATTCAGATTTACAGTCAGTAAGTAACAAGTACAATATAAAGCCACCAGTTGGAGGTAGAGAGGACAAGGGACTCACAGTAGCGTCGCCGAGGTTCTTGACGCGACAGTTGAGGATGGCGGTGCCTCCCTCCTCCACCGTCACGTTGGTGCTGTGAGTCTCCACGATGCTGGGACCCCCGACCTCCTCCATACCTGTTGGAGACCACACACACAGTCACCGGAATACACACCTACCGGAGATCTCACACACACTCAGACAAATAAGTCATTCTCCAAACCTGTTATGGACTATGCATCTACCAGACACCTAACTATACTCCCCACACCTGCAGGCCACACAAACACCTAACTATAGTCCCCACACCTGCAGGTCACACAACTCCTCCAAACATGCCACGGGAGGCACACCCACTACACACTAAAGAAAAAAAAATCACTTTCAACATCTGTTTACGAGATTGCAATGCTTTCTCCCTTTCAACGTCTGTCGAAGTACAGACACGTCACATCGCACAAAACTTAAGCAGTCAAAAATTTTCTTACTGGTGAATGAATCTTTTTTATGTCTTAGTGAATCCAAGTCTGTGTTTACGATTGTTTATTATTGTTTGTGATTAAATTCGAACCCACAATCAGGCAGGAGATATAGTTACCCACGTAAAGACTTACGATTTTGACTTCATAATGTAGACTCTTTGACTTCAATATCAACAACTTGACTTCAGTATCTTTACCTTTTAATTTTATCATATTAAAAGTTTCGTCGATCAAATTTTAAGTATTCTGACTTCCCTTTCACTCTCTTCTTCCCACTTTCTCTTATATCCTCTTTTATTGTTGCCTCTCTCTCTCTCTCTCTCTCTCTCTCTCTCTCTCTCTCTCTCTCTCTCTCCACACTCAACCAGATCTTGTGGACCACGAGAGGTTCCAGACTCATCTGGCAAGCGTAGGCGCCTTGGTCCCTTTCCTCCACCATCCGGATCTTCAGCTGGTGGTCCGGGCTGCCTTCCTCGTGCACCACCTGGAAGCGGTCGGTCGGGGCGTAGATGAACGGACCTACAGCCACGATGCTGATGTCTCTGCTACGGACCCAAACCACCTGAGAGATATAGGTAAGTGTTTGAGCCAACTGAGAGATATTGGGGAGATAATATATACGTGTTTGAACCACCTGGGAGATAGAAGTGAAATATAGTTACCCAAGTTACCTGGGGCAAGTAAGTACGGACTCTTTATCAATGAAGGCGATAGATACATGACCCGTACCTAAACTATCAGGGGCACACACAGGTCAAAACCTAACCTAACCTCCCTACAATAGCATTAGGGTGTTTACTCATCAGGTAAAATAAGCTAGGGTGGCTAATCTTCACGTGATAGATACATCCATACACAGAGGCAGGCAACACACTCCGTCTTATTAATCTACGTCACATCCGGTACACCGTCACTGAAGATTGCGGGTAAACACACACACACACACACACACACACGCCTAGAATGGTAAGCCCGTGTAAAGCTGTATATTACAAGCTGGTAAAACCGTGGTGATGGTGGTGGTGGGCTACAGATATTGACCAAATTAAGAGCAGAGCCCATTATAGGCCTTGACCTAATAGACAGACAGACCTACAAAACGAAGTGATTAATATGCTTAAGACGTCTTCGATATCGTCAAATACTACCATCATCAGTGTAAAGATAAAGTATGCAGAGGACACCTGGCAGCAGGGTCAGATCAACACACGTTTACGAAGACAATACAGTGTGGTAGTGCAAGTCAAAGTCACTCGAAGATTTCTGTGAGAGAACATCAATTAAAGATGTTCATGATAATCGGTATAATAAGTACGTACTGTAAAGGTTTTCTAATCACAGGAAGGGAGGACAGGTTACTCACAGAACCGTTGCCGAGGTTCTTGACACGACAGTTGAGGATGGCGGTGTCTCCTGCCTTCACCGTCACGTTGGTGCTGTGAGTCTCCACGATGCTGGGACTCCCGACCTCCATCTCTTCCTCCTCCCCTTCCTCATCCTCGACATCTCCTACGAAGTAAACAAACACACTATTTTTTCCAATAATAACATCGAAATTACACTGGGACTCTACCTTAACTAGATACACTGTATTTATTTAACACCAATTAGGAGACAAAATTACAGACACTCTTAACTAGAAATATTCACTCAACACCCGTCAGAAGCCAAAAATCAGAGACTACCTTCACTATATAGCCACTTATCGCCAGCTAGGAGACAAAATTAATAGTTAAGAATAATTTGAAAAAGTGTAACTGTACTTTACACAGAAACCTATAACTGTACTGATGTTTCAAACGTTATAACTTTAATCCAAAAACTAACCCCAGTAAGCAGCAGTAGTAGCAGCAGTAGTAGTAGTAGTAGTAGTGGTGGTTGTGGTAGCTGCTGGTAGGCTGACGACCACCTCACCACCATCTGGAGATCTTGTCAGAGTACCAGAGAAATCCTTCATTGTGTCAACTATCTGCGTCAGTCTGTCAAAGTCCTCCTGGAAACTACCGCTGTGGGTCATGGACAGGAAGGAGGAGTTGAGTAGTCTGTTGTAGTTGACGGAGAGCTCCTTCATCGCTTCCACCAGCTGCGACACCCCGCCGTCTGGAGGTGGAAGAGCGCTGGCGGAGGCGTTGCAGGGCTGCTTACCAGATGAGGCTGAGTACAGTGTTGGTCTGGCGGGGTATTCTGTGGGAGAGGCGTTGTCGTTGCTTGTGCTGTTCCTTCATGCATTTCTCTCTCTCTCTCTCTCCTTCCCCGTGTATCTATTCTCTCCCTCCCTCCTTTTTCGTCTATTGACTCCCTTCCACCCTGTTTGTCTATTATTTCCTTCTTCCTTGTCTGTCTATTCTCTATTTCCTCTATCTCTACCTCTCTCTCGATCATGGCCGAGCTACTCACTCCACCCCCTCCACCCTCCCCCTCCTCCCACCCCCTCCGGACATCACTTCTCTAGATACAACAACATATTTTACTTGACTTTCTCCGACACTTCTCAGTCTGTTTTATGCACTGTTGACAAATATGGGGCATGAATGGGCTTTTGAATGTACCCGAAGCTGTGTCAGTGCATGTTCAAGGCTGGACACCAAAGGGACTCACACTTGGTGCTGTGACAACATTCTCTGGCAGGTCATCACAACTCTTATTTCAAAGAAGTTAACGCAGGTTGTTTCCTGTTCTTGTAGCTTCATTAACTTGAGGCTGTTGACCTCCAGTGGGGTGGCCGTCTACTAACTAACTACCCTTTGAGGTGCTAATAAACTTATAGTAAATCATCCCTTGCTCTTCTAAAGTAAAAACTAGCCAATTGTTAGGTTAGGTCGGCACTAAATTACGGTAGAGGGGTTGAGTTAGGTTAGGTTAAGTTGGGTTAGTTTAGGTTGAGTTTGGTTAAGTTAGGTTAGATTTCACTAGGTTAAGTTGGGTTAGTTTAGGCTGAGTTTGGTTAAATTAGGTTAGATTTCGCGGTAAAATTGCAGTTTCACTACCAGTTGTTTTTTCACCATAAAACTAGGTGTTTCCCATGGTATTGGGTGTGATTCTTTTGAATTTGACCTTCATTTCCATCGAAAAATATTCGCTTTTGAATTATCACCCCCCTCCCCCATAGAACCTAACCTAACTTTACCTAACTTCCTAGCCCACGCCACATTGCACAGAAATTACTTAATTTGATATCTGATACCATTGAAATCGACCTTGCCTAAGCATCATAGTGTAATTTTGCTTTTTTGTGGACGTGAGAGTACACTCAGACTGAGCGGGTCAGTTGTAAACAACAAGCGACACGCGATGACTGCAGATTTACGTGAATTTCCTGCGACGGAAGTGGTATTATAAAAAGTTGTTGCAATTGACGAGATATAACTTGTAGTGATTCCAAAAGTGTTCTAACCCAATTGGGAGTGAAACTGCAATGATACCTATTTCGCTAAGTTAAGTTGGGTTAGTTTAGGATGAGTTTGGTTTAGTTAGGTTAGATTTCGCTAGGTTAAGTTGGGCTAGTTCAGGTTTATTCTGGTTTAGTTAAGGTTATTTTGTTTACATTGCCCCTTACTCATCAATGAACCATGGGAGTATAGGGAGGTCACGTGACTCATTTCCTGTTCTCAAGTTCAGTCATCTTCTCTCCACCACCTCTCATCCTCCTGCCTTGGACTGTCCTTGGTTGGATCAACTCACACATATTTACCATTAATTTCCTATCTTGTGTCACTTTCTGGCAGAGTATTTCGAGAAGTCACAACTGTTTGTAATACTTTGTATACATATACTGTCTGCAGTGTAAATGATGAACCAATGTGACTTTGTATGACCGCCTTTTGTTTAATCAACATCTCTCTATCTCATTATGTCTCTCCTGCAATTTAAATTCAGACCGACTGTACCTGACACTTACCTGGCAGAGCGGGAGCAGCCTCGCTCATGTTGATCATCTTAGTGGCGAGCTTCTTGACCTGAGTCTCCAACTGTGCCACCCTCCCTTTGGTCATCAGAGTGTGGAAGCGAATGTTTTGTAGGATCCCCCAATGGCTGTCCATAGCCTGGCGGATCTGTTCCATGAACTTTTCCATGCTCGCCTCACTCATGCTTCCGGACTCTGGGTTGTTTCTCCCTTCATCCTTTCCTGCGGCAGTGTCTTCACCGAGCGTGTCGCCGCTCACAAGGAGTAACAGGAGGAGAAGGCGTGAACGTATTAACATAGTTGTGGAGGAGACAGAGACTTCCAGCAACCCTTCTAGCCAGCAAGCGACTGACACATGGTGGGTGATGGTGCCTGTTGTTACCAACTGCCGGTTCGACAACCGCTTACGTCGCGAATTGTCTCGTATTAGCTACACAAGCTAGACACGCTCCTGAATTACTAAATGTTGGTCTTTAGAATTGAATCTCAAGTACAGTCAATTTCGAGTGGTCTGAGTTCCCGAGGAAGATTCTTGGTGCTAGAGAATATTGTCAACGAAACAGGTGCATGGTATCTCCGGGAGACAGGAAGGCCCCGGGGAGGCTGTCATTACATGACGATGTTCCGACGAAGTTACACACTCGCGTTCCACACTGTTCCGCCGAGTCACCACAATTACCACAAGCCACCGCTGAGATCAACACATGGCTAGTTATAATCACCCACGATCGTGTGTGACACTGAAGAGGGTGTCAAATATCAGGAAATATTTTTGTCGAGACAAGTGTCTTTCTACAGTGATCCGTCACAGTTAACTACTGTACTCCTTGTGAGGGCGACAGGTCTAGGGACCACAATGACGCCGTCGTCTGCTGCCGTTATCATCTCATTCTGATATGCCAAGGAGGTCGATGACTACTTATCAGCCCAGTGACACTTGTGGAGCCTCTCATTCACTTGGGGGAGTTAAAGTTGCCATTGAAGTTTCTCTCCAGATGACACATCTAAAAAGTTTTCACAATAAGTCACATGTTAAACACGTGTTTGTTTCACGTACTGCCCAGAAAATACTGAGATGGTGGTAATGATATTGGGCTTACTTCCACTACTACTACTGCTACTGTTAATAACAACAACTGTGTAGCACCTTCCTAACATAGTGCAGATGACAATAATAAGCAGACATATTCTGTGGCACATTTTACGTAAGACAACCAGGCAACTGTACACGATCTTGAACCAGTTAGCGCGCGCGTAAGAGTGTGATGGACGTCACGTTCTAGTGATTTCTGCGACCACAGTTTATGACGATGGAGAAGTGATTTTATTTTTTTTATTTTCTGCTCCGCAAACCTTCACATCTAGTCCACCAAACAGCTACTAAATACACTGTAGTGAATGAGGTGCTGGGTAAACTAATCGTGATTAATTAGTGCACTGACCTGATCTGATCTGAACATAAGTCCCCTTGTTAAGGCTGTGAGTTAAGGTGTTTCTAGTGACAAAATTCTGAATGTCATTGATGATTTCGTGTTGGTTGTGCATCACGAAGCGTCATTATAAGTTATTAAGGATTCTACTCCACGTGCAGTTGTCACGTGAACCATGACGCCACTCGTGGTAAAACTGTCAAAATAACTGAGGCAGAAAAAATTACGAATCATTAACTGAAAATTGTTACAAAAGATTTGAGATTTGAACTCCATAACACGAAACGGCAACAACACTGAGATAATGGACCTAAAGAACGATATGTGTAGTCATGAGCTATCACTTGGCAGGGTCTTCAAGTGCCAACCACGTCTTTGTTTCTCTAGGTCAGTTTCCACGCTAAACAAGCTTCTTGATATCCGGACAGCCACCGGCGAATTCAAAGAACTGTTAAGAAAACTTTATATCCATTTTATTATATACTGAGGGTCTCGCTATGGAAAGAAATGAAGTTTATGTAACCTACTGAAATTTTTATTAGTTCTCAAAATCATTTCAATTTACAGGTTGCTCCTTTACGAATGTTGAGGCTGTGCAGTGCTGTGTTGTACTCCTCGCTTACAGAAGTAAATCCACTTTGTTGATAACTCAGTGACTTGGCTGACGAGGTCATTATTAATATGAACTATTTTTTAGATGGCAATTAAAGTCAGAAGATTTATGTTACAACCTTGAAAGTCGACGTTTGCTATAGATATTCTTCTCTTTCCATTAATAGATTTTCTAATTCTTAAAGAAAAAATAAGGAGGTGAAGGCGTCTTATAGCCTCGAGGCCTTGGTAACAGTTTGTTGTCTTTGGGATTTTCATTAAAGTTGATTTTAGTACATACACGAACCCCGTTGGCAACAAGGAAAAATTACTCGGGGAATTTCTTAAGAACAAATATGCCGCGGCCTCTATGCTTTTGGCTCTTCATAGAATGGAAAAAAAAAATATATATATAAACTTACCATTTTAGCATTAACCATATACTGGTTTTCGCGGTTTGATGAAAAGTTAGTCTTATTAGATACTACTGTAGTTTTATGCGCTGTTTAGAAATACGTTTTCTGGAGAAACGATAAGAAAGTCCTGAAAATTAAATATATCGTATACCCTAAGTGTGCCAGTAATGTACCGCATTACGTAGGTCGTTCCTGCTAATATGCGACATGACTCAGCGTTGGGGTCTTGTCTCGTCGATGAAGTCACGTAGCCCACGACTTCCTTCCTATATCCCAAATAGAGTTAAAGTCGTTCTTGTCTCCGTTCGTAATTACATTCCTATTAATCTTCACATTCTTAACATACGCAATATATGTCTGACTGTTTATATAACAAGATGTACTTTAAACAGCAAGTCAAGGCCGTTGTTCTCCGATCAATACCTGTTATCTATATTTTTTGATAACAAGGAAAAAATTTCTCAAACATCCAACAATTAGAATTAATTTCTTAATCGGAAAAGGGATTTTTGAGGATATTTGACATGATAAAAAGACCTACTTTCTTATATAAAGTTTTAATATATCCACAGCAAATAACACATTGTTGGGCTAAACAGTATTAAGAAAGAATCTCTAGGTTGTAGAAATTCATTTTAGACATATAACAATTATATTTAGTATCATAATTAGTATAATAAAGAGACGGATTGTACTTTCTGCACAAGAAAATAAGTGTCAATTAAGCATCGCCGGAGTCTCAACGTTACTGTCATTCTTAACATTGACAGAGTTAAGAGTCTTTGATATCCGAACATGACGCCATATTGACATTTCCATTCATTATTGAGCAAAATTAGAAGCCTTTGGAGTTATATATCATTTATTAACATAGAGGTAATCTGTTATTATTTAATATCACTGTTTGATGATTGTTTACTACAAAATACTAAGACACAGTGGCTTAAGGAACTCAGAACCCGGAATTGTATGTCTGATGATATTTGATTCCTGTAAATGGTCAAAAATAAAAAATATCAGAAATTATATTAATTGACTTACAGCAGAATTTATGAACCATGAGCCAAAAATTGGGTAATTATGTAACTTTTATCAAACGTAAATGACCCACAATTGTACAAATGTCTTTTCTGCGTAGAGGGTATCGTAAGGTAAACCAATTGCATGAACGGTTATAGGGTGTACGACGCCATTTACGATGACCTTCTTGCCCTGGTCTTTTTCAGCAATATCGCCTTTAACACATAGAATTCTGCACTTTTCGAAGCTTTGGGGTTGTCTCGAAACAAGTTTCCTGGTGGGAATTATTAGCTAGTGTTGTACTCAAAATATCGAAACTTCGAGATCTCTCCAGAGCTTCAAAAGGGTGGTATTCCTGAAACAAGATCAGGGCAAGAAGGTCATCGTAAACGGCGTCGTACACCCAACGACTGTTCTTGCAATTGGCCCTATATATTTGTATCAACTCGTATATATTGATCTCATACAACTAAACAGCAACTCAAACAATGTGTGTACAGTATATTGGTCGTGCTGGACCATTATGCGGGACAAGCCAAGTCTCCTACCAATTTATACAAAGTTAAAGGAGTAATTACTGTATAAGTCAGTCAGAACACGGAGATAAGAGAGCCGTGGCTCTTGTTCTCCTCAGAGCCACGGCTCTCTTATCTCGGTGTTCTGACTGACCGACTGTATAAGTATCAGTTGTTTGCAAGAATATATACCTGTATGTCAGTATATTTACAACTTTCTGAAGAAGGCAAAATAATATGAGGAAAAGACGAGCCTATACTCACTTGACTGAGAAGTAATACAAGTATGGAGAGTTTTCGTGTTATCACTGTGTGGTAGTCATGCTAGTGAGCTACAGTAATTGTTGACGTGCACTTGGTGAATTATATACTGTGATTGGATGTATACAAACACTGGTGACAGAGATCATGCTCCAATTTTCTTTTACCAGCAATGATAACACAGGGTGAAAAAACACTTGAATCATTTATCTACATACTCAACAGATTGTCGGTCGAAGCGCAAGAGTGAGAGGCAACAGCGGTTATGTCGGTGGTTCCCAGGAGAACGTGTTCCGTTGTCCTGTAGGAGAGTGTGGTAAGCTCGTGCATGTCCCCTGACAAAGGGTTGGCATTGGTCCTGCCGGGGTTGCTGCGTTCTGTGCCCTGCGGCCTGGGAGGAGGAGCGTTCTTGAAGCGGGAACGTCTCGCCTTGATGAAGCAGATGACTGGAAGGCGAGGATAGAAGTTAGTAACTAGGATAAGAGTGCAGGTAAGTGCTTGAGGTTATTATTATTATTGTTATTATTATTATTGTTATTATTATTATTATTAGTATTAGTAGTAGTAGTAGTAGTAGTAGTGATAAGTCACAGGAATTTTGTTTTTCGCCTGTGACTTTTTCCGAGCCAAAATATTGTGACTTTTTCTGTGACTTTCTCCTGTGACTTTGTTTCTGGTGACCTTTTACCCGAACACACAGCTGTCGTGTACAACCAGAAAAGATATATCCCTCTTAATTCTTAGATGTTGATGCCTTGTGTATTTACAAATCTAACATACGCCCTTAAAGACATTAGTTGATGAAACGCAGTAATGCTTTCTAACACCAACAGAAAGCGTAGTAATACATTATAACACCAACAGGAAGCGTAGTAATACATTATAACACCAACAGGAAGCGTAGTAATACATTATAACACCAACAGGAAGCGTAGTAATACATTATAACACCAACAGGAAGCGTAGTAATACATTATAACACCAACAGGAAGCGTAGTAATACATTATAACACCAACAGGAAGCGCAGTAATACATTATAACACCAACAGGAAGCGTAGTAATACATTATAACACCAACAGGAAGCGCAGTAATACATTATAACACCAACAGGAAGCGTAGTAATACATTATAACACCAACAGGAAGCGTAGTAATACATTATAACACCAACGGGAAGCGTAGTAATACATTATAACACCAACAGGAAGCGTAGGAAGCGTAGTAATACATTATAACACCAACAGGAAGCGTAGTAATACATTATAACACCAACAGGAAGCGTAGTAATACATTATAACACCAACAAGCGTAGTAATACATTATAACACCAACAGGAAGCGTAGTAATACATTATAACACCAACAGGAGGCGTAGTAATACATTATAACACCAACAGGAAGCGTAGTAATACATTATAACACCAACAGGAAGCGTAGTAATACATTATAACACCAACAGGAAGCGTAGTAATACATTATAACACCAACAGGAAGCGCAGTAATACATTATAACACCAACAGGAAGCGCAGTAATACATTATAACACCAACAGGAAGCGTAGTAATACATTATCGCGCAACACTCACTTATGACGACAAGACCTGACAGGAACGCTACAACAAAGACGATCCAAGTGACGGTTAGGATGATCCACTTGGTAGTATATCTCTCGTGCTTCCAGTGTATCACCTGTAGAATTGATGATGATGAACCGGTAAAGAAATGGACTATAGAAAGCGAGAATAAGATTGATTTAATTGTAGAGGTGAAATTGATGGGTAAATGGGTGTATAACTGAGATTTTGACTGGATTATGTTAGGTTAGGTTTATTTAAAGTTAGGTTAAGTTGTGTTTAGTTTAAATTAAGTTATGCTGAGTTTGGTTGATATACTACGATAAGTTTGATTAAGATATATTACGATAAGTTAGATTAAGGTACGCTATGCTAAGTTTGGTTAAGATATATCGTACTACGTTAAGTTAGATTAAGTTGTGCTACGCTAAGTTTGGTTGATATACTACGCTAAGTTAGATCAAGGTACGCTATGCTAAGTTTGGTTAAGGTGTACTACGTTAAGTTAGATTAAGTTGTGCTACGCTAAGTTTGGTTGATATACTACGCTAAGTTAGATCAAGGTACGCTATGCTAAGTTTGGTTAAGGTGTACTACGTTAAGTTAGATTGAGGTACGTTACACTTAGGTTAAGATAGGTTACACTCGGCTGAGTTATGTCACACTAGACTACATAAAGCAAGGTCAGGTTACCTCACAGAAGGAGTGGAGTGTGTGGAAGATCGAAGTGGAGAAGTGTTGGTGGACTTCATGAATGCTTCCGGCCGCCCTCATAGCCACCTGCCGATCCTCCTCAGCCAGTACGGATGTTAGGGACGAGCTCACCCATTCAACTATCTACAGACGGGGGGCGATGGTTGTAATTAGCGTATTAACCATGATGCTATTGAGGTTCTTGTTGCAGATTAGGTTAGATTAAGACAGATTAGGTTAGGTTATGCTAGGTTAGGTTAGGTTAGGTTAGGTTATGCTAGGTTAGGTTAGGTTTTACCTTATTTAACTAATGGCCCCCGAAATTAGAGGTGGCCATGCCGAGGGGAAAAGGTCAGTGACTTTGATAAGATCCATATGTCTACCAGCCTCTGTGTACGATAACTTGGCGAGCATAAGTTACTGTATGTCCCTTCATGTTGGTGCTGTATAACATCACGAAAAATGGTCCGGGTTCACGTTTTCCATCGCTTTCAAGATTTTGAATGTTGCTATGCGAGATCTTCCCTACTGTGCCTTGTCTGAAGAGTCCTAAGGCTCTCAGTCTACTTGGATAATGGAGATGACATAATTCAGATATCATCTTAGTCGCTCCACCTTTTAGCGGGATGTTAAGTCTTTCTGGAGTTACAGTAAGGTTTCCATGCTTGAGTTACAGTAAGGTTTCCATGCTTAAGTTACAGTAAGGTTTCCATGCTTGAGTTACAGTACGGTTTCCATGCCTATATACAGTAATCCAGACTGGGACGTACGATGGACTTGTAAGTTGGCTTTTCGTACTGCTGCTTCCACTCGTTGCGCTGCCTCCGGTGACTTCTCCCACAACACTTACAGTCCAGGAAAGAGTTATTAACATAACAAGTGTGATTAGGGTTGTTTAATCAAGTTAGATTATGGGATAGGTTAATGTAGGTTAGGTTAAGTCAGTTTAAGATAGTTTAAGTTAGGTTTGAAGTTAGTTTAGTTTAGGTTAGGTTACTTAGGTTTGGTTAGGGATTAAGATAGTTTAGGTTATGTTGTCAAGTCTGCTACGTTTGTCTGTGATTTACCTACATTCATGGTGTGTGCATATAGTGTCAGGAGGAGGAAACGTCGCCAGGACGATTCGTACTCGGATTGCTGACAAGCCAATTGGTAAGATACGGCAGGTAATTACAGCTGTAAAGACGAGTGGGCAATTTATAGTCTATATAGCTGGATGACTTTACCGGTGTTGGTGGCGATATCACCCCATGGCGGAAGGAGGCTGTCGGGGTCTGAAAGATATAGAAGAGTTGTTGTTTTGTCGACCGGAAAAGAAAGTTTTAAGATTGGCGATGCATTTATCATCGAAGGTACAAAGTGGAACTAATGCTTCAGTATGTGTTGTGAGAGTACACCAGCGCGTTCGGGTTTCATCGCTTGAGGTTGTCGCGCCAAGTGGAGCGATTATAGGCGTGAATATCATCACAGGTGCATCACAAGGAATGGTGGCTGTGTGCAGTGAGGCTGAAATTATTATGTTGAAGGAGAATCATCCCCTTGGTGAAGTTGTCCTAAGGCAAATAACTTGTACTTATGTGGTCAGTACAAGGTCAACGAACGCCAGTGAACCCTTCACTACGGGGACGCTACTTTTAATATTTTATTTGGTTAACGCCAGACGATTTTATTTGGCTAGCAGACGATTTTATTTGGCTAGCAGACAATTTTATTTGGCTATCAGACGATTTTATTCAGCACGGGGAAGGGGAGGGACCCGTACACAACTGGTTTATGTTATTGAGATGACGTAATAGTGACGTAACGGAGATTGATGACATTAGAAGCGCGGCAACCAACTCGTCCAATGGGATGCAGAGAATCATATAGCCTCAAGGATCAACTATGTCAACAACGGCTGTGTATTATAAGGAGTCCAGTAATGTCCTGAAAATACTGTAATAATAAGCCTAAATAAAACATGCAACCTACCTGGAAAGGCTCCTTGACCGCCACCACCAGGATCACGGGCGACTTGTTGGTCAGGTCATACGAGGTCACCACCTTCTTTAACAGCCTTTCTCCTGAAGATGTGTTGACCCGGGCGATCTTGTCTCCTTTGCCGGAGTCATCTGGTCAGAAGGTCAGTATAGTATCAATGTAATTTCGATGCCATTTAAGCCAACGATCTTTGTTGTCTTTTGAGTTAGTGAATCAGTTGGAAAGTCGTCACGTTACCAGTAAATGAATTAGGTTCACAATAAAAATATCTTAGAACTCAATTTCCTTATATCGCCTCTTGTGTGAGCCAATAACGATTTTCTCGACAGTTTAAAGGAGAAAATTTGGCATAAGAATATAAAAATATTTGGTTTCATATCATGCGTTCTTCAGCTTACCGGGGAAACTGGCGTTGGCTGCGAGAAAAACGATGACATGGGTGTCTGTACCTGCATCCTCCCTGCACTTCTTCAACTTTTTAGCCATCTCAGTATCTGAAACAAATATTTATTTATCTTAAGCCGTAACTGGAGATCAAATTAGAATGTTCTAAGTTCTTCAGTGTGTGATGTAGTCGCGTTACCGTAAGTCTTCCAATAACTTATCTCTTAGATGAAAACGTATTAATAAGGGCCAGTACAGGAATTATTTTATTCCGCAAATTCAGTAAAACTTGATATTTGAAACTTTAGTATACCTCGGAATTGTGACAATTTGAACCTGTCTGATCTGATCAGATAGTTGTATACAAAAATTCACAAACAATATATACACACACAACATATTCTGAGTTTTCAGTATTTAATTGTAAGGTAATGATCACCTCAGGGCGCCCACATGGTGCGTCAGGAGCAGCTTAGACAATATCAAGTGACACGAGAACCTGATGTGAAGTACTGATGACCCACTATGAACCTTCCCAGACGGTCAGAGGTTGTAAAGGGGGGCATTAGTCTACTGTCTGCCGCCACTGTCCCCATGTTGGATGTTATGATTGATGATATCAGCAGCGCACCCAAGGGGGGGGGGGTGTCCCTGGTTACCCGGACCACTCTAGCTAGAACTGTTTCCCGAGCGTCAGTGATCTATAGTTTACCATGTCGGTTCCTCACCCAGCTCAAATATTTCTGGTTACGCCCCTGGTTATAATAGTGATATCTTACTGCTGGTGGTCTGTGTCTTACTATAGTGACCAGGGATAGTGAAGGCTAAGGTTCCGCCGGGGAGTTCAGCGTACGTTATACATACTACTGTTGAACGTTGTAACCACTGACCGTGTTCAGTAACTGTGAAGACAAACATTTAATAATCATTATCATTTACTAAACTTAATCCAAGACTAGAAAATTGGCAAGTGATTACTACAAGGAAAACACGAGTGAAAAACAAAGAAACATTATGGTGTTAAATTATTGCATTCCTCTTACAGTTCCTCTTGGGTTCTCCTGTATTTGTGCTGTTTAAATATATCCTGTAAAATATTTCTCCATCTTAAATGTTTATTATTCATCATTTCATCGCCCGTCACCTCACTAGCGTACAGTACATGATATAATGCCTGGACATGATAGCCTTGTCTCTCCCTAAGAAGCTAAAGATGTATAGATTTCATACCCAAAGATAAAATACTTGGGAATCTTAGAAAATCGGATTACTTGGTCACCATTGCCCAAATCACAACCAAATGTAACTAAACTATTAAACCTGGGGGGGAGGGGAGGGGGTGGTTAATTTAGACTGGGGGACATTACAACTGAGTGTCAATCCTAATAGGTATGTTTAGGTTAGATTACGTTAGGTCAGGTTAGGTTAGGTTAGAGCCCATGAAAACCGAGAAATTACAGTGATCCGTCGACCATTCCACATACTGTACTCATTTCGGATACTTTACTCATTTCGGATACTTTACTCATTTCGGATAGTTTACTCATTCCGGATGCCGTACTCATTCCGGATACTGTACTCACATTCCATACGGGACAAGATGCGATCAGGGTCACAAAGGGTATCGCCTTGAATGTTGCGGGTCGGGTCCTGCGGAGAGCCACACACCTCTGGGTTGGACCAAGGTGCTGGTAGCGAGTCATTAACATTCACACCTATGGAACACAAAGAAGAGAAATTGATTGATTGATAAATAGATGGAAAGGTTGATTAACTGATTGATAGGTAGATTGATTGATTGATAGATAGATAGACACAATTTCAATACAGTATATATTATAAAGTAAAATCGTCACACTATTTTAGGATCACCTGAAGATTCGCTCCCCTGCCTTAGCTTATTTCACCTGAAGATTAAATAACGTAATGCTATAGCTAGGAGTTGGGATAGGTTAGGTTAGGTTAAGTTAAGGTGGTTAATCTTATGGTGAGACAAGCTGAGAAGCCTACTCTTCAGATGATCCGAAAATTCCCTCTCGTATTTCAGAAATCCCCAGTTCTGTTGTATACCTTGAAATTCAACACGTGCTCCCCGTCACTAATTGTCACGTGTTTCCCGTCACTTACAGGAAATTGTTACGTGTTTCCCCTTCCTCCCCCCACCCCACCACTCCCTTCCTTCAAGCAGGTGCGTGAGGGGTAGATATTATGACCGTGGACGTACCTGTTACAAGCGAGAGGAAGATGACTAAAGCCACAACAGGGCACAACAACGAGCGTAGGTACATCTTCCCCTGGATGTTAGACGTCACACCTGTTGAGTCCCCGTAGCTGGTGGTGTGTGTGTGGGGGGGGGGGGTCTTTCGTTCACACAATGTCGCCTCCAACTAGTCTTCTCTCAACAGTAGGATTCAATAAAGGATCTTAAAATCTCTTCTTCCTGAATTTTTGAGTTTAAGGATCTTTGTAGAGTATCCTATTGTACGAACTGCCCTCAGGAAATATCCCACTCGAAAAAACTAAATCCCAGTTGGCAGTTTTTCCACTGGACAAGAATCTAGTCGAACAATTTTCCACTGGATAAAATGTCAATAGTGCAAGTTATTTTATGATAGTCTCTATGAATATGTTAAGTTATATTGGGTTAAGTAATGTTAGATAATGTTATATTTTGTTAGGTTTGGTGAGGTTAAGTTAAGTCAGATGAGGTCAGTTTACCCTGGATGTCATATTGGCTAGTTTAGGTTAGATTTTGGAAGGTTTGATTTTGTTTAAGTTAAATTTGCCTGAATTACGTTAGATTGTTACATTAAGTTTACCAAAGTTAAGTTAGGTGACATTAAGTTTGTTTAGGTTACGTAAGATTAGGCCAAACTAGCTTTGGTTTGGCTTGCTTAAGTTGGATTAGATCAAGTTTATGATTGTACTTGCAATTTAGCACAACAACGGTATAGGCTCGACAAGAAGTAATATAATGTTGTATTTGATTAGAAGGGAAGGGCATATGTTAATGTGTGTAATATTTCTTCGCGTTAATAACAACTATCCCATGTTGACAGCTGGACGTACTTGAGTTAACCCCTTGTCCAAAATCTGGTCCGACTTGGTAATTTCTCTCCCTGTTATTTAACTTGTTATCGCAGTGTTCATTGTAACAAACATTTATTGCGATGTTTTATTGTGATTTAATATTGAATTCTTCAATATATGAGACGTAAATTAATTTGTTTTATATTGAAAGTTCCAACTACATTCAACTTGATATCGTAACTGTAGTCTATGTTATTTAGGTTATTATTACAGTGTTCTCCTTCGTGTTTCGTGTTTATCTGACCACTACATGTGCACCGCAAACACCACCTCCATCTTCACTTCTCACTTCCCCCGTTCCAGTTTTCACCGTCAGGCACGCACGCACACTGCACCAAATTATCAACAGAATACACCACGAATTATAAAGTTGTTGTGCGAAGGAGTCAGCGAGCAGAGCGAGCAAGTAGTGTGCACCCTGATGAACTAGACTTGAAGACTGGTGTTGGCAGGAGCTACGCATCTCGACCATCTGTCATTTTCCGGCGGGTATATTTGTTCACGTGGGTACATTAACCTAAAAGTCAGCATTCTTGCTTTGTTATTGCTAAAACAAAAATACAGATACATCTTCAAGCAGTAGAATCGTTAAATGACAGGGAATTTATATGATTTTTCTTATCTTATTATAAGGTTTAAAGGTGGTTTTCGTCAGTGCCCCCTAAGGACAGGATGCCATGGAGATAGTGGCGGGAAAGTCACACGTCCGGCACGATTCTGGAGAAAGATCTCATCAGGCTCTCGTGGACAATAGGTTGATTGTCACTGGTTACGGAGATCCAGTTTCGACTTACACACACACACACACACACACACACACACACACACACACACAGCACATGCACACGCACACAATTGTAATAAAAGGGGATTAGGAAGACATTATTTCAGCGGCATGAGAAATATAAAGACTTATCCTTGCATAATACTTTGAAAACACCTTTGTGTAAGTAGGCACTCTTCTAGTCAAGTAATTTTAATTAATAATGAATATTAAAATTTAATATTTCTTTTATAATTTCACAATTTACCTTTAATATCAACGGTTAGCTCAAAAGAATACCGGAGTACCTGGAGATAACCTGTGATGTCTGGTGGTGGTCACTGAATAAAAACCTTACTTCCTGTCCATGCTGGTACTGAACCCAGGACATATTGTTGAGAGATAAACTCGGTACCACTGTTAGAAAGATAGAAATTTTATGTAAAGATTTAAATTTTAAATAGATTTAAGTTACTGTTAAGCAGTTTATCATTGAAACATAAATAATTGGGATAATTAGGCTCTTCATAAATATTTGTACCATCTATTTCCATTAATAAAACAGTATATACAATGTTGATAAGGTACCACGAACAATGCTACTAAACGATATATTTATTTATCGTATGTGCCATCATATCTAGTGGACATGCTATATAAACCAATCAGACAATATTTATAATTATCTTATAAAATATTTTAAATCAAATTAGTTCTAGTTGTTAGTCTCATCCGATATAAAATGTTGGTGGTCATTATCAGGTAATATTCTAACATTATTAGTCTTGTCAAATGAAAACATAGGAGTGAGGTTCACCTGCCGCTGGTCACTTGTAAGGTAGAAAAATAAGATATACCAATAGTTTGACCTGTTCACCTGTTCGTCCTCTAATTATGCTTAACTTTTCTACTATATGTGTATTATAGTTATGCTTGTGATGAACATTTTGAAACTGTTGGACGTGTTAATGTGTTAGACACGGGGAAAGTCGGTGACAGTTAATGACAGATACGGCTTGACAGGTAAGGGTAACTGTTAGTTATCAGTGACAGGGACTGGTGATGGTGGCCAGTTCAAGACATCACTGTAATAAATCTGTAACTGGTAAAACGCAGTAATTTACGGTCTTTTTATATTAGTGCACCGGTCTATGTAACCTAACCTGATTAGGTTAGGTTGGTTTTGGTGATTTTCTATAGTTATTTACACATATTTCTAATACTCAAAGAAAGAACTGTGCCCTACTATAAATTGACCTAATTTACAACAGCTGTACGCCTTAACCAGCAACTTCACAATGTTCCTATTTATTTACCTTGTTTCTTTATTGGCCTCCTAAACTAGAGGTGGCTATGCCAGTGGCATTTGTAGGATCCCTCCAATGTTCTTAATAGTCTTGTCAAGATTATTTTGAAGCCCAGTACTGTTCTTGTTTCTACAGCTTGGGCTAGTGGACACCCATAATTGACACTCTGTGAGCACCAAGAAAGAAATGTTCCATAGACGTTGATGCTTCCAGTCCATAAACATGAAACGCTAGAAACTTTAAAACAATTTTGGGTTAATATTGATAACTGACCTGCTTACTATATTTTTATCAGTAAGCACTGATATGATAATCATTTTGTGTGCAAATGCTTTGTTTGGTAGATATTTAGGCGCCTCAGGTGCACACTACTTTGTCCTGTCGGTAATGCGGCAGGTGTTTAAGTTACGCTAAGTTTTATGTTAAGGTTAGGTTTCTTGCTTCAAGAATATCCAAAATTAGGTACTGTAGAGGAAATCAAACTTTCTTAAATATTGTTTTGGCAGTTTATTACCTTACCTAACCAGTCCTACCTAACCTAAATAAACCTACTTAACCTTAACTAAAACAAGATTCTGCCATCTAAGGATGGGTAGATTTGGTTGGTTTATATTATCTACGGCAAATCATATACTGTAATGGCATCAACAGGCGCTAGGGCATGAATATAGGTTCTATTTCTGGAAGAAAAAAAAATTACTAAAACAAAAATCAAAAGTGTGAATTCCTCCACCAGGTTTTGGATATTCTTGATGTAAGAAGCAAATTTTCTTCATAGAAAATTTTCATAAAGTTATTGGTTCTTAGGGAACAATGTCCTAGATTTTTACCCTTTATAAACGATCTTAATGGAAATAAGTTTTTTTTTATGGGTTTCTTGGGATTTCTTTTTTTTTTTACTTTGTCAGCTTACCATCCTGTAAACAGCACTGAACCATTGTTTGTTAAGTGATACCACCCTCCAAGCTTTGTCAGTAATTTGTTATACTAAAAAAAACTACCTGCACTGTCTTTATCCATGCTGAATCAATGTGAATTATTACTGAATGAATATCTGTATCTACCTGTTTGTTGGAACACCAAGACCCATGATTATGTACAGTAGTCCTATATGGCACCCAACTCTGGACAGTATGGAGACTTTTTTCATAATTGGAGATACGTATAAGAATGGATGTAACTGATTGACTTAAGCCATAGATAGTTTTTGATGACTTCACAACCTTTGGGTATTTATGCTCACAGGCCCCTTCTACTACTACTTTGTTGTCACTCGTAATCGAGTATGACGATCATCCAGCTATGATACATTGGTGCAAGTTATTAAGGATGTCACTTAGGTTGGTGAGTTCAGAGGTGACTAAAGAGGCCGATATGGGGCTGGCAGGGTCGTTCACAGATGTTGCACATGTGGGGGACTACACCAAGTGCGATGGGGGGTGGCGGCATTGTCTTTCTGGTGTTAGCACTTGTCTGTCTTGTTATGCAGTCACACTATAGTGGTGGTGGACATATCAAAATTAGATAATCATTGAAATGTAAAAAAATTACAGGTAGGTAGTACCATAATATTTTGCAGCCGCTATGTATTTAAATTTCAGAGTACAGTGCAGTATGATTTTTTGTTCAGAAGTTTTCAAGGATGACATGTAATAGTTCTATGGATTATTGTTATAACTTGGACGATGTGTGTAGACTGAGATATGATAACAAAATTAGTCTCATCAGTGATAGAGGTCCAATAAAACTGATAGGGCGAGTGTTTCTTATCCAGATATTGGGAACTGTTTTTAAGTGTAAATATTTCGGGGAGTGTAGAAACTTTGAGAAACATGATGATGTCTGTACTGTACCATACATCAGAGGGTGATAGAACAACAAGTGGGAAATAACATCTACAGATAATTAATGCAAACTTTGTATTTTATTGGTAAGTTGGGAGTAATGGAATAGCTACAATACATGTTTGAGTGATTCTAATGTGTATTTATGTTTTATCAGATTAACAAGATGTGGTTATTGTGGTCGTTGGGAACATTGTTGATTGTTGGTGTTGCTCAAGCTTCAAAGGGGGACAACTCAAATGAGTACACTGGCTGCTACCATGTTTGCCATTTCAACAATTGTACCTCCAGTAAGTCTGAGCAATTAATTGTTTCATATACTGTACAAGTGTTATGTTGATACATTTTGTGTTTTTTAATAAATTGTTTGAACATTGTGTGTCTAAGGATTAAAAGGAAATATAGTTGATTACATTTTTTTTTATCTTATTGATTTGTAAAATAGCTTATATTTTTCAATCTAATCTATTTTAATATCTTGTTAACTTCAACTGTGCTTCCCTCCTATCCTTAACTCTCTCATGGTCTTTCGACTCAGATTGTGTCACTAAGTGCTTCCGTGATGGTCCAACCCCTCCCGCCCAGCCATATCTTATAATGAGAGTACACTTCCAGTAAGCAGAAATTCTGGAACAGTGGACTGGCCCTATCAACCACCTAAGTTCCTCCCATTAGCCTCATTGATTGTCAGACGCATCTCTATGGGTGCAATTTGGGTCTGAATTGTTCTACCCTATATTAAGAAAATGAAAAACCATTCCTGTTTCTTATGCAACTTGCATCGAAAGACTGCGAGGGAGTGAAATTTCTGACCATGGCCAGAGGTAGCAGAGGGTTAAGGCCATTCTTGTAATTCCTGGGGCACTCTCAGTCAACCTAACTGTAAATGGGCCCCTAACTACCATTTACAAGTTGGGGAACTGAAAGTGGTCAAGTGCAGTGCCAACCATACTGCCTCAATGTGTACCAAAAGTTCATTACAGGTACACATTGTGCCCTATCTACACTGTTCCTAATGGGCAGTCATACCTATGGGATGGTTTAGAACACTCTGTTCTTTACTTCTTTCACTTTATAAAGACTAAAGATATATGTGGAAATGGTTTTGGTTCAAATATGGAACTGGAAATGAAAAACTGGGTAGTCAAACTTTTCGTTAAAATATTTGTAACTTATTTGATAAATCTGACACACTTAGAATGTCACATTTACATGTCAAGATACTGAGTCACTCATTAATTTTTAATACAGTAATGTTTGGGATAGTTTTATAAGTTTCCTCTTATTCTGTAGATGTCAAGAACTTTAAGGGGTTTCAAAAGTTAGTCAGGTGATGTATCTGTTAACTTTTTGACGGTTAACAGCAACTACTTCTCTAACCTGGTGTGTACTTTAAGCACCAGTTATGTAATCTGTCTTAGCTGACAGGAGAGCTTATTTATTTCACTCACTTTGTACATCTTAGACTGAAATAAGACTCCTTCTCCAGGATTAGGTATTGCTGCTTATGAGTCCTCTCAAAGCCTAAGTGAGAAGATCCTGCAGTGGACTTGTGATGATGAATGCCAGTATTACTGTATGTGGCGCACAACACAGATATTCTTGGACAGGGGAATGGACATACCACAGTTCTTTGGCAAGGTGAACCATGTTACTGAAATGTTTTAAGACCCAATGAATATACTACAGATTCTGTATTATTACTGATATTGTACCTCCAGCTGTTTTGAAAACTAATGTACACATTGGAACTCGCTAATCCGGGAAGCTTAGGACCGGACCTGTTCCGGATTATCGAAAATTCCGAACCATTGAAGCCGAGGTTAAAAAAATGCAAAATAATGCATAAAATGTACTATTACTGTCTAATTTCTTCAGCATAGACATCTTTTCTAAAATAGTTAATGTCACTTGTTTACATTTTGCCGCATGACAACCACTGCCAATGCTTGCTGGTCTCTTAGGAGGCATATTTAGGGGTAAATTATAAGTATTTAAAGGTAAAATAGTGACAACAGCCACTAGAAGTGAGCTATGACACCATCCCGAACCATCGAAGCTGCCGGACTATCGGGTCCCTGATTAGCGGGGTCCAACCTGTACTTATACTTGCCATTGTTGAACATAGAATTGAAAATTGGATGCACATAATAAGATATTTATACTCTACAGTATAGTGTATCTAAATCTCTTCACTACATATTGTATTGGTAACTGGAGTGTTTAGTTCTTCCCACTTTGTAAGTTGGATGCACTGATAGTCCCTCTATTCACACTAAAGGAAGATAACCCACCATATTACATTACATACTTCTTATGACAGAATTTTCCCTTTATTCTATTAATTTGTATTGGGGGGGAATTCCCTGCTATTAGTTGTTTTAGTGTTCATCTCTATATTTTTAGGATGTGACTGATGAATACAGTTTTTCCATGAAAAATTAATTTACCGGTACCTGTACAGGTATTGACCTTAAATGTCAGTTTATTATGTCTTGTGGGAAGATTTCTTCATAGGGAAGTACAGTATCTCTCATTATGTTTTGGAAATCAATGGATTTTTTTTTTTTTTTTAATGAAACTTTGGTCTGTGAACAGTAATTTCAGGAACACTATCCTTATGTAAATTGAAGAAGGTCTGCACTGGATGTACAGTTTATACATTTGACTGAGTAATGCCATTTGAGTTGCTTATAAACTAATATATAATTACCCTTTGCTTTTTGTTGTATCAACTAGGGAAATGACGTTTTTCTTATCTCTATTGGTATGGTAAGTGAAGTTTCTACGGACCAGCACAAGCTTAGTACTGTAGTTCTCTTCAAGATGTTCTCAATTGTTGGCAGTCTTTGGCTTATCTCAGAGATTAAAAAAAGATGCAGTACACCAAGTGAGGGAGCACTACACTCATTAAAAGCCTTATAAGAGATAGACCATCTAAGTATGTGTTGGATATTTGTTTTAGTCCTATTAGTGTACAGCATTACCAAGATTCACCTTTGTAGAGTGATCCAAACTATTCAGTTCTTTGCTAACATAAACACCCAGATCTTTCAAATTAATGTTATATTTTTAAGTAATATTGCATAATGTTAATAAAACATAAAATGCAGAATCATTATGTGCATTGAGAATGTTGTAATAATTTACAGTGGCCATTTGCACGGATTTGGGGCATGCAGGAGCCGGCAGCTGTTCTCTTCTCTGTTCTCAACTTGATGGCCCATCTCATTAATCTTAGACGATTCCGTCAATCTGTCCCTCCAAATGCTCCAATGTATAAGATATGGCACTTGCATGCTGGGGTAAGTACACTGCACATAATTATGAATACCCAAAATAGGCTCTGATGAACTATTAGTGCCTCTCCACTATCACTCATAAGTAACTTCTGCAGTTTTTTCACCATATTCATTACAGTATTTCAATGTCACTGTCACTTCCTTATTCTATCTTTTATGTCTTTTCTTTATCTCATAAATTCTCATTTCATATAATTTATTTTCTTAATCCTGTTCCTTTCTTTTGAGTACAGTACTGTGTACAGTATTTTTAATTTTCTGTACAGTGGCCATGCTTCATGTATATTATATCCTTTATACAAATTTTATCTCAAATTTTCCAATCACTTCATCGTTCACGACTGACCAACATACTTTAAATGGACTGGTATTCTCTACACTCATTCTTTTTTTTAATTGTAACCATTAACCAGTACTGTAACTTTATTTCATATTTCTTAATTTTAGTGTCACTCACGCCAGTCTCTACAATATATACCATTCCATTCCATTTTATTACTTTAGATAAAATAAAATTCTTAAATTAATTATCTTCTAGCAAAAAGTGTGTGTATTTTCCACACCCCAGTCTATTGACCAAGATGAAAATTTCTTTGCTTATATTACTCACAAAATCATTACCCCTACACACAACACCCAAGAAATTTTATCTAAAAAATGGTCTAAAATTTTCTCAAATTGAACTTTACTATAGATGTTGAGTTACAGTGACCACCTCTGTGTTGAAAAACTGATACTGTACTATATTTATGAAGAGAATATCTCAGCATCTCCATATAAGAAGCTGTTACTTTCTATAATAAAGCAAAACTGTCCTTACTTGTTTTCACTTTGTATATCTACATTAATTCTGGTCTATTCCTCCCCCTTGCAGATCTGTATTAATGCTTGGGTGTGGTCTGTGGTGTTCCATGCCCGAGACACTCCCTGGACTGAACGATTGGACTACTTCTTTGCCTTCTCCATGGTTCTCTTTTCACTCTTTGGCCTTGTTATCAGGTAAAGAGACCTTAACCCTTGAATACTATACGTATAAGGGGGTACATCAGGTAGTGTAGAGGGGCTGCTGGAGGAGAGTAAACACACTACCTTCGATTACAAAAATATAATCTTTTAGGAGTTTACAGTATAATGGGACTGTCACTGAAAGGCATGTAACACAATGTACATTATGCATGTTATGTTTTAGTTTGAATCATGTTTATAAAAATACAGATTTTGTCTGTGAAGCAGTAGATAGGGTATATAAATACTATTGCATAATAGTTCTTAAATAAGGGATATAATGGGTACAGTACTATTTTAAAGGAAAGTATGAAGCAAAAATATAAACTTACATTGTCTTATACAGCTCATCATACCAATGTTTAATCCCTCCCTGGTCAGCTGAAATATTATTACTTATTGCTAGAGACTTATAATGAAATATATCATTCTCTACTATAAAACTATTTTGTGAGTGCAGGGGTCTTCATTTTATGTCAAAGAAGTGTTGCAGAGAAACATGACTTACAATGAAGCATTTTATAATGAGGTATTTTTCCCCATAACAATTAGTGTATACAGTAATGCCCTTTGAAAGCTCAGGATGTGTTCTTGAAGAGAGAGCTTTCAGCAAATCAGTTTACAAAGGGGTCGTTATAACATACTGAATAGTATGTGATATGGAAATACGTAACAATGTTATTTATTATCTTTGAAAGATATATGTTGGCTTAATTTTCCTACTTGTACACCTAAATACAGTAATTGAATAATGAATAAACCAGGGCATATGAAGATATTGATATTGAAACAGTTTATTTAGCCAGAAGAACACAAATACTGTACAGAGTCAATTTAAAAATCATAATATTAACATGGCTGAGCTAGTTGAGAACCTGAGCTCTCTTGTAGGCACCTGACATATACGCTGCACTATTATTTGATAAGTGCTGAAGACATATCCTGTGGTAAGGGCCAACCCTCTTGAGCAGTGACAACAGCAGTGCTTGAGAGATGGTGAGTGCTGGCAACATTATTAAGGGGCAGTGGGAATTATCTTCTGTTCCTACTCTGTAAAAACAGAGACCGGGACTATAATACACTGCAGTAACACCTCTGGGGTTGAGAGTGGGATTTTTGTGGGGAAAGTGATTATTTTACAATAATGTTGTACTAACCCAGAGCTAAATGATCCTAAATAATATGGGAATTATGGTGAAATTGCATACTGTTGTTATGAAGGGATTTCAGGCTGATAAGCACAGATAAAAGTTGTCCAGTCCTGCCTACACTCCCACCACCCTCCACCTCCTCTCCCTGGCTATGCAACCAGGCATAGTTTTTTTTCTCTCTATTTCTTTACAAGCAAGCCCTCCATTGTATAAGAACTTTAATTTTTTGGTGTTGGAGGTACAGTATACAGTAGTCATGGTGTTTCACTAAAGCCCCTGCTACTCTCAGATACACTCCATCTCCCACACTTTCCTAATTTTTCTTTTATATCCTTGTATTACCGGTACTGTACAGTGTACAGTACAATATTTCCTTTATTCACAAGGTACACTAGCACATTGAGATGGATATTCTGCAAATTTTATGGTTACTTACATGTAACAATGGCATAAGTGTGCAGTTGTGTTAGAAGTGACTGATGTATTTTGGTGTGGTACAAATGTAACACTTGTAGGGCACTTCTATTACTTTCTATGGATATTTTTACATTATATTACCCGGTAGATGTTTTTAATACTACTGTGCATTATTTATGCATCATATTCAGACACGCACAGACTTAGTATAAAACAGTGGACAATGCAGATGATGTAATGTGAAACAAATGACATCATAAAATTTCTTCATACAGTATATTTTTTAGCAACATATAATGTGAAATGACGTACTGTACTGTACTCTATATTGGTACAACATATATCAAGAACCCCTTGTATAATACACGCAGGAGCAATACCTATTGAACATTCTAATTTTAACATTTGGAACACTTGTGCAATTAACCCTTTCACTAGCTAGTGATGCAGGTTTTATCACTAAGATCCTGACAGCTACCAGGCCCCCTTTGGCTCACTCACCTTGAGCACAACCCTTGCATCACACACAACTCAATGGCCACATATGTTTATAATGAAAATTTTGCTGTGTTGATCTTGCAACTCTCTTATAATACACTTGTGTACATATGTAATGTACAAAAGTTTATCTATTTCTCTGCATGAAACAAGCAATGATTCCACAGCACAGCAAAGGTTTGTGTACAGCAGGCCAAGGTAACTGGCAACTAACACTCTGAAACACACTTTTCCAGAAATTACTGCCCAGCTGTGACACTTCATTCCAAAGCAGTAATGAGCACTCCAAAGCCTTTAAATCACTTGTAATAACAATGTAGATATTCAAGTGTTTCATTGAATACTGTACTGTACTCATCAGTAAGACACATGTAGAAAATAGAATCTATTATGGATATGAAGGTGGCAGATTACTCCATGACCTGCCAAACAGACTAGGGAATTGATCTAAAGATCGACAAATTATACGTGTACCTCAGGTGGGACGTGCAACCGCCTGTGTCTGTCCGATTGCAGTTAAGTCTCCATAGCAACAGTGCTGTGTGCCAGATACGTAGTTTAAATGCAGAAACATTCACCAGTTCCCGGAATAATTCTGTAGATGTGTAATTTATTCTGGGGATAAGAGAATTCGCCTCAATACTTGGAAGTCTCTCAAACCCGGAAACGCTCTGCACCAATTGTTCCCGGTAATGGGGATATTACTGTACAGTATTTCATCTTTAGATAACTCTGTTTTATATGAAACTAAAACTTGTGTAAGAATGCATTGCTTAATTGTAGATACTGTACCATAATTTGAAAATGACAGTTCACTTAACATCAAGTAAATGAGATGGGAGCAAATGAAATAATTGTGTTCAATTTACCAGTCTAAGAAAATTAGGGTACTCTGTATTTGTTTACCCTGTACTGTACTGTACTAAGTTTCCTGAGAATCCTCAGTCTATTCATACATATATCATTGTGCAAGAAGCTGCTGACTGCTTCACTTCATTAATTTAAGAGTCATAAAATATTAGCCAGGATTTTGAATGGTTCTGTATGGTGTTCATCACATTAAGATGTAGAGGTTATAAGGTTTTGAGGGAGATAATGTACAGTATACACACCTAAGTGCTGTGATTGTAAATGAAGACAAGTCTCAGACACTGTTTATCAGTAGATGGATGGATGATTAACATTTAATTTCACTGAATGATGGATGACCAGCAGTATTTGACTCAATTACTTGGTTGTTGGATAGTATGTTCATTCCCTCTTCTCTCACCCTCTACCCTTGTCTTTACAGTTACATCCCTTTATTTAAGGTCTCTGTGCTCCTTGATCCAACTCTCAAAAGAGTAAGAGGGTAGTAAAAATAATAGATGGACTGTTAGAAACATTTTGTCATCTTGGTTAGTGATACTACACACTTGGTCACTAATACCCTGACATTCCTCCATCAACAGGTTGTTGGGTCCTCAGCTCAAGGTTTATAAAGAGGCAGCAGCAGTAGTCGGTGTCCTGTTCTTTGGTTATCATGTGTGGTATCTGACAAAGGGACGATTTGATTATGGATACAATATGACGGTGAATGTTGTTGTAGGTAAGTTAAAAGTTCTATAATTCAAAGCACTTTACCTATTATTATGTCCATTTTGCACTCTCAGATGTTAACCAACTTTGTCCTGCACAACATAATAGTCATAATGCTAAAACTGTATTACTTTTCTGGAGTCACATATGATAATTTTAAATTTTCTGCTTAGGCATTTCCCATGATGAAATTTTTTTCACTTACTATTTTTGTATGTGAAGATTAAACTTTTGAATGATGAAACAAATTGGTCTGCTTTAGGAAAACTCACTCCAAATTTTTATAACATATGTACAGTTTATATTGTTTGTTCTAGGTTTAAAGAAAAAATACAGTGGCAGAAATAATGATTGGCAGAACAAGTTCAGCTAGTTTAACAATTTTATGTTTTATGGTTGATGCTCCTCGTTATCTCCCTAACTGGATATATTGTCATTCTTTCACATTTTCATGACTAAATAGCTCATCTTTATAAACAATTTATTAAAGGTAAACTACTGGGAGTTATGGTTGTTTTTACTTTTTAATAGCTTAGTTCAGTGGAATAATTATCGAAGCTTAATCAGTACAGAACCAGGTGAAGATGTGACACACAGACACATACAGTACTCATCATTCAGAACACTGTGTCAGTATTTTTTATCTTTCATTCTTCACAGTTTCCATATTATGGTCTTACTCTAGTAAAGATATTTGGAAGTTCATCCGTTGACCAATGAATATCTGATCCCCATAAAATTCTGGGTTTGGGCCCCCCTTTATTTTTTATAAATATTTTTCCTAGCAATACAGTGTCCATTGAGTATAGACCATTACATGTTTAACAGTGAAGGTCACATTTTCTCAAGATAGTTTGAGAGTTAATTTTTAATTTCTAGCGTTGATTTTTTGTGTATTTAAGGTGAGGGTATAAGGAAGTATTGTACAATATGCTTGGATATTTCTACTTGTTGTCATATTCCTATTAGATTATCCTGTTGTCTGCTACACTTGTTTTGCATTACTTTCAGCTATTATTTCAACCATTTTTTGAGTTTACTGTATCCATTGAGCCACCACATGAATAACGTAACCATTTTTTTCTATCAGATAATAATGTATCAGTTTTAGTAACATAAACATTGATGATAATTCCAGGTGTCTTAAATGGCTCTGGGTGGCTTGCCTGGGCTGTGCCACGGCTGAAATCAAGACCATACATTCAGTGGTGTGTGTTCACAGTGGTGGGTGCCATGGCATCAATGTTACTGGAGCTTGGAGATTTCCCGCCCCTCTTCTGGGCAGTTGATGCTCATGCCCTATGGCACTTGGCTACGTCACCACTCCCCTTCATGTGGTACAGGTAAGATTAGAGTTTACATATGACAGTAATGTTGGTGTTCACTACGTGTGCTTGTGGTGCTCTTACTGGTGATTTGATAGTTATTGTAGAAGTGATAGTACTGTACTATTGTATGTTGAATATGTATATAATATATATTATCCACATGTAAACCATCAGTGGGCTAATGTCAAAGGCTTTTTGATTTGTTGTTTAGAAGACAATGTTTATGAGGAAATGTAAAAATATCGGGGCCTGAGTTTTATATGCTGGAGATGAAAGTATTATTCTGAAGAGCTACTGATTGTCAGAGATGAGGAAGAAGCTTAGAAAGAAGGTAGAGAATGAGAATGGGGTGTGTGTGTTTCATTAAAAAATTTAGATATTTTTTATTGGTGATGGTAAGAGGAAATACCTGGAGGGGATTGTATGCTTAAAGTGGTATATTGTACTGAAGGAGGAGGTTATGGTGGTATGGTACAGCTTTTTTGCACACTGGAGGAAATGTACTGGAGTGAGGGCAGGGTGCCATAAGACTGAATAAATACCACATTTACTTTAGAAAAAAATGGGTATAGATTTATTTTTATTTATTTATTTTTAAGAATATCAGGTGTATTGATCATGGCAAGGAGATACAAGGTAGGGTGATATTTTTAAGAGTTGGGGAAAAGATGGGTGATAAAGCAAAGAGACAAAGAATGTGGTTCAGAGGAGGGATATTTACTGTGTCAACAATGGTTAACAAAACATCCAAAAAAAGAAGAGAACCATTGACTGTGTTAATGATTTTGGTGGAGTTCAAGAAAATATGTAACAGAGTATAGAATAATTACTGGAGTTGTAATATATGTTTGAAGTTTAATAAGCTAATTAAATTTTCACACTATCTTGAAGAGGGAATTGTCAGGCCTGGCCCTTGAGTATGGTGAATTGGCAAGACTGCCTCGGGCCCCACGCTTTGGAGCTTTGTGGGTTGTGGTCAGAATCTCCAAACACCTAGTAATGATCCCCTTAGGGCCAGTCCTTGGGATAAGTCTCTGCATTTGCTCACATCCTTGAGACTATGTTTTCATTTTGGAGAGAGAGAGACAGAGAAGGGGGGATTTTCATTTGAGCCTACAAACACTACAGTACAGGAAAGATTGAAAAAATCGGTTGTCTCTTTGCTAAGTTAATAAGGTAAAAGAATACAGGTTTTGATCATATAGGTATTACTATTTGTATGATTATTTCACAATCATGAGAATCCAGAGCTGTTTTAGTTATCCACAAAATTTACACAAGATTCCTGCTATTTCAGACTTCTGGAAAATCCTGATAAATTTAGGAGCAGCAGGAGTAGTTCATAGACTCTCCATTCATATGTCTGGGTACTCTAAGATTTGCAACTTCCAGTGGCATTTTTAGGTGGTTTTATGTGATCAGTTCTTTGTCTTGTTATTTAGGATTTAATCATCATGTTAGCCATACAGTTCAGTACCATAATGTGCTTCTTAGTCTGTTGAACACACTAAACAATTGTTTTATAAACTTTCCTAGAACTCAGAACATCATTTAAAAAATCTTTCTTCTCATCAGCCACATCATCATCATCATCAACATCATCATCATCATCATCATCATCATCATCATCATCATCATCATCATCATACCCCTCCTCTTGCTCTTATTCGTGATCCAAATCTTCTTCAAAATTTAATCATCATTCAAGTAAGTCTTTGTGTGGGTTGTAACTCCATCACACTACTGCTGTACCTCATCCTAATACAGTATTATACATCTTCTAATTGTTAAACTTTTAAAGATGTGTACCATCATCATTTCAATGTGGCTTTGAAAATGTACCTGCACACTGTAGAGACAAAGAATATACAGTAGTATACTGTACAGTGAAATATGATAGCATAAATCAAATGTACTACAGTATATTTTTGATTCTTTTCATTATATTGTACAGTATAGTCTGGATTTACGTGGTTTTTGTTTACGCGTTTGGTCATTTACGCGGTGCCTTGCCGCGCCATTTTTTACTCATGCGGTCCATTCTTGACCATTCGCGGGAAGCGGTGCGGTGAGGGGTGCGCATTAGGTCGCTCTTACGTTATCGCTGACATCATATGACGTATCGGACTGTGATTGGGCCACACATCCTTACCACCCACGCATTCCCTCCGCTGCTAGCTGTGATTGGTCTAATGTAACATGACGTGCCCTGCCACCAGAAGTCGCTGACCTAGCCGGGCCAGTCTCATTGTTCTCAGTCCGCGTATACAGTTCTCTCTTGTGCCCGCTATTCCCCTCACAATGGCTTCCGCTTGACCCCCACCACCCCCGAGAAACCTTGAACTACCTGGATCAAGCCATGATTATGTGAAGGAAATCATCGAGTTGGGGGAGAAAATTAAGCTCATCCTTGACAACATCCCAGACAAGCATCGGTATGAAGTGTCTAATAACCATCTGTCGAAAGTTATGGAGCCGTATATCCAGATCTATCTCGACAACATCAATGCTAGTCGTCAACGTAGTATTAAGGACTTCTTCGCCCGAAACCCACCACAACCACAGCCAGCCCAAGTCAGTGATAGTGACAGTGAGGATATGGATTTTGAGGGGTTTGTCTGGGAGGCCCTGCAAACCTCTGCGAGTAGTGAAAGTGATTCTCCGGAGGGCAACTAATCTGCCCTCTGCCTCGGAACCAGCCGCCATCAACGTGTGCCGACCCATCTCTTCTACTAACGTAAGTGTTAAACACCTTTAGATTTGTAGTTTTTTATTTAGATATTATGTGTGTAGCAATACCATCATAAAATTATGATGTTATTTTTACTACAAGGTACGTATTGTGTCAGAAAAAGTGGAGTTTGGTAGTCGGCCCAGTCTCTATTTCAATTACCGGTAATCCTATATGTTCTGTTATTTCGTTTACTCGTTTCTCGTTTTACGCGGACCTCCACGGGTTCAGTTGACCGCGTAAATGCAGACTATACTGTATGTGTTTTATGTTGTACTGGAAATGCTTTATACTGTATAATTATTAAGTCTGAAATCCAGAAAAGTTATAATTCTGGAGAGGGTTTGGTCTTGAACAATCTGTATTTGTGAGATTGTATTTTATAATCAATAACTCACATCTATATATTTTTTCCAGGTTTTTGGAGAGTGATTGCCTATACTTACTTCAAAGAAAATCTGGACCTGAATACAAGAAACAAATATAAGAAGACAGTATAATGGCTTTGGTAATACAGTACTGTATATGACATGTGTTTCCAGTAAATATTAATTTGAAGTATAATTTCATACTTTTACTAAGGTTTATAAACCATAAATGTTTGTTTCCAGTACTTACCTTGTTATCTGTTACCTCTGCCAAAAGCAGAATCTATTTCAAGTATATATGACATGATATTTTGACATATAGTACAGTAAATATATATGGTATGAACTTACAGTATTTTGAACATATATTTATATTTATGGTAATAATCTTTATTATTAATAGGTGAGTGTTATGAACATTCTGTATTGTTAACATGTTGTGTTTAGAGTGGATATACCTATATGTAAACGTGGATTATGAACATGTTGTTAGCTTCCTCTTTTCAATGTTTATACATATGTTACTGGAGAAACAACAGTAATAGAAGATTAGGATTTTAATCCTGTGCTTTTCCTTAAAATTTGCAAGATCACTGAATGTGGCTAATATGTAGCATAGGTCTACTTGTAATTAGTTGCTGATGGTTGTTATAGTTATAAAGGCAAACTTACATGATTATGATATAATTGTTTTTTGTGTTTCTTAGGGAAAAGACAAGAGTAAAACTCAGAGGTAATGGAACTGTGAGCTATGAAGAATATTATGTGTCCTGTGCCTCACTCACTAGACTGATAAAGTGGCTTTCTGTTTTGGATGCTGCAATTGTTAGAAATTTGAGTTATGCTTGCCAACCAGTACCTGGGGCCATGATACCATTACAAAGTAATGTCTAAATCTCTCCATTCACTGTGTACATGTGTAGTGTGAGGAATATCAGCATTGTGCAGCTGACTAGAAGTACTGTACTTCAAAAGAACATTCATGATAACACAGAAAATCTGTGGCAAAGCAGCGATATCTTCACCACTGGCAGTGGGACAATGATTCTAAACTTAAGAAAAGGAGAGCATCTACATTTTTATGTGAATGGTAAAAAAAAAGTATGTTTCATTACTTTTTTCTGCAATTTGAAGCTGGACAAATTGCTATGATATATTCTACCAGTATTTCATAATACAGTATTTTGATATGCATGCTCCCTGTATCAGTAAAGGTATTCATATACAATATACAGGAATACAACTTGAATTACAGCTCATTTTTTCTACATTTTGGCAGTTTTCTACAAAATTTTTTTATTGGTACCAGACAATTTGATCCACATAATATATAAAGGTGTATACCAATTCCTGTGATCGGCTTTACCAACTGATCTGAAAATACTATAGTGGACTAACACTGCTTACAAAGCACAGGAACCACATCGAATCCATGGGTAACGATAATTTTTAGGGGGACTTTACTTGACCAAGAATTTTTCAATGGGATATTTAGGAATGTCAAGTGTTTGTCAAACTAAAAAATGACATTGACAATCTTTAGTCAACTGTTGTCTTGGCTTACTAACTTAGGCATTTCAGGGATGTTATCTCTGAGTGGGAGGAGGTAAATTTAATTACAGTACAGTACAGTACTGTACTGCAAAACTTTGTAAAGAATACTTTAACAGAGAATATAAAAAGGTTGTGTAGTGGTAGAGGATAACTTCTGGTAAGGTTTGCCAGGAGGCCTCCTCAGCTCCACAGTCAAAGGGTCAGTATCACATTATGGTTAGAAGTGTGCTACCTGAGTTGGTTTTGTTCATTATGAATTGAGCTAAAGATTACCTGAGTCAGTTTTCCTCTGAATAAGGAGAATGAGTTTTATTTGAGTATGAAATGAAGTTGTCTTTGTTCAGTCTTTGATGGTTAATGTTTTTGTATTGGCTCTTCTTAAGTTATTTCCATCTTTGCAAGCCATTTCCCACATACTGTAGGGTGGCAAGGGTGACACAGACTCACCTTCCATAGTGTCATTTGTACTTTTTAGCTGCATCACTAGATGTGTTCTTCTGAATAAAAATCCGTTTGCAGCACTTTCATATCTGCAACCATGTCTGACCAAAAAGGATGTTTAATAATTGTGAAATAAGTTTCATTATTTGCTGGAGCTTTTTGCTGCTTGAAATCAGTAATTTATGTATATAATATTGTGTTACCACCTGGAGTTCTAGCTTGGTAACTCTTTCATGAATAGGAAAAGTATAGGCAGTAGAAGTTTTCAAGATATGCAGCTTAAATGTTAGGATTAAAGTTCAGACTCTTCACAATACAGTAATTTATGTTCACTGTATACTTATTGGTATTTTGGTATTTTCATGCATAGACAATCAGCCCTGGATCCAGACTTGTGGATACTGATGAACATGTATCCGTCAAATTTTTTTATGTGTTGTTGAACACCAGCTGGCACACCTCACTTTAAAGGGGAAAACAGGGTATATAGTATATATTAATTGATTAGTAGTTATACTGTATCAGTAAGTTTGATCATAAACACAATTGCTGCACCAATATGATGTGATATATTTCTTGATAAAAAAAAATTATTAGATCCTGGCAATGTAGGGATTCTGGTTTCATTGGTTTTTATGTGTTTCATTTTGCTACTCTGGGAAATATAGTTTATGTATGTATGTACAATTTTTACAGTTGTATGTACAGCATAATATATATATATATATATATATATATATATATATATATATATATATATATATATATATATATATATATATATATATATATATATATATATATATATATATATATATATATATATATATATATATATATTGAATTTTTGCTCATTTATTCTAGGTTGTAAATACAGTTTTGAAATAAGATGTTCGCCTTGTGTGTAAAGTTGGCCAGCATGGTGTTGTACTGGTATAGTGTAAGTAAACATTGTACATAATTGTCCCATGGTGTAGGTTTTTAAAGTCCATTTCTCTTTACAAAAACAAGAAGAAAAGGAGACAGAATAGACCCATAATCCACCATTTGCCATTACTGTACATATTTTAACGTACAGGATCCTTGGGTCATGTTCCTGGTCCCCGCTAGTGCTCACTGTCTCCATTGTTCAATCAGATGTATGGGTCTGGATCCTGGCCTGAGAGTTCATAGTTCGTTTAACAATGGTCTTTGTCCACCAGTTTCATTCTTCTGTACTTTTATGGGATAATTCACATGATTCTTCTGAATGGAATGTAGTAGAATGTTTTTACACATGCACACATACACATGCAACATATACATATAACACACACACATGGTCACACACATGCAACACACACATGGTCACACATGGTCTCAGATATACATGGTCACAAACTGCCACACACATATGGGCACACACACACACACACACACACACATTCTATAATACATTATCATATTTTATCTTCTTTTTGTAAATAGAAAGTTGTTATCTACATATACATTATTATTATTAGAACATTGTTGCATCATGGCTTCATCCCATCAATTTACACTTTTAATATGTTTGCTACAGTAGTTTTTGTCTTATTGTTCAGGTAATATTGTTACATTTTCTCCAAAGCTAAGGGTTGCTGGTTCAATCCTGGGGCACTCACTGTCCACTCAGCTGTAAATGGGTACCTAACTTTATGAGTTAGGAAGTGAAAGCAGAAGAGTGCAGTGCCACACTGCCTCCTTGCATACTGAAGGCTTAGTAAACAGTGTGCTTTATCCACACTGTCCATAACAGGCAGTCATGCCTGTGGGATCCACTTTTTCTCTTGTTGCACTTTACTTCTCAAACTACAAAACATTGCAATTTAATGAATGTTTATTGTGTATGGCACTCATAGTTAATGATCTATTTCATTATATTAATTGTTGCCATGTGTGTGTGTGTGTTTGTATTATAATTATGTTTATTTTGAACTTTAATTAGTGAACATTCTGTGAATTTTATTATATTTACAGAGAAAATGATCTGTTTTTAATGTTTTAGATTCAGTGCAGTGCATTGGAATGAAAATTGTTTGTAGATTATTGGTAGAACTAAACTAATGTATCTCATATTTGGTAAATAGTGAGTGCTGGATACTTGAGGTCCATTGGCTTCTTGTCCATGTGAACTTAGTGTAACAGGAGCTGCAGAAACAACATCTTCTTACTGTTGCAGGAGGACAATGATATGCACTAAATGGTGTTTTTTTTAAATTGCAGTAAGGAAAAGTTAACTGTTTTATGTTTGTTTAATATACTTTGTAACACTTGTTTTACCTCATTTGTTTTTCAAATTAGTTTTATGTTCTTCCTGAAAAATACTACTAACCAAGTTTGTGGTTGTGCTGGAGATTTACTGACTGCAGTATAAATATTTCACAATTATTTTCTCTACTTTATCTTGTTAGTTTATCTGTTATTGTTCCTTAGTGTACTGTATGTATCTCACCCTTCCAATTTTTAGGTGGCTGGAGAGAGGTGTGGGTGCTTACTGCATATTAGTCTATAAAAATTTTAACTTTGGAAATAATTACAATTAAGTAACTGATAAAAATTGTTGGTTTAGCACTTCCAGGGGGTTAGTAATGTGAAGGAAACACAAGAAATATTTTTTCCTCCATCAATGGCTGTCTTCCACTAATACAGTACAGTGGTCCCTCGGTTAACTAGCACAATTCGTTCCAGAAGGTTGCTCGTTAACCGAAAAATTCGTGAACCGAAACCATTGTTTCACTGGGTTTTTGGGTAACTGGTTCCAGGTCACCGAAAATTACATACAAACTAAAAATAAATGCAGTAAAGTACACTTACTTTGAGGTGTGCATGTATAAGGCTCCTGGTTGATGATGATGATGATGGGAATTAGAATGGGGGTGGAGGAGAAGGGAGAAGAGAAGGCATTGGGGTGGAAGAGAAGTCACCCCATGCCGCCATTTCACCCATAAAATTTTAGTTCACTTGGTGTAATTCAAGATTATTGTCAATATGTAAAATATATTTCAAAATGACCAATAATTTGACTGGAAACACAGAAAAAAAGCGTTTATGTTGAAGAGTCTCAAACAAGATGTTCCTTCCTCTGAACTGGTAAACAAACTGACGCCAAGCTTGGTGTGTTGAGTGGCTGTTTGGCGCACAAAAAGATAGCTTCCTGTACTTCAATTATGTTCAATAATTGCTAAAATGACTAAAAAATTTAATATAAAACTTTTAAAATTATTGAATAGTACAACCTTCTTGATATTTACTAAAATGGTAAGGAATTTAATCCCTAAAACCGATTACTGTATTGGCGGACTAATACTACAGCTGGTGGGCAGCCAAATGCAGGCGAAAACATATTGGGAAAAATTCGTAAGGAATTCGTTAACCGAGGGTTTGCGCGTTAACCAAAGTGAAGAATCTTATGGAAGGTAATTCGTTAACCGAAATTTCGTTAACCGAGGCGCTCGTTAACCAAGGGATCACTGTTCTGTATATTTCGTCTTTAATTACAGTTTTGGTACTTAGCTCTATAATGGTCTTCTGTTCTTGCCCTGATCCCCACCTCTAGCAGAAGCAGGGGAGTATGTCAGAGCTGTGTTTCTTCTTCCATGACACTTCATCGTTTTCCAATAGCTTAACTCTCTTATGGTCCCGGTTGCTCACCTCACAGTGAGATACTCCCACTCCCTGTTCTTGCTGAGCGTGTCACACTCCCTGCTGCTTGGTTTATTGTGCATATGATCCTAAATCATGCTTAAAACATATGCAAATGAAAGCCCCAATTTTGGCAATACTTCTTACACCAAAAATGTATGAAATCCCTTATTCAATATACTATAAATTTTGAATGTGAAATGCCATGAACCTTGAGAGAGTTGAGCTTATAAAGGATATTAACTGAATTGACAGTCTAATACTGTGCTAGAAGTGAGAGCAAGTTTGAATTTCAACAAATTCCTGCCTTGAGTGGTGGAGTTACCTGTCTTTGAATTCAAGAACTTGATTTTAGTTGAGCATAATTACTTGTGTAATTTCATGATCTGTCCCTTGTGCTCCTTGTACTGTATAGTATTTCTGACCCCCCTCCCCCCCTCTCTTTTTTTTCTGGTTCAGATTCCTACCATATCTTTCCTCTATATGAGCTTGGTAAGGCAATTATAGTACCTGTAGTGGTCTTTTCATGAATTTGTATTAGTGTATTTAAATGACAGCTAATAGCCTTTACAGGATTTACAAACCAGCTTATATAAGTGTATGTACAGTGTTATCATTAGTATTTTTTGGGGGGTATTTAAATTTTTTTAATGGGATAATGATATATGCCATTGTAACACTCCACTGAATGTAAGTATTTTTCATCAAATGTTAACTTAATTTTTTTCAGTTACAGAAACTTGGTTACTTATATTTTCTGTTAAGGTACAGTACAGGTACTGTACTTTTTATTTTCATATGCTCAAGCCCAAATTGGACACTTGCCTCATTTTACCACAGCTTTTGGTGGCTGAGTAATAACACTAGTCCCTGAAGCTAATCTGTTGACATTAGTATTAGGAAGGGCAAGTGTAAGAGTCTCATTTGGATTATTCATTGTTCTGGGATACAGTATTCCTGTGAGTATTTTTATTTATTTATTTTTATTTATTTATTACTTTTGTCTTCCACTTGTAGTATTACTCTGTCCATGATGAAAACACTTGTACTATAAAACGGGTGTCACTTAATGTATGTTGATGGTAGACAAACACCGTCCAATGTCATTAGTTGAGGTAGATACTGTATTGTATAATATTTTGGTAAGATGGTATTGTACATAGAAAGACACATTGCAATTTCCAAATATTAGAGAACAAAACTGAGTGAAGGAATAAGCAGATCTCTATTAAGTTAGTGAAAGCTAGAATGATAAATATTTTCATAATAAAATTCATCTAGTATAGTAAATAGATCACCAAAACATCTCGGGTGCCATGAGAAATACCAGTACAGGTGTACGTACCAATTTGTGTGACTGATTACCTTATAAGAAATGTGAACAAATGTTACCCAGAATTTATAGTTCCAGTAAGCAGAAGGCATTATAGTAGCAATCAACCAACGCTGCTTTATTCTTAATCAAAAGTACTGTGATTGTGGCCTATATTTTGCTTTAATGTTTAATATGAAAAATGGGAAATACAGTGTTTGTGTATTTTTGCATTGCATGTAATTAATGTTTTTAAGATTATTGTTTATAACTTGTATTGTTATTAGTATATCTAGATGAGCACTTATGAAATGTCTTAGAAAACAATGAAGAAGATGAGTGTTAAATACAGTGACTCTAACCACCGCAAAAGATCCTCTCCACTTGACACCAGGCACAAATTTCATGTTTGCGACTATCAACAAGAGGTCATGTCGTCAGAGTGGCAGTTTTGGAAAGTAAAAGGAATGAATCATGAATTTTAAGGTATTTGAAGTGTTAGATAATTAAAGAAAAGTAAAATAAAATATGCTATAATTTTTGGGTATGTATGCGATTCACCTAACCTAAAGGACATAAGACATGTGTGAAAAGAAGTGGTAGATGTGAGATAAGTGTGTTGAAAAGTTATGAAACTTTATGTAGCATGATGGATGAAGAGATGTTAAGTAGTAAATGTATGAAGATAAAATCTTAGTAAATTAAACAAAATAGGTTAAAAGTGTGTGTGAAGTAGCTTATGCTGCAGTGATATGGATCAAAGCAGGCATACTGGAGAGAACATAAAAGAGGTAGTACTTTAGTAAAAACAAGGCAAAGTATACTGAAGAATTCTGAATGGATGGATAGTCATGACAGTGGAAGAGAGTGATGTGTAGGTTTGACTTTTAAAAAATATATTGATGAAAATTGATAGGCTCACTCATTTGCTCTGCTACTGTATATTCTTTGTGGTCTGAATTGTACATTTGTTGAAAAAATTTCTTAGCACTTTTTGATGGCACTGTATACAGTATAAGAAGGGCTGGGATTTTAACATCTAATTTCTCATATTTGCTTTGTATTAAATTACCGATATAATCTATAAGAGAAGCCGCATTTGTCAGCTGTAATGTACCACATACAGTATATGACCCACAGATAGATACCAAATAATCAGATGTGAGAATTTTGGCTGCAACTGTACAGGTGTGCTTCATATTTGCTCAATATATCCCTTATTGAAAATACAATCTTTTAATTTTAAAAGTTTTTACTAAAAGTTTTCCATTCGTAAGAAATTTGTATCTTGTTATTATGATATGCCTGGTACAGTACAGTAATTATTTTCTCTTATTCACATCATACATTAGCAGTAATTTTGCTTCATAGTGAGCATGGTCAGTAACATACTGTAAAGTTATTTGTTACAAAACACATTTTTTTATCTACTGTTAAATAGATTAAGGATTTCCACAGTGCTAAAGGTCACATTTACCAGACCTTTAGCTCATTGTAGAGTGTGGAGAAGCCATTAGAATTTTTTCTGATTAATAGAATAAATTCAGTATCTGTACACAATTTAGAAACAAGAATACATTTTGCTCATCTGTCATTCTCTGTAAATGCTTTGAAGTTGTACCTGTATTCAGACAGAATAAATTTCTTAAAGAATTCCTAAAAGATGTTTGTGTTGTGTATGGAAAATATAATGTATATCTGTTGATAGTTTCAGAAGAATTCTTTACTCATTAACCTCAAAGGGATTTTTTTTTAATGTTATATTTAGATGTTATTGTTGTAGTGTTTATGATATTTATTGTTACTCGTTGTATTTCTCGATGTTTTAATAAAAACATCTTCCCAATAAACTTCTCGAACATTTATGGTAATTTATTTGAGTCCAAGCATTTTGGCTCATAGCTTGTATTATTGAGAAAATTAATGTATCTAAGTAATGATTACGGTACTCACAGAGGCGGGTCATGTAAGTTGGGTAGTCATTGCTGCTTGAATTAATTAAAGTGTCTATATATACTAAGTACAGAACATAGTTACAGAAGTAATACTGTATATGGCATAAATATTCGCCGTGAGAATCCTGATGAACTACAGTGATCCCTCGATTAACGAGCGCCTCGGTTAATGAGATATCGGTTAACGATTTACCTTCCATAAGATTCTTCACTTCGGTTAACGAGCAATCCTCGATTAACGAGTGTTTTACGAGCCGACTTCAACATGTTATCGCTTGCATTTGGTGGTCCACCAGCTGTAGTATTAGTCCGCCAATACAGTAATCAGTTTTAGGGCTTAAATTCCTTACTATTTTAGTAAATATCAAGAAGTTTATACTATTCAATAATTTTAAAAGTTTATTAACTTTTTTAGTCATTTTAACAATTATTGAACATAATTGAAGGTAAAGAAACTAGTTTCTGGCGCGCCATCCAGCCTGTTAATACACCAGACTGGCGTTAGTCTCTCTCTTTTCAGTGGAGGTAACATCTTGCTTGAGACTCTTCAACTAAATGCTTTTTTTCTGTGTCCAAGCAAATTATTGGTCATTTTGAAATTTATTTTACATATTGACAATATATAATGCAGTGCAGTGTTGATTTAAAGAAAATAATCTTGAATTACACCAAGAGAACTAAAATTTTTGGGTGAAATGGCGCCAAGGGGCCGATTTCTCTTCCACCCCAATGCCTTCTCTTCTCCCTTCTCCTCCACCCCTATTCTAATTCCCATCATCATCCAGGAGCCTTCTACATACACACCTCAAAGTAAGTGTGCCTTTCTACCTTTTTTGTTGAATTTAGGCAATTTTCGGTGAGCTGGAACCAATTACCCAAAGCTCCATTGAAACAATGGTTTCGGGTAACGAGTTTTTCGGTTAACGAGCAACCTGCTGGAACGGATTGTGCTCGTTAACCGAGGGACCACTGTATTGTGTATACATTATTTATAGTTGAATGATCAAGGTAGGCATTGAAAAAGACATCCCATGGTGCTAGTTGGCACCTTTCTTGACTGTAGTGTAGTTAATGAAGATAACAATGCACAGGTTATCATTACAAACAACTGCTGCCCAATGTGTAATTTATTAGATCAGGAATTTGTGAGGTTTGATGCACCTATTCCACTTTATTTTGTTTAGAATGGAGTAAATTTGGTGTATTATATGTAAAGAATACTGTAAATATAAACAGGAAAATACATAATTAAGTAATATAACGAAAGATATAAATAAGTAGATATGTAGCATACTGCTTAGAATAAAAGTACATTAGTTCAGTGACTTCAAGCCAGTACAGTACAGTACAGTATGTGACCTCAGTTGAAGTCCAGACTATACTGACACATGTATTACTGTATTATCAGGAGACGACTTCATGCCCAATTCCTGCAAATGATTTAGAAAATTGACAATGGGAAGAGAGTGTAAGTTGTGTCAATGATATTTAACATGATATATGTGGTTAATGACTGAAATACAGTACAGTACTGTATCTTGGGACTATACTGATGTGCTTGATCCTGTTCAATTTAGACAATGAATTTTATATCCTGTATACAGATGGATATCACTGATCTGTATGAAAGTAGCATTGACAACAGTGATGTACGGTACACTACTCATTTAGTAGTAAAAAATGCCATTGATGATGTTGAAAAATGGGATTTGTGACTTTGAATAATACTGTATATATAATCTGTTTTTATAGATTTAAACTGAGCACACATTGATTTTTTCTTTAATTTGTCTCATTTAAATCTTTCCTGCTATATTCCAGATGGTTGAAATCAAGAGGCTGTCCCAACATTAGCTGTCATCCATTCTTATTGATGTATTGGATGTTTTTGTCTATGGTATTCCCCTTCCACAACAAGACCTCTGATATGTGTACACTTTACCCAGCACCATCCATCTGTAGCATATCTATCCATTTATAAAAGGTAAGCTCAACATTTTATATTGCCATCTGAGTAGAAAGTTCAGAGGATACAGCAAATTTAACTGAGGATGAGGTCACAATTCAGATGATTTTCAAAAACAAAACCTAAATTTTTAAAAGATTTTTGAGTGGCCCGTTTTACATTAGCTGCTAAATATCTTCTAATTTTACACTGTATAATAATACACACTGAATAACTTCTTGTAAGAAGTGGCATTAGAGTTAAGAAGCTGACAAGAGAGGCTACAAGAGACCATTCAACATGGAGAACTGCCTATCAGGTGTCACCAACCCTTGCAAGCATTGATAAATGGTCATTACATTTTACTTTTACTTTTATGGTATCCTCTTCGCCACTGATCGGCTCGCTAGCCGCTTGGGTGTCGGTCACATCTCTGCTATGCACTTTTGGCAAGTACTGGACATGCACTGGCTTCTGAATGTATCTGAACCTGCTCCAGTGCTGGTCATGTCTGGTCTTGAAACAGCTCACACTCAGTGCCATCACAACACACACTGACAGGTTTTCCAAGAGTTCATAATTCTCACTCTGAAAAAGTTTGGCCTCACAGTTTTCTGGACTTGCAGTTTCTTCAACCTTGAGCTGTGACCCCTTGTGGGGCTGGCATCTGCCAGCTCCAGGTACGGACACTCGACTGAGTAGTGCCCTTTGAGATGTTTATACCCCTCAATTAGGTCCCCCCTTGCCCGTCTGTAGTATAAGCTAGGCAGGTGCGGGCGTCTAATCTTTCTGGATAGCTGAATTGCCAAAGTGCAGGCACCAGTCTGGTAACCCTCCTTTGGACATTTTTATGTTTTAATACTTTGTGAAGAGGGTTTGAAACTCACTAGAGGACCATAGAAGTTTTCACAAGTTTAATTTTTATTTTTTTTCAGGTTGAGTTTCTTCTCAAGGTCCAGAACTAGTTGCTCTGGAAGGGCCATTTTCCTGAAAAGAAATAAATATCGTAAATTGTTGGTATCATACGGTAATGAGTGGATTGATTGGCTTCAGTCATCCATGGGTGATTTTGTATGAAGAGGTTAAGGATTCAATTTGCATATTAGGTAAACTAGTTGAAGAAATGAATAGATGTGTGTGTAGAGTGTTTCTCCCTGACGCTTCTGCCCTTTCCTGTCACTTTTTACACTTTTCTTGCACCACTTTCCTTTACCATTTTCCTCCCCTCTTGAGGTACAGTATTTATATTTTTTCCCTTACTGCACCCCAGAATGGAGGAAAGATAATAGACAGAAAGATAAAGTTGTTTTTTTTATCTCAGGGAAGATACCATCCCATATAGTTTTCTTCGTCTCACACTTGTATTCTTACAGGTTGGGGCCTACATCACACACCATTCTCTACCCTGCTCCACAATCCTCCTCCATCTGGGCCACTCCTCTGCTGTTCCCATTCACCATCTGCTTTTTCTGTGTATTTTAACAGTGTCTTTATATAATACTAAATAAATAGAATCTATCAATCCAACAAGTAAGGGTTAAACTGTTTTTGAATACGTACAGGTAAATATAAAGATAAACATAGGAAAAGACATATGGGTGTGTGTGTAAGAAACCCATGCTCTCCTATTTAATCCAGCCATCCAGCCCAGCTTAACCCACCTGAGCTCCTGCATGGTGTCCAGCTTGAGTCTGGTGAGGGCAGCTTGTCTGAGTTTGATCTGCAGGGCCGCCTCCTCCTTTTCCTGGCGTAGTCTATCAGCCTCCTTCGCCCTCCTCGCCTCCTGTTCCTTGATCTGGCCTCGGATCCTTGACTCGTAGTCTTCCTTAGCCTGGGTAATGGAGGGGGAGGAAAAATGGGATGATGAGAAGAAGAAAAAAAAGAGGAGGTAGAAAAGTTGAATGAATAGGAAGGAATATTGGAATGAATAGATGAGGAAGAGGTGGAAAGGAGAAATAAAGAGGTGGAGGAGGAAAAATTTATTGAAGAGGAGGAAAGTAGGAAAAATTAAATGAAGAGAAGAAGAGACAGAAAAAAGAAAATGAAGAGATGAGAAGGAAAGGAGGGAAATAGGATGATGAGAGGAGGAAGAGGGAGAATAGAAGAGAAATTGGTTGAAATTAGGAGGTAAAGATGGAAGAAAGAGAATGTGAGGTGAAAGAAGAGGAAGAGACCACGAAATAGAGGGAAAAAAGTAAGATTGAAAATTTACAAGCAAACAGAAGATTGGGAAACATTACCATAAAAAAGAAAAAGCAAGATTTTTTTTAAATAATCAACAAGACTCATTGACAGTTGTTGTTTTGTTGTTTCATTTGATTAAAACTAAATAATTACTGAGCTGTTGAAACTACACACCCAAGCACCCATGTACTGTACCCACCCACATACTTCCGAAGCCATCCACACATCAATCCATGTACCCATTCACACACCAACCCACACACCCGCCCATCCACACACCTCCCCACACCAATCCTGCTCACACCAACCCACACACCCACCCATGTTTACATGCACCTACCCACACACCAAACCATCCACCCACCTACCCACACACCCACCTACCCACCCACCTTCTTGGCATGCTGGTGCTCCGACCTCTCTCTCTCCTCAGTTATCATCCAATGGTCAGTCACCCTCAGTAACTCTTCCTTCTGCTTCATCGCCACCGCCATCCTCGCCTTCTGCCGGTCCTCCACCTGCTGCCGCCGTTCCTTGGTCACTTCAGCTTCTCTCTGGGCCTTTGCCCTCGCCTCCGTCAGCTCCTTGGTCCGCCACTCACGTTCCAGCTGGTGAAGAGAAAGAGTTCATAGCACAGTAATTCGTGTTAGTATCTATAGCAGTTATGTTTATTTGGGGTCACGAAGGTCCGAGAAAGACAGAAAGAGAGAGAGAGAGAGAGAGAGAGAGAGAGAGAGAGAGAGAGAGAGGTGTCCTTTCATCCAACAGTATCTCAAATCATCTTCCATATACATAAGACTCTAGGATCTCAGCTAGCATCAGTAGGACTCTAGGACGCTCTCCCACAATCAGTAAAACTTTAGGACTCTCTTCCACTATAAAAATGACTAGAACTCTCTTCCACCATCAGTAGGACTCTAGGACCTCTCACACCACCAGCAAGACTCTAGGACCTCTTCCACCACCAGTAGGACTCTAGGACCTCTTCCACCACCAGTAGGACTCTAGGACCTCTCCCACCATCAGTAGGACTCTAGGACCTCTCCCACCCACCTTTTCCAGTTCTCGGAGTCGTTTAAGTTCATCTCTCTTGCGGCGCTCCTCCAACTTCCGCTCCTGGTCATTGAGCCACAGCCGCTGGAGGTCCTCCTTGGCCCTCCTCGCAGCCGCCTCCTCCTCCTGCCTTGCTTCCTTCACTGCTTCCTGTGCCTTCATCTCCTTCATCATCTGCAGTAGATGTTATGGTACTGTTATATGGTCCTCTGTGTTGTCATAATATCAACCATCAGGCTGATGGAAACTTTCTCAGCAACCAATGAGAATCCCACAACTTTACCTCTTGACCAATCAGAACATGGCAAGGATATATCTCAACCAATCAAGATCTCACCTGGACGTCTCTGAGTTTCTCTGTCTTGAGTAGTTCCTCCTTCTTCACTTCTGCCTCTTCCTTCACCCTTCTCGCCTCCTTCTTTTCCTTCATCATCTTCTCCTTCTTTTTCCTCTTCTCTAATTCCTTTTCAGTGTTGTATTTCTCTGCTTCCTTAGCCACATTGTTTGCTTCCTGGGATGTACAAGTATTTTCTTTATATACTCGTACACTTATATGAACATACATCATACAAGCATACATACATACATACATACATACATGCATATACATACATACATACATTAAATCTAACTCAACTAAATTTAACTCAAAGGGAACCTATTCTAAAATGCAGTAAATTACTACAACTTATTCTAATCCAACCAACCAACCTAAACTAACCCAATTTAACCTAACCCAGACGTACTCATTTTCCTCTCTCACCTTCTTCTTGTCCCTGAACTGTTGATAACGGAGAAGTTCTGACTGTTGTATCTGTTTAGCCAGAGCAACAGCGGCCAGCTGATTCACCTCCTGTTTGGCTTTCTCCCTCTCCTTCTCTTCCTTCAGTCCTTTCACCCTCGCTTCCTCCATCATTATCGCCTGTCTCTCTTCCTCCTCCTTCTCCAGCTTCCTGTACGAACGAGAGGTTATTTGCTGTTTTACTTTGCCTTTCTGTCTGTGTTTGTCCTGGGATTATTATTATTATTATTTCGTATAACCATTATAATGTAAATATTGAAGGAAATGTTAGTACAGTATAAACGAGTTGTGGTAGGAAAGAGTGTGTTTGGTCTCACGTCACGTGTTGATAGGAGTGTTACCTGTTTAGTGATACATCGTGATTGGTACTGAGTGAGACGTGTTAAACAAGTTGGAGATATAATACTTATGGCAAGGTGTGTGCTGTACAAGACACATATGGTCAGTGTAGCAAGGCCAGGACATGCTGAGTATGGGGAAATATTTGTTTGTAAAGATTGAGTTGGTTATAAATTTAATCTCATTTTAGTAAGATCGTACGCTCACTTGTTTTATTATATATATATACTGTATATATATATATATATATATATATATATACATATATATATATATATATATATATATATATATATATATATATATATATATATATATATATATATATATATATATATATATATATATATATATATATATATATATATATATATATATATGTGTGTGTGTGTGTGTGTGTCAAACACGTATATATTAAATTGAAAATATATAAATATGCAGTCTTAATGTGTTTTTAATAATTAATTCAATTACGAATGTTAGTTTCACGCAGCCATGAATGGTCAGTGATTGCTTACATACAAATGGCGATTCGTTTAGTCCCCAGTCACGCATTATTTCACACAATTCGTACACTAGAAAGGCACCTGATGTGTTGTTTCTCCAGGATCTGAGCTTCTCTGATGGCGTGACACTTGGCGGCCAGCACCATCTTTCTCAAGTCCTTCACTTCCTCCTCCCTCTCCAGTTCCTCACGACCCCGGCGGTCATCCTCCTCCAGTGTCTCCTGAAGGTAAGTTACAAATTAAAGGATAAGGTTAAAGGTTAGCAAGAGGTTAGATGAGATATAGGAGGACAAAGGATGAATTTACTCACATAAGGTATAATATATACTGGTCTAATAATTTTATGTACAGATGTCATGAAGTCACGGATCGAGATTCCTTGACCTATGAGGGCATTATGAGTGGCAGATAAAATGGGGGTGGGGCACTCCTACTTAATCCAAGTCATAATAGGCGCTAGTCATAATTAACCTTAGAACTTATAGGTCTTAACTTAACCTAACCAAATCTACCCTGCCTTGCCTTGCTTTGCCTTAGGCCTGGGGCACATGTTAAGTGTACATGTCTGGTCTCCCTCTTCTCTCCCTCCCTTCTTTATTCTCTTTTTTTCCTACCCTCCCACCTTGGCCTGGTGGTCTCCGGGCGGCCACTCTTCCAAGCACTTGATTTCATCCAGTTGTCTCCTACGACGGTGTCTGGCCTCAATCTTCTCATGCTGTCTCCTCCTCTCTTCCTTCTCCTCTAGGGTTCTCCTCGCCGCCTCCTTCGCCTCCTCCATCTTCCTTACTCGCGTCTCCTCGCTCACCTACAGAAAAAAGCAAAAAAGTATCTGAGGGGTTAAGTAATCGTACTCAAGGGGTTAAATTATCGTATTCATGAGGGGTTACATTATTGCACTCAAGGGGGTTAAGTCATCACACTCAAGGAGTAAAGTTATCTTACTTAATATGTTATCGTACTCAAGGGGTTAAGTCCCTGCCTGATAGCTATCGTACAGCTGGTTGGAAGAGAAAGAGAGAGACTCGCCTGTTGTACAGCACGCCTGATAGCCTGCAGCTGGTTGGAGGAGAGAGAGAGAGAGATTCACCTGTTGTGCAGCACGCCTGATAGCCTGCAGCTGGTTGGAGGAGAGAGAGCGAGAGATTCACCTGTTGTGCAGCACGCCTGAAGCCTGCAGCTGGTTGGAGGAGAGAGAGACTCACCTGTTGTACAGCACGCCTGAAGCCTGCAGCTGGTTGAGGAAGAGAAACCCACCTGTTGTACAGCACGCCTGAAGCCTGCAGCTGGTTGGAGGAGAGAGAGACTCACCTGTTGTACAGCACGCCTGAAGCCTGCAGCTGGTTGGAGGAGAGAGAGAGAGAGAGAGAGAGAGAGAGAGAGAGAGAGAGAGAGAGAGAGAGAGAGCCTTTTGTACAGCACGCCTGATAGCCTGCAGCTGGTTGGGGGAGAGAGAGGCCCACCTGTTGTACAGCACGCCTGGAGCCTGCAGCTGGTTGGGGGAGAGAGAGACCCACCTGCTGTACAGCACGCCTGGAGCCTGCAGCTGGTTGGAGGAGAAAGAGGGAGACCCACCTGCTGTGCAGCACGCCTGATAGCCTGCAGCTGATTGGAGGAGAGCAGGACAGCTGATGGTTGGGGTTCAATAGCGCTTCTGCATCTCAAGTGACGAACGCTGTCCCGGGCCACCACCACCACCTGCAGAACCGACACACACTCTTTAACACGCACAAAGGGAGTTTTAACAAGTTGTGAACACTAATACGTGCACATGAATTGATCATGCGCATGTACACCTGCAGTACTACCATAATACAGTTGCTTCTGGACACGTCGACTTTACTTTACTTTATCCTCTTCGCCACTAATCGGCTTGTTAGCCGCTTGGGAGGTCGGTTACATCTCCTTTATGCACTATTGGCAAGCACTGGTTCCAGAATGTATCTGTACCTGCTCCAGTGTTGGTCAAGTCTGGTCTTGTTCAAAGAGTTCTCAACCTTCACTCATAAGAAGTTGTCCTGATAATTTTCTGAACTTGTGGCTTCTTCAACCTTAAGCTGTGACCTCCAGTGGGGCGGGCGTCCGCCAGCTCCAGGTATGAAAACTCGACTGAGGTATTTATAGAATTCATTACGCCACAGTACACACGCCTACATCACGCTACAATACACACGCCCACACCACGCCACATTACTCATTCCCACACCATGCCATATCACTCACGCCCAGACTAAGCGGCAGTACCCACACCCACACCATGCCACCCGTCCACCACGCCACAATACGCACGCCCACACACCGTCTCTGGCGTGGGTTGGTTCTTCCGCTCCAATAGTTTGACGCCCGCAACTCCGAAGGGATCCGCAGGCGTGTCACCCAGCCGCGGGGCAGTCCTTGGCCTCCCACGCCCACTCAAGCCAATCATACGCACGCCACCTTGGTCCATCACGCCCAAGCCAAACTGTGGGATAGATTAGGTTAGGTTAAGTTGCGTTAGTTTAGGTTAAGTATGAGAAGATACTGTTTTGTACACATAATGGCATCGAAATCCCAAGCAGTGGTCCCAATACCCCAAGTAACGGTACCAATATCCCAAGTAATGGTACCAATATCCCAAGTAATGGTACCAATATCCCAAGTAATGGTACCAATACCCCAAGTAATGGTACCAATATCCCAAGTAATGGTACCAATATACCAAGTAATGGTACCAATATCCCAAGTAATGGTACCAATACCCCAAGTAATGGTACCAATATACCAAGTAATGGTACCAATATCCCAAGTAATGGTACCAATATCCCAAGTAATGGTACCAATATCCAAGTAATGGTACCAATATACCAAGTAATGGTACCAATATCCAAGTAATGGTACCAATACCCCAAGTAATGGTACCAATATACCAAGTAATGGTACCAATATCCCCAAGTAATGGTACCAATATCCCAAGTAATGGTACCAATATACCAAGTAATGGTACCAATACCCCAAGTAATGGTACCAATATACCAAGTAATGGTACCAATACCCCAAGTAATGGTACCAATATACCAAGCAATGGTACCAATACCCCAAGTAATGGTACCAATACCCCAAGTAATGGTACCAATATACCAAGTAATGGTACCAATACCCCAAGTAATGGTACCATTACCCCAAGTAATGGTACCAATATACCAAGTAATGGTACCAATATCCCAAGTAATGGTACCAATACCCCAAGTAATGGTACCAATATACCAAGTAATGGTACCAATATCCCAAGTACTGGTACCAATACCCCAAGTAATGGTACCAATATCCCAAGTAATGGTACCAATATACCAAGTAATGGTACCAATATCCCAAGTAATGGTACCAATACCCCAAGTAATGGTACCAATATACCAAGTAATGGTACCAATACCCCAAGTAATGGTACCAATATCCCAAGTAATGGTACCAATATACCAAGTAATGGTACCAATATAAGTAATGGTACCAATACCCCAAGTAATGGTACCAATATACCAAGTAATGGTACCAATATCCCAAGTAATGGTACCAATATACCAAGTAATGGTACCAATATACCAAGTAATGGTACCAATATACCAAGTAATGGTACCAATATACCAAGTAATGGTACCATTACCCCAAGTAATGGTACGAATATCTCAAGTAATGGTACCAATATCCCAAGTAATGGTACCAATATCCCAAGTAATGGTACCAATATACCAAGTAATGGTACCAATACCCCAAGTAATGGTACCAATATACCAAGTAATGGTACCAATACCCCAAGTAATGGTACCAATATACCAAGCAATGGTACCAATACCCCAAGTAATGGTACCAATACCCCAAGTAATGGTACCAATATACCAAGTAATGGTACCAATACCCCAAGTAATGGTACCATTACCCCAAGTAATGGTACCAATATCTCAAGTGATGGTACCAATATCCCAAGTAATGGTACCAATACCCCAAGTAATGGTACCATTACCCCAAGTAATGGTACCAATACCCCAAGTAATGGTACCGATATCCCAAGTAATGGTACCAATACCCCAAGTAATGGTACCATTACCCCAAGTAATGGTACCAATACCCCAAGTAATGGTACCAATATCCCAAGTAATGGTACCATTACCCCAAGTGATGGTACCATTACCCCAAGTAATGGTCCCAATATCTCAAGTAATGGTCCCAATACCCCAAGTAATGGTCCCAATATCCCAAGTAATGGTACCATTACCCCAAGTAATGGTACCAATATGTAAACCAATGGTGCCAAAATCGAATATAAGACTTCCCCACCACACTTATTACTGCAAACACTTGCCATATATTTAACCAAGACAAATCAATTTTATAATATTTTCTGCCCAGCGTTTACTTGATATTTAATATTCACCCTCATATAGCAGAAATTTTGATTAAGTGAGAAGGAAGGCTGTATTTTGACTTTTAATGGTACACTTAACTCACCTCCACCCAATAATCGCGTTTCACAACCACCGCAAAATGTGGAAGTGTCCTGATTCAATCTTCTAACGCAGAAGGGAGTGAATGTAATTCTACATATACCGCAGTAGCTGTATTTTCTACGTAAATTTATCATTATATTGAAATTTTAAGTGTATAATTGGAAAATGGGAGGACCGAAACAGATTTAGAAAGTGAAAGGAGTGAAATGTTGTTTTGTAATGAAGCCAATACACAAAGATCTAAACACACAGAAATCAGCCGGTGAGCGTCAACCGTAACCATGACAACGTAGCGGTAAAGGGGATACGGACTCATATTATTTATTATTTTCAATAATTTCTAGTGGGAGTGATTTAACATACTATGTGAATACATTCAGAGGAACTTTATAAAGCTTAAATAATTAAAACAATGAGTCTCAGTACTACAGGTCTTCAGAATTTTTTGAGTCTGAATATATGAAGCTTATATCACATGAAGACAATAGTCACCGACCTGATATCATTAACAGAGAGAGAGAGAGAGAGAGAGATGATAATTGCTGTACATAAATATAAACACCAGTTCCATCACTATTTCCAATTATTTTCTGCTTCGCTTCTGAAGGGGGTTTTAGGAATGTGTGTGTATGTATGATTGTTCTTGTGAGTTTATGTTCCTTGAGATCTACAGTTGCCTTTTTTCTTCTAAGCGTCAAAATAAATAATAACGTGGTAACAGTTCAATGTGTATTTGTTAACACCATGTAACATATTGCAATACAGATGATGCTTTATGCCATTTGACAATTGTCTTATAACTAGGTTCGCGTGATGATTAGGCACCTCACCTTATTTCATCTGATGATGCAACACCCAAATACTAACCTAAACCTATCCTAACTCCCCCAGGTAGCGATAGGGTGTTTAATCATCGGGTGATATAAACAGCGGGGGTCTAAGCTTCACTTGATCCGATAAATGTTCTTACAGTATTTATCAGGAGCTTGTCAACAGAGCTCACGCCACCTACACTTCTGCCATGTCGATATTGTTTTTGTCCTCCTCCTCCTCCTCCTTCTGTTGTCCCTACTTACCTTTCTGCTCCTTCTACTCCCGCTTCTCCTTTTATTGTTCCTACTTACCTTTCTGCTGCTACTACTCCTTCTCATCCTCTTGCTCCTTCTGTTGTCTCTACTTATCCTTCTCTTGTTTCTCCTCTTTCTGTTCCTCCTCTTGTTCCTTGTTGTTCATTTCGTATCTGTAATATTTTGACTTAAATAAACTGTTTTTAATTTCAAATTTAATGGACAATGAGTGGAGAGAGAGAGAGAGAGAGAGAGAGAGAGAGAGAGAGAGAGAGAGAGAGAGAGAGAGAGAGAGAGAGAGAGAGAGAGACGGGAAGGCATCATCTATTTCCTGTAGGCAGATGAGTTTAGATTATGTAGCTCTGTTGGCTGGTGTTGGTGTCAGGGAGGGTGAGGGCGGCTCCAGTATCAACCTTTGCATACCAGAAGCTGTGTGGGGGAGGAGGAGGGAGGGAAGCGGCCAGTTTATTGTGCACCCCATACTTATCCTGTGAGCTGTAGCCAAAAAAGGATTAAATAAGAGGTCACTAAGGGTGTGGATAACCATGAGGATAACAGTCCTCAGTGGTCAGGATATTATGGCATTAAATGTTACAAAGAATTACCAATGTAGTGTTTGTTTTAGTTCTGTACATAGATGTAAGGTCAGGCCGGCGACCGATGGTTTAGAAGACGAGGGAGTGGGAGGGTAGCTGGCTGTTGGCGTGACTAAGAGGGTGGAAGTTCTGGTGTGTGTGTGTGTGTGTGTGTGCGCGCGATTTTTCGAGACAAGAAAAAAGCAAGAGAGAAAAATACTGTAGAATAATGATCACCAGGGAAGGCTCCTCCTCCATGTCGCCTCTTGCCTGCCTGATACCCGCCACTTGGTCGTTCTTCTTGAGGTTGTCATGTTTGGCCAGGGACTCGTGCGTGTGTGTGTGTGGTTATAAGAGCCACTACCATTATTCAAAGTCTTGGGAGATGCTGAATAATGTTCGTCATGGTCGCTGATGTTGATATCCTGTTTTATCATGGTGCAGCGGCTGGCATCTCTCAAAGGCGAAACATAAGATCAATTTCTACACTAAACGACAACTTTTGAAAATTTGGAAAGACAGTTATAAACATCAGGATAACAAACCCTGTAGTCAGTGTCATGTAAAAGAATTTATAAGTTCTATAATCATGGGTAAATATATATGAAATTTCAAAATGCACATAATTAGTACCCTTAAAGATCATCTCACACACTTACGGTATTACGTATTTATTTATGTATTAGTTTAGTTGATGATGATGACCTATGTACACAGTTTAACTATACCAGTACACTAACTATAAACAGTCGAGTATAACTATAACAGTAAACTAAATATAAACAGTGGAGTATAACTAACAGTAAATTAAATGTCAACAGTTGGGTATAACTAAGAGTAAACTAAATACAAACAGTCGAGTATAACAGTAAACAGTCGAGTATAACAGTAAACAGTCGAGTATAACCATAACAGTAAACTAAATACAAACAGTCGTGTATAACTAAGAGTAAACTAAAAGCAGTAGTAATTTTATTTGTGCGTAACTTTGGGTCCAGTTTCTTCAAGTTTCGTACGTTTTTTCCTCCTAGACAGAGTTGTGACAGGATATAACTGGCTTAATGTTGTTGAAATTGTAGGCTAAAATATATATATATATATATATATATATATATATATATATATATATATATATATATATATATATATATATATATATATATATATATATATATATATATATATAGTGCGTCAGTTTCTCCACTGAACTAGATTAGGAAGACGCATCGAATCGGTTCTCTTGAGGTAAGGCAGGACAATTAATAACCACAGCGGTCGTCGGTATTGTGCTGAGACGTTGCATGTTAAAGTTAAATTAGATTTAGGATAGGTTAGTGTTAGTGTAAGTTACGTTAGTCCAGGTTTTGGTTCGATTAAGTTTAGTTTGGTTATTATATGTTTGGTTTGGTTAGCATTTGATTAGCAGGTTAGGTTTTATATCTAGAAGTGTAAGTAATAAGAGTGCAGAGGTCTTATTGCAACTATATCTTGCGCTAGTCAGGCCGCACCTTGATTATGCGGTTCAGTTCTGGTACCCTTATTATAGAATGGATATCAATTCACTGGAGTCGGTGCAGCGAAGAATGACGAAAATGATTCCGGGACTTAGAAACCTTCCATATCAAGATAGGTTAAAGAAACTAAACTTGCATTCCCTAGAAAGACGAAGAGTGCGGGGAGATATGATAGAAGTATTTAAGTGGGTGAAAGGAATCAATAAAGGGGATATAGATAAAGTTCTTATAATATCCGAGCAGGATAGGACTCGTAGCAACGGATTTAAGTTGGTTAAGTTTAGGTTTAGGAGAGAGATAGGAAGGAACTGGTTCACAAATAGGGTGGTAGACGAGTGGAACAAGCTTAGCAACTTTTTAGTAAGTGCTGGAACGCTGGAAAGTTTTAAAAGGAGGCTAGATAGATTCATGGATGATGGAGAGTGGAAGTAACTCTCGACAAGAGCTGCCATGCACAGGCCAACCGGCCTATTGCAGACTCCTTATTTTCGTATGTTCTTATTTGTTAAGCTTAGGTTAGCGAAAGATTATGGTAGGCTAGCGGTAGTTAATGTTAAGTTAGGTTGGTTTAGTGTTAGGTTAGCGTTAGTTTGTTAAGTTACGTTGGTTTAGTGTTAGGTTAGCTTTAGTTTAAATTAAATAAGGTTAGCGAAAGGTTAGTTTAGAGATTTTATTCAGACAAAATATGCTGGGGTGCCTAATCTTCATATGACCCAAGAATTCTTTGTATCATATTATAGGTATTTTACCCTTCATATTTACACATTGATTTTCATGAATAATTTTACATATAATATCAGGAGTATGACAAAAAAGCGTTAAGACAACATGTACAAATATCCATACACACACACACGCAGACACATGCACACAGACAGACAAACGCATACATACACACACACACACACACTCGTTTATTCTTGGAGTAAAAAGGTAAAGCAGGAATGTGTTAGAATTGAATCAGGTAAAGATTGTCGAGTGGCCGAGACGTTCCTTGTGTAATTCGCGGAAGCTCACCATCACCGTCCCTGGCTATACCCTGTCTTTCTTCATACTGTTCGTGGACCTACAGTAGTCATCTTGTTTCTGGAAAGCCCGGGAAGGGTAAGAAAGAAGCAAGAAGGTAAATACATAACTAGAAAGAGGAATAAGGGGAAGATGAAGAGAGTGAGAGGGAGGCGGGATAGGACACAAATATAAAGTGAAGCTCGAAGAGAGTAGAAGCTTTCTTACTTCTGTCCAATATACCTCAGTCATGTATAGCTGTCAAGGCCTCTTTTAATTTGACCAAGTTGTGAGGATTACACTTAAGAATTTAATTATTTTTATTAACGTAATTTTAGTCTTAAGTGCGTATGTCAAAACAGATTTTCGATTCGGATCCCGTGCACCTCAGCAAAATTCTGTGTATGTCCGTTGTCACAAATCACTGTACAGTATTGTAAGGCATTGTTGGACCATATTTCTCCTTTAAAATTTATTTCTGTAAGTCCTTGACAGAAAATTTCTCTTTGGAATTAATTATTACGAACTGCTTATGCAATCAAAACTCAATGTAATATTTCCCAAGCAAAAATCCCCAATATCACTTTCCAGAAGTAGTTGTATAAAACTTAACCAGATTCTTCGAGAGGAAATGTGAGGCATTATCCTAGTAGGAAGTCTGATTTTGCAGTGTAATAGTCGCGGGTTATGGTGCAGGAAGAGGAAAGGCGTGGCGAGCGTTTACACACGGAAGATGCACCTGATGCAACCACCACGTAATTGCGTAACACCGTTCTGCGGCCGGGGAGACGAGCCAGAAAGTTTTGTTAACGCTGATGGACATTGAGGTTGTGTAATTTTAATAATTAAAAAAATATTCGTTATTTTAACTCTAATGTAATTATTTATTCCGGTTCTTCAACGTTTCTCTGTTTCGTAATCTCAGAATATATTGTGCTAAGGAAGAATAGATGTCGCGGAGGGAGGTGCTACATGATCACACCTAGCACAGCTCAGGGAGCAGGCCCTGGGGTGCACAATAGTTTTTCTATCGGGAGGATTCTTTGCAATCGTGAAGGGAAACGTGTTGCGTGATGCATGGGTGTGAACGGATGGAGACCTGTTGGATCAGGTGGAGAACTTGTATCACGTGGGATGAGGCACCAGCACGCGGCGGCAGGCGCGTGCGACTGTGGTTTCTTCCTCCGCCGCCAGATGGCAGGCCACGAAATCGATCGCTGCCTTAGCCAGATATAACCCGGCTAGTGACAGTGGAGTGCACGTCGAACAGCTGCTTACCGTATATCTACAGTTTTCGTCATTGCGCGCTCGTCTTCTGTCCTGTAAACAGGTGAGCATGTAGCTAAGGTTAAGGAGTAGTGTAAGGCAGGGGACGGCAGTGTTACACTGGTGATGTGAAGAGAGAAATGTACCGCAAAGTTTAGTGGGCGCGCCACATGCAGTGTAAGACGCTGGCTCGCCCTGCGTCCAGTTTTTGTTGACACGTGCCTCTCCGCTCTCCTGCTGCCCGTCAGTGCACCTGTCTGCCACTGTAACTTCTGCTCAACGTCTGCACAGGTCACCGGGTTCAGAGAGCATCGGAATGGACCTACTGTCATGGTTTTCCACAAGTGATGTGTAATACCACCCGGTACCGTAGCGAATGGTTACTGGGTGGATGGATATGTTGCTTGGTGACAAGGATGGGCGAGAGGGAGGTGATGAGAATTATCAAGCACACAAAGAGGCAAGCAGGAGGGTGGCAGACAGTCAGGAGGGAGGAAGACATCGCACGTTGGGTGTGGTCGGCAGATGGTAATAACAAAGATACCATCGAAGACTGTTCTCGGGTCAACGACGAGTCAGAGATGACTAAGCCTGACCCCCAAGAAGGCTTAAAGGCAAGGTCAGACACCCAGTCATAGTTACTTATCTTGCTTCGAGAACCGACCTTTAATCTACGTATCGATACATGGTAATAACACCCAAAGAGAACCTTATCGCCTTTAAATATAACCTAAAGATGAAGCCCTCATGCAAGCCTAGTTAGGGAAGGATTAAGATAAGATTACTAGGGATGTGAGCGTAGGTTAGTTAGGTAGCATGACCAGACAAAATATTCATCGGGTGAGGGTGTGTGTGTGTGTTGGGGAGAGCGGCACGGCTTGACAGTTATCGATTTGTGTGATGCTGTGGCCACATGCTCTAGTGCTGTTTATTTATGATTTGTTGTGGCTATTCAGACCTTAAGATAGTTATTTACACCCTGGGATGTGTTGTTTGTACACGCCATAGTATGAGTGCCTGGGGTAATGCTCCGTGAACTGAAGAAGCTGTTGAGGCTACACCGGATTTCTCAATGCACTACTCGTTGCCGTTTCATATTTATTTAATTGTTGAATTGTGTTTTAAGTGGCGGTGTTTCTCTGCCGTTACTGTAGGTATTGGCAAGGTGTTTATGAGAGTAGTGTTAGGCTTATCTCACCTTGGGGCAGTGTGTACAGGTGCAGGAGGGGTCGGTGCGTTGTTGGTGTGGGGATGGTGTATTGATTAGATAAGTTGTGTTGCTCAGTGTATAATGTAGACAATGGTAGTGTTTGTTTATATATAACCGTTCGTGCTGAGTTGTTTATATTGGAGCGTCGGTGCTGCGTTTTAAAATATTTATGCAGTTCCACAGTTCTTCAGGTACAGTACTGGGTTCTTGAAGTTTCTCATTGTGTGTGATGGACGGGGATCAAATTTTGTTGCTTAATGTTACCAATTGAAGGTCAAATTCTTTGTGTATGTGAAAGTGTTTTCCTTTACGTATGTAAATGTGACTAGTTATTTGCAATTTTGTAATTATCACAAATAAAACATTTTTTTGTGAAATAAGTGTATTTACCAAAATAAACCAATGTTTTATTAAAAGGCAAACCTTTTAATAAAACAGGGTCTTCAAACATTACGAGTCGAGAGAGAATTTAAAGCCGAATATAATGGTGTTCCGTAGTCGTGAACATGCCCGGAACTCGCGATATACTCTAGAACACTGCAGGGTGAGTAAGCATGACGTTGGACTTTAATTTAAGGAAATATTACTGCAAAATTTAAACTAACAACCTCGTAGAGTAAATTAACTTTAATATGAACTTGAATGTAATTTAAAACAAACAAACAAAAACAAATTTAAACCACGAGTACCGCATAATAAGCAAATGTGACTGATAACTAAAATTTAAGTAAAGAACTCAGCGGAATTTAATGGGCAATAATAGTGTAGTAATGAACAAGACTGCACTTGAGGAACACCGTATAAGCAACTAACAAGGTTCTGGGACTGATTACCTTTTGAGCTGAGAATGAAAGGTGTGGGCAAGGTTATACGAAGGTTGGAAAGCCTACACGTGGAGATCATTATAAGCACTTGTAAAGCTGTCTTGAAATACCTTAAGGTGGGTGGGTGTGTGAGGGAGTTGTAGGTGGTGTAGGAGGTTGAGGACAAGGGTGTGGTCATGGGGGGTGGGGGATGCGTGATGTGGTGAAAATAGGTATGTTTATGGTGCGGTATTGGATGTTGGGGAGAAATGGGGGTGTGGTCAGGGGAAGGGAGAGCATGCGTGGTGTAGTGGATATGGGTGTGGTAAAGAAAGGGGGGGGGGGCAGGGTCAGAGGGGACATGGATGTGGTCAGTTTGGAGGGAGGGACAGTTTTGCGTGTAAACTGACGGACATGGGTGGGATGATGAGAGACACTGAGGCCTTCAAGACATGGGTATGGCCAGGTGGATATATTGTGATGAAATGGACATATATGGTGTCATGAGCCATTGGTGTTTTCATGACATGGGGCATGAATAGCCTCAGGACATGGTGGGTCGGATTAATGGACCTATGGTGATGAGGTGGACAATGTGTGATTCGGGGGGGGGGGAAATGCGTGTGGCCAGGTAGACATAGTTGTGGTATAAGGTAGAAATGGGTAATGACATATGAACGTTTCCGGTCAAAGTGGACATACGTTTTAATGAACCTGTCAGGATGAAGGAAATGGTGTCAGGACATGCATATTGTCAGGTGGGCGTATCCTAATCAGGAAGACAGAAGAGTGGCCAGGTGGACATGGGTGCCAACAGACAGGCTTTGAGGAGGATGATAGTGGACATGGGTGTGGTTAGGGGAATTTTTGGGTATGATTATGGAGTGATATAGGCGTGGTTAAGGGGTTAGTGGCGCGAAGGGACATCGGTCGTGTGAGGGAGGGGACATTAGGACATACGTGCGTCTTTTGAGAGAGAGAGAGGGGACATTCATGCGTCAAGTGTGGCTGAAGGCGACGTCACATGAAGGGAATGACGCACACTACTTGTTAAAAGCAGGCAAGGTCGATATACCCTTTTAATTAAATTTAGATAATAGCTGTGTCCTTGCTGTAAGCCGATTGGTTGAGAACTTCATTATTTTGACGGTGATTGCTAGAGAACGCCAATATTTCGATAACGATTGGTTGAGAGAACACCAATACGTGAGACTAATTGGCTGAAAACCCGTGACCTACTTTTACATGTTCACTGTAATTATGTGAATTGATTAAGATAAGTTAGATTCTGTTGTGATTTTCGTCCCATATTTGTAGCTAACTTAAACGCCAGCTTTTGTTTTCCACTTTTAAGTATTGTAGAGTATATAGAGTACCTCCTTCATTCATTAAAAAAAAATAGAATACTGTTATTTTACATTGATTGTGTTTAGGTATCGTACACAACTTTTTTTTTTTCATGTAAAACCAGAACGGGGTGCGGTGGCCGAAAGCATACAGCACTCGGACCCCATTCCCAAGGGTAGCTGGTTCAATCCCGTAGCACTCTCAGATCACCCAGATGTAAATGGGTACTCACCTTTACAGTTGAGGAAGTAAAGGCGGTTGAATGCAGAGCTGGCCACGCTGCCTCCTCACGTACCTACAGTAAGGTTTATAGGGAAGCACTTTCACTTTCATATAGATAATATCTGCATTGTTAGAAATGACAAATTATTGGAAATTAAGTAGCATGTCGACGAGTTTTATGAGTATAATTTACCTGCGTTTAGTGTAGTCTACCAGGAGGTGCGTGCGTTTAGTGTAGTCTACCATAAAGTGCGTGAGTTTAGTGTAGTCTACCATGAAGTGTTTGCGTTTAGTGTAGTCTACCATAGAGAGTACAGTACGCTCGTGGAATGTTACTGTTGTACCCAGAAGGTTCATGGAGAAAGTCGCCAGTCCCGAGGAATTTTCCACCCGCCGTCCTGTCATTGACTAACCTTGGCCTTGTGCAATGTGAAATATTTATGTCAGAGTACACCCAAAGATGCACTTCATAAATCAAAGTAATTTGCTGTTTTTTTATCGACGTTATTTTGTGACCTGTTGATTTTCTGTTGTTGACATTCACCAATTAACAAAGTTACATTAGGAGTGCTTAGGTGGTCGGGTTTGATAAGGAAGGCAAAGCAGTTCTGGAAGTGAAAATTCATTGACAACTGGGACAACTTCTACGGCAGAAGGGACCTTTATGCTAGGGATGGGGTGCACCTGTCTCGGGAGGGGGTGGCAACCCTGGCTGGGTCTCTAGAGGGGGCAGTTCAAAACATATGGAAGTCTTTAAACTGCTAGGGGAACATGAGGGCACGGGGGTGGAGGAGACTGCAGTGGGCGTGGGTAAACAAAGTGAAAGATTACAGGGAAATAGTGTTAGGAATGACGACAAAACTAAAACAGACAGGGAGTTTAAACCTAAACACGGTAAAGGGAGGACTCAGAACACGACTAACTTAAATGTCTACTACGCGAACAGTAGAAGTATGAGAAACAAAATGGATGATATTAGGGCCTTAGTATGTACCGAAAAAATCGACATAATAGCATTGACTGAAACATGGATCAACCTAGACACACGTGAGTTACCGGTTGAATACCAAATTGCGGGTTACAAATTGTTCCATACCGATAGGCAGACCAGGAAAGGAGGCAGAGTAGCAATCTATGTCAGGGATAATCTGAAGTGTGAAATAAATAAGGAAATAAAAACTGAGCGGAATACAGAAACAATTTGGATAGAATTAATCGACGGTAGGGGAAAATTCATCACAGGAGTAATATATAGACCTCCCAATCTTGATAGAGTCAATGAGAGACTTATCTGGGATGAAATGCGCAGGGCTTCTATACACAACAAAGTCTGTATAGTAGGCGACTTTAACCTTGGCCAAATAGATTGGACTGACCTTACGGGTAACTCAGAATCAGAGGATTTTCTCGAAACGATCCAGGACTGTTTCCTAATTCAACATATAACCGAACCCACCCGGGGTAGTAATATACTCGATTTAGTTCTGTCGAACAGAGAAAACCTCATTAGCAATGTCGAGGTAGGGAACGAACTTGCAAACAGCGATCACAAAGAAATTCGATTCCAGTTAGATTTTCAGGGCAGACGTAAGGAAAATTCCACTAAAGTACCAGATTTCAGAAGGGCAAACTTTGACAGTTTAAAGAGGCAGCTGAGAGAAGGGGTGTCACGCTTGGGCGTGAACCTGACAGATGACACCGACCTGATAACGAGATCTGAGATAGCCGAGTTCCACGACAATTTAAATAATGAGTTACTTAATGCACAAAGGCAGAACATACCATACAAAAAACTCAGATCAGACAACAATGACCCTAAATGGATAAATAATTATTTAAAGAACATCATTGGCCAAAGGAAGGCTCTAGGTAGAAGGATAAATCATGGCGAAATTTACCTCCAGGATTATTATAAGGTATTGGCGAGTAGGGTTAAAACCGAGATAAGGAAAGCCAAGAGGAATAATGAGGTAAGGATAGCAAGGGAGGCGAAGACAAACCCCAAAGGATTTTACCAAATGTATCAAACTAAAACAC